CTTGAACTTCAACTATCTTAGACTCATAATATTCATAGTCGTCTGCTTTCTTTGGTTCATAAGGTATAACAAGTTTGTATGCTTTGCCTTCTTTAAGGTTTGAAAACCTTCTGTCAAAATTTTCTTTGACTGCTAACAAACCTTCTATGTCTAAGTCTTCAAATTTCGCACCATTTTTAGTCACAATAGCAAACTTAACTGGTTCGATGTTCCAAACTTTGTCAAATGTAGACTTTTTCAAAATGGTAGAAGTAAACATTCAAATAAGCGAATGGGTCTAGTTCTTCTTTGACTTCTGTCATGTACTTGTTGACTGAAATATATTTCGTCATCTTTTCTATCGGATAAAAAAATATTTTTTTTAAATTTACTCAGAAAAATTTTTCTTTGTATATACGCCGTTCTGTATGTCTAAAAGACTTTTGACATTTGCCAAGAATGTACGTTTAGAAGCTGCCATATAACCATACTCTTGACAATACTGTTTATATTCATCGTACAATGACCTTTCATCTAAACACTCAAAGTCGGTTTCATCTATAAACAGTTCATATACACTCTTGTTTGCTTCTAACAATGTTTGTTCTCTCTTCGTATGTGGAATTTGTCTTGGATTGAACTTAGAAATATCTAATGTCATGAATATGAGAACAAGTGGTTGTAAAAGTTAGGTGTCAAAGTTTCTGCTAAGTCGTCAAAATATTCTGTATCTTGCATATGAGCTTCTGACGTTCTTGACAACTACATATCTTCTGTCAGAACTTTCTAACTTCATCGGAACGGCGTTGTTTGAAACCATGATGAAATTTGCAACATTTTCACAAACTCTTTGGTCTTTATATTTTCTTTCAACAACTCCAACTTTGTCTGTTATAAGACTCTTCAAAGCATCTGAGTTCAAAACTTTTTGTTGTATCTATACTTTGAAGTTCGTTACATACTATAAGTTTCATATTCTCTATTGAAGAGTTAAATTTACCGCAGATGTTTTTCTAAAGTTTGTCATATTCGGATTCGAATAGCCCTCTAACAGTTTGCATAAGATATCTGTAAAAGAAAGTGTTCTTACCAGTTCCTTGTTTTCCAATTATAATGAGAGCAGTTTCATTTTTAGCACTTGGATGTTGTAAGATGTTTGCAAACCAACATAAGATATACTCATAAACCTTTTCGTTTCCATTGCATATAATTTCTTTGACATGGTCTAACCAAGCTTCTATATATATTTTCTTTTCCATTCTACTTGTTCGTATTTATATCCAGTGAAGATAGAATAGAAGTTTGGAGAAGGTGTTAGAACTTTATACCTCGAACTGAAAAATCTCTAACTTTGACAATAAGATATCCCAAGCATCTAACATCTTCATGCCAACTTGTACGACTTTTATTTTCTTAAGTTTCTGTCTACATTCTTGTTCTGAAACTATTGTTGCTCTTGGTTTGTTAAAGACAACATCCCATTCTTTCATGACATAACATTCTGGGGCAGAGTCAACATAAATGACTAAAACGTTTCAAATTCTCGACTGCTTTGTTATAGTCCTCTAAATGGACACATATTTCTGAATGCTTGGAAGTCATAAAATCTGAAACATCTATTCTGTACATTTTTATAAAAATAAAAAAAATATTTTTTTATTCTTGAGCTATTTGTTGCATTTGTTGTTCTTGAGCTATTTGTTGTTCTTGAGCTATTTGTTGTTGAAGTTGTTCTTGTAGTACAATACTTTCACCAGTTGCATCTTCCAATTCGAAACTTTCTGCCGTCATTGACAAATACATAGGACATAAAAGTTTTACAGGAAACAAAGTTTGCGTCAACTAAGGTTAAAGTTTATGTTTGCTAAAGTGTTTGAGTTTACTAAAGCTGAAACTCTGCATTCGAAATGAACAATAGGCAAACCAGCAGAGAAAGTGTTGTTTATACGCATGAGTATCTTTTGGTCATAGTAGTTTCTGTCAACATTCGAATAGCACTTTGAACCTAAGTTTGAAACAATATATAAAATAGGTGTACTTAAAGTCAATGGAACAGACATTCCTTGTATGACACCTTTTCCTGTTATAGGAAACTGTTGGTAGTAAAAACCAGATATAAGTTTTTGTATTATAGCTCATATCGTTTATACTAAACTCAGTCGGACATCCAACATAATGAACCTGCTCTAGTTGCAGCACATGTTACATCGTCCTTAAAGTATTAAAATAAGTCAACAAAACCTGTTGGTGGTATATCTGAGTAAGTATCTTCAAAGAAGTTTTTTTTACCATTCACAACAACAAAGTCTTCTGGTGTCAAAAGAGCAAAAACAGGCTTTAGTCGTCATCGTGTTTAAGGTCAGTTTACAATATCGTCCTTGAGGACTTTGTAAGTTTGTTGTTATAGAATTATATGACTCAGGGTTTTTTAGTCGTAATAGTATAAACCACTATGTCTTCTGCCATTTACTTAGCAAACAAACTTTAATGAAATGTTGTGGTCGTCAAATATTTTTATGACGTCTGGGAAACTATATTTTAAGTTCAACGTTTCACCTCCTTTCATAACGTATATCTTGTCAATGACATTGTATGAAACACCACAGCAAGCAATGTCGGGTTCTATTTCTTTGATGTTTATATCGTCTGCCTCTGTCAAAAGTTTCAATAGTTCTTTCAAAATTTCATGAGGTGCGATGACATATGAGTTCACTTTTACAGGGTTGTGTTCGACCAAGTTTAACATTATACCAAAGCTTGACAAATCTTCTCCTGAGTTTTTAAGTTTGTCTTTAAGTTGTTGGTAGTCATTTCGAATATCTGCAACAGAACTTAAGTCTCTGCTAACTTCAGGGTATGTTGGTTGTTCTTTTACAGGAACTATTGTTATACCATCTTGGTCTTCGTATGGTTTCCCACTTCAACATCTCTTTCTTTGACATTGACAACAACACTTTGACTGTTTGTTTGAGTTGGTGAATTTAACTTCACATCTGCCACCGCCATTAAACCTTTTGAAACACTCACGCTTCTATTTTTCGGAAATGACATTTTACTTAGAATAAAAAGATGGACGTATTCGAGTATCTCTTCGAATTGAAGCAGAACAAAGTTTACACACACAAACAATACAAATACATTGACAGAATAGTTCTTTAACAAACAATGGTAAATGTTATAGAATAGCAATATTTGCTGAACCAAAAATATTTCCATAAAGCAAAGAAAGTTGGTATAACTGAAATGGTGAAGTTTTGACGTTGACAAAAATATAACAACAAAACTTACAGATATTTCTAAAGGAAAGTTTATAATACAATACTATGTCAAACTGGCGTACTGTCAATATTTGACGGAGAGAAGTCAGTTCAAGAACAACTTACTGACCTGCTGCCAAATCTGCTCGATGGAAGCTGTCGTTATGCCAATCTGAGGAGCCCCAGCAGGTTTCATCGAACGAATCTTCAAAGAGCATCTTCCGTGAAAAGTGCTATTGGTTTTGTAAACTTCTTTGCTCTCAGTTCATCTGGACCGTCTCTGTCACCAGTATATTGTATTTGTACAGTACCAACAGTTGAAATACCACCATAAAGTCTTCTGAGTCAGCAAATGGAATGCCAAGCCAAAGTTTTGAACGGTCTCCATTTGTATATTGAGTTTTTTTGAGCTCCTGTATGGGTCCATACTTTCACATATGGCATAATAGAACTTTGCATTTCAGGGTTAATGGTTGTTGTGAAGTTGTTGTTAAAGTTCATAGCATCTAATGTCAAGTTGTATGACCTCATATCTTCAACTGTAGAATACTTCTCTTGGATAATATTTGCCATCTATGTTTATATGGTATTTAATACCAGGGTTGTAGAAGCAAGAAATAGTCATTTATAGTTCGTCTGAACAGTACAAACATAGTATCTGCATGTTTCATTGCAGTTGTTAAAGCAATATCTGTTCTTGCACCTGGGTCAGCACTTTGGTTTCCCAACTTCACCTGCAAAGTCTTTGACAGATATTTGGTGTATAGGGAACATAAGTGGAACTGCAATATATTTGGCAGCTAAAGCATTTGAAATATCTGGGTCCAACATATAGACTGCAAGTCTGCTTTCTATTCTCTTGCATTCAAACTTTTCGCATGTGAACTTAACTGGGTCCCAAGCATCTCCAGCAGCATTGAAATAATAGTTTACTTCAGTGTTGAGGTTTGAGAAACCAAAGTCTAAGTCAACTTTGTTTTTTGCAAAAGTCGGCGAATGACATTTTATTTGTTCCCACTACTTCTGTAAGAGTGAATGGGTCTTGTGTTGGTGCAATGACTAAGTTATTTTTGCTTGGAGTAAGTTCGATAGAAATTTTTCCTGCCCAGTTTGGCAAGTATCTTAAAAACCTGAAGATGAGGAAAGATGACAAAGGAACTCTAAGTTTCAATTTTACTTTGGTTACTGCTGCTGCAGTTTTGTCCAGAAAGGTCAACATAACTCCTGGAACGTTAGGGTCAAGTCTTCTTATTTTCTCAATAGTTGCATACTGGTCTGTTTGTTCTCTAGCTTGTGGTTGTACTGAGTTTCTTAAAGCGAACCATTCATAGTTTGGCCCATGTTACTGTTTTGAACTAAGTCAGAGTTAGAATATATCTTATATCCCATGAAAACTTCTGGAGCATATTGGTATCCGACATAGAAAATTCCATTGCAACCTTTCTTGTCAGACAACTTGGCAGAAGGTTTTATTTCAATGTCTTGTTCCACGTATAAGAAAGAGTTGTCAATAGAAATTATATGAAAACCTGTCGCAAGCAATATCTACTGTTGTTGAAGAACCTTCTCCAAACTCACTACATTTCCATAAGAAACAGCAGTTTGTATATTCGTAAGTTCCAGGAACTATTTCTGACCTTCTAATGGCATTGTCGCATTCGTTATACCATTCGGAAACATTTCCATTCATAGCATCCAAAACTGTTGGCGTTATATTCTGAGCGGCGTACATTTCATATGAGTAAAAATATAGAATAGTTGGATTTATATGTCATAATAGAACCCACGTGGACCAAGCTTTACTTTCTTCCTGACTGAGTTTTTAACTCTTCTTTTTCCTTCATTGCCCTCTGCTTGAAGTTGTTGCATCTTTGCATTATGTTCATCTAGTATGTTGCAAATTTCCCATGTCCTTTTTGCCTTTTGGCTCTGGTCGCCCATCTCAGGTAACCTATATCCTAGAAAGAGTTTGTCATAGTCTGTATTTGAGTCTTTGCGTATTGTTTGCATGACTCTTTCCTGAGTTTCTGGTTCAAGCTCTTCAAACAGTGCCTGTCCATATGGAATATGCTCGTTTCCAAATATATGTTTTTGTAGCCATTCTGGTTTTCTTTCCATGTTACCAACTATATCTTTTGTGAATGGGAAAGCTTTTACCCAATCTTTCAGTCTTGCGTCGTTTATTTCTGTAGTTGGTTTTATTTTGTCAAGGAACATGTTTTTCAATACTAACATTTCATTTGGTACTGTCCATTTGAGTTTTCTTAAATATTCATCCCTTCTCGGTTCATTGTCTGCAAAGTAAGTTTTTATGACATTTTGTAAACTTTCGTTTGCAAGGTCATGTACAATAGGTTCTCTTCCTTCTCTGTCCATAACTTTCTTTCTAAACTCTTCACCAAATATACCATCTCTATGGTTCTGTGTAGTTCTTTGAGATAAATGTTCTAGAACGTCAGGTGTTATATTTCCATCAGCCATGTTCATTTCATACTGGTCCAAAATATCTGCATGTTTCATATCTTTCAATGGCATTAAAGCCGCGCTTAAAATACCAGCTATATCTCGTTCACCATTGACTTCCATTGCGTCTACAACTTCTTGGAATTGAGGTTGTAAGTTTATGAACCACCTATCTGGATTAGCTTTATGACCCCATCTCATTGTAGTTCCATCGTCTGCAGAAACAAAAGTAGGTTTGTTTCCATCTTGGTTAGGTTCTGAATGAACTTTAAACAATGTTTCATTTCTATATGTTTTCTTGAAATTTAACCTTTTATTTTCACCGAGTTCATCCGAAGATTGAACGTTAAATGCTCGTAAGTAAAAAGGGTTGTTGTATTGTGTACATTTTCTTTCAGTGCTTCCATTCTATGCTGAATATTTTCATCTGGTGTTGGAGTCTTTTGTATGTCGGCAAACATTTTTCGATATTCTTCTACTATGTCAGCTGAATTTTTTTTAGACTCTTGGAAATATTCCATATTCTCCGCATACTCTTGTTGAGGGTCAAGATTTTTCGGCTGTTCCAAATCTTCATCTAGTTCTGTGAAGTTAGTTTCCAAAGGAGTGACTTGTTCGTTTCCTTCAGGCTCTTCTAGCTGTTGTTGCTGAACTATTTTTCCATGTCTGGTTGTATCTGAACTAGTTCTTCCTGTGGAGTTTCTTGTACCTCATCTGCTGGCATTTCATATATTCCGAGACCGTTTTCAACAAGTTCCCTTTCTAAGTCATCCGGACTCAAAAACCTTTCTTCTTTCGTTCCGTCTCTATTTTTTACGCGTTTCATGACGGGAGTTGAATTGTCATTTAGCTCTGACATCAAATATCTCGGAGTAAATTCAGTCATGTCATTTGGATGATATGCTATTAAATCATATCCCTTAGCGAGCTTGTATTTTCCAGGTTTGAAATTATATCCCATTTGGTGCTGAACCATAAAGCTAAATAGGTTCGGGTCAGTATTTCCATCCTTGAACTTTCTAATAGCTTCTTTATATCTGTCACTAAAGTCAATACTATCTGGGTAACCATAGTCTTCCTTAAGCCTTTTTAAGAATTCTTGTTTCCTTGTTCTCTACTTCTTTTATGTCCTTGCTCTGTTTGTGGTTGTTGTTGTGCAGGGTTTTGAACTGTTGGTTTGTGGTTGTTGTTGTGCAGGGTTTTGAACTGTTGGTTGTTGTGTTGGTTGTTGTGCTGGTTGTTGTGTTGGTTGTTGTTGTTGTTGTGCTGGATTTTGAACTGTTGGTTGTTGTGTTGGTTTTGGTGCATGCCTGTGTCTGTGTCCATGTGACGATGTAAATGTTTTAGGTAGTCCTGGTGCAGGTGCTTCTCTTGGAGGGTTTGGTGGTATATAAATTCCAACAGCTGGTATATAAGTTCCACCAGCTGGCACATATGTTCCATCTGCAGCGTAATGTCCTACCTGACTTTTCGTTCTTAAGAAAGCATTTACTAGGTCTGTTTTGGTCTGTTGTAACTCTTTTTCTTGACTTTTCACAACAGTTGCTCTAACGGCGTCATAGGCACTTTGAACTGCCTGTCTCGTTGCTGCATCTGTTATTTTCGTCATATTTTGTGCTACTTCTTTTAACTCTTTGTCGAAACCTTCAGACTTCAGTTTCTTTCCAGATGAGAAGTCGTTCACTTGTTTCACCTTACTATGAAGAGCTTCGAAGGCGTTCTTAAAGTCAGCATTTGTTAAAGCTTCATTTGAACTGTCTTCATCCGCTTGTATTTTTTGTCCTTATTGACCCTATAAGTTGGGCTGCTTTAGCGTTAGCTTGGGCATCTAACCAGTCATTGTTAGCTTTTATATATTCTGCGCTTTTTCATTGCCTTTTGCATGGCTTGCGTCGTTATTTTTACTTTCTTGTGCTAAGTTTTCATACTGTACGGTTTGGTTTTGCAACTGTAAAAGTTTTTCCTTTGCCTTACTTTGCTTCAATTCTTTTTATACTCATCGCTATCCATATATGTCTTCAGGGCTTTTTGTTTTATCTCTTCATCTTTCAGTACTTTATATTGAGTAGTATGGTTTTTCAAATTTATGACATCTTGTTCCATTTTTGCTACTTCTGCTGCTTTTTCTGACACTTTTTTGCATATTCCTCTGTACTTAGTTCTTTCAGTTGTTCTTCTTTCTTCTTTTTCTCTACGTTTAACTCATTGAGTTTCTTGTGTGTCTGTCATATTCTAGTTTCTTTTCGTTTTCACTTATTTGTTTCTGTATGTCTATGTTTGACTTTTTGACATCTGTTATTTGATTTTTGAGTGAACTCAAATTCATTTGACTTTGAGGTTATAAGCTGTTCCGTCTGCAGCTCACCATAGCCTGCCATTTTCGCTAAAAGTGCCGCTCTTAAACCTCCACTCTGTGCACCAATAACTCGGTTTAAAAGCATAGGGTTGCTTGACATTTGTTGCAACATAGTGGGGTCATTCATCATTTGTTGTTGCAACTGTTGTTGTGGTGTCAGTTTTACTATTGGATGTTTCAATGCTCTCTTCCTCTTACGTATATTCTTACGTAGCTTACGTGGCATTTTAAGTGAAGTTAAAAACATTTACGATGAAGAAGTTTCGACAAAACATTTACGAAGAAATCATGAAAATTATGAGGTGAGAAAAAGGTGAGAAAAGAGGTGACATCTCACCTCTTCACCTAAATTATATTTTGGTCATTTACGCTCATTACGAAGAAGTCTTGACAAAACATTTACGAAGAAGTCTTGACAAAACATTTACGAAGAAGTCTTGACAAAACATTTACGAAGAAGTCTTGACAAAAACATTTACGAAGAAGTCTTGACAAATATACGATGAAATTCATGAGTTTTCTACGATGTTAGAAAACATGTTAGAAAAGGTGTTAGATCTAACATTCTAACATAAACATTATTTTTTGGTCATTTACGCTCATTACGATGAAATCATGACAAAACATTTACGAAGAAGTCTTGACAAAACATTTACGAAGAAGTCTTGACAAAACATTTACGTTCATGTTTGACAAAACATTTACGTTCATGTTTGACAAAACATTTACGAAGAAGTCTTGACAAAACATTTACGATGAAGTCTTGACAAAAAAGTCAACGGCTGGTCGGCTGGGGTTCGGTCCTCCTCTTGGGTCTTGGGAAAAATTCTTAGGGCTAGAAGGCACGAAGTGCCTGGAAGCCCCACTACCTTTTTTTTTTTTTTTTTTTTTTTTTTTATTTCATCTTTATTATTTTTTTTATTCCTTTGAAAAGTGACACTGGATAGTTTGTCCCTTTCTCTGGATATTTTGAATGAATTGGCTTTATTAGGTTGTTTTTAGACGTTTATAATTTCCAAATTTTATTTGAAAATCAAAAAATTACTGTTATAGACCGAAAATAGATTTTTTCGGTTTTCTCTTCAAATAATTGAAAGAATGATACTATTATAGGTTTATTATATTATATAGCATATAATCATGCTATAGCCGAAAATTATAAGTTTTGAGAAGATTGAATATAACACAAATAAATTTGAATGTAAGTTAAATTGCTTGTTGTTTTTAATAGCTATTTAATGAGAAATCCAATATTGCAAAATTCAAATTGAATGATTGAAAGAACAGAAAAAGTCATTCTTTTCAATTTCGAATATTTTTCATTGTATTTATAATTATATGGTAAATAAGATATTTAAACTTGATTTTTGAAGGAAAATTCACAAAATTGAATAAATTCAAATAATTTTTATTCAAAAATAAACTAGTTATTTGAGTTTAATACTAATTATCTATTCAAACTACAAAGTTTGTAATTTAAAATATTTTGTGAGATCAGATTGAATTAATTCAAGGTTCTTTTCAATTAATATTAATGACCATATTACGCATTTTCGAACATTCTAAACCAAATATATAAAAATGGGAGACGAATGATAAATTTTTTAGACATAAAGAAGTTGTTTACCGAGTTTTAGCTCTTATCTCTAACAAAAAATTAATTTTTAAAAAAATGACCGAATACGTTTCACAGCGAGAAAAAAATAAAAGGCAAGATAGAATTTTCTAGACATAAAGAAGTTGTTTACCGAGTTTTAGCTTTTATCTCTAACAAAAAATTAATTTTTAAAAAAATGACCGAATACGTTTCACAGCGAGAAAAAAATAAAAGGCAAGATAGAATTTTCTAGACATAAAGAAGTTGTTTACCGAGTTTTAGCTCTTATCTCTAACAAAAAATTAATTTTTAAAAAAATGACCGAATACGTTTCACAGCGAGAAAAAAATAAAAGGCAAGATAGAATTTTCTAGACATAAAGAAGTTGTTTACCGAGTTTTAGCTCTTATCTCTAACAAAAAATTAATTTTTAAAAAAATGACCGAATACGTTTCACAGCGAGAAAAAAATAAAACTGTACACTGATTTTCATTTTCATTTCCAGTCACTTTACTTATTATTTTTTCTTTTTTTCATTTTAATTATAAATTATTTCATAATACGTTTATTTATGTTACCATTTTCTTTATTCTTTTGAATTCCATACTAGACACTTATAGAATATTTTGATTGTTAACGTACTTCATTAGAATGAATCCTTACAAAGGGTATGTCGATCGAATTTACCTAATTGGTATTTCCAATCAGATTGAAGAAGGTAAAATGACATGGGAAGAAGCTTGCACCCATGTTCCCATCGCCCCAACCCTTCAATCAAATGATTTCAAATATTTAGATGTTTCAAAATCTTTTTTACAAAATCAATTTAGCTTACAGAATATCCCATTGCTAAAGGCAAGAAAGGTCGTAGGGTCAATCCCTACGACCAAATCAAAGCTCTTGCTGTGATACATGACCACTGGGCCTTTCCCTGTGGTCAAACAAAACAATGGAAACGTTTGAAATTACAACAAATTGATGTATCTTATAGAGAAGTACGCAGATACTTCAAAGAAAATCATTTCACCAAGACGCGATTAGAGCATGCCGGGCCAGAAACAGCAGTAGATATTGGGCGCTTTCACCCAATCTTATCTGGCACGCATATGTTCATTATTTTAGGGGTGTTCGTGGCCAGTATATTTATGGCATAATCGACGATTTTAGCCGCAAAGTCCTAGCGTGTATACAAATACCAGATATGCTGGCAGCGACGACAGCGAACGTTGCGGCTTCCGCCTTCATTGAATTTGGCGCCCCTTATTGTTTCTGGACCGACAACGGTTCAGAAAATAGGGGCGCCTTTAAGATCTACTTGATCTTTGGGGCGTCCAATGGCGGCATACAGACTCTCATTCTCCTACCAAAATGGGAAGATTGAGAGATTCTGGCCGACATTGGAGCGCTGCCAAAGCATTCAGGCTATTCCTGCCTTTATTTGGGAGTACAATAATAACACACCGCATGAAGATCTCCCAATTAATCCATTAACTGGAACAAATTACACGCCAAATCAAATGTATCAGCTGAAACCGAAATACACAAATGCAGATACAGAAAGGTTGTGGCAAATATGGGATACAGATACAGGCATGACCGCTGTTGACACATTCACAGCGTAATAATAAACATAATTTTTTCATATCATTTTTAACAAGTTTTTTTAAATGTATGTAATGAATAATTCATTAGAATATGATAATGCACATTGTAACAGAATAGAACAATCACCAAATTTTTTTTTGAAATTAAAAAATAAAAGTAAAAAGTATAAAGTAATCTAACCAAAAAAGATATTTAAAAGAATTTTGGAAAAAACAGAATATGGATAATGATATTATTTTAGATACACAATCGATGTACTGAAGAATAATCCGGTAAAATGATGATATAAAATTAGATTATTTTACAAGTAGCTAAAAGAATAAAACTATAATATAAAATAAATGAAGTTTAATGAAACAATAAAGGGTTAAATAAAATAAAAAAGATTTTTATTTTATATCAGTATTGAGAAGAAGTAACAGCTGACACTTGGTAGACAACTTCTTTATGTCTAGAAAATTCTATCTTGCCTTTTATTTTTTTCTCGCTGTGAAACGTATTCGGTCATTTTTTTAAAAATTAATTTTTTGTTAGAGATAAGAGCTAAAACTCGGTAAACAACTTCTTTATGTCTAGAAAATTCTATCTTGCCTTTTATTTTTTCTCGCTGTGAAACGTATTCGGTCATTTTTTTAAAAATTAATTTTTTGTTAGAGATAAAAGCTAAAACTCGGTAAACAACTTCTTTATGTCTAGAAAATTCTATCTTGCCTTTTATTTTTTTCTCGCTGTGAAACGTATTCGGTCATTTTTTAAAAATTAATTTTTTGTTAGAGATAAGAGCTAAAACTCGGTAAACAACTTCTTTATGTCTAGAAAATTCTATCTTGCCTTTTATTTTTTTCTCGCTGTGAAACGTATTCGGTCATTTTTTTAAAAATTAATTTTTTGTTAGAGATAAGAGCTAAAACTCGGTAAACAACTTCTTTATGTCTAAAAAATTTATCATTCGTCTCCCATTTTTATATATTTGGTTTAGAATGTTCGAAAATGCGTAATATGGTCATTAATATTAATTGAAAAGAACCTTGAATTAATTCAATCTGATCTCACAAAATATTTTAAATTACAAACTTTGTAGTTTGAATAGATAATTAGTATTAAACTCAAATAACTAGTTTATTTTTGAATAAAAATTATTTGAATTTATTCAATTTTGTGAATTTTCCTTCAAAAATCAAGTTTAAATATCTTATTTACCATATAATTATAAATACAATGAAAAATATTCGAAATTGAAAAGAATGACTTTTTCTGTTCTTTCAATCATTCAATTTGAATTTTGCAATATTGGATTTCTCATTAAATAGCTATTAAAAACAACAAGCAATTTAACTTACATTCAAATTTATTTGTGTTATATTCAATCTTCTCAAAACTTATAATTTTCGGCTATAGCATGATTATATGCTATATAATATAATAAACCTATAATAGTATCATTCTTTCAATTATTTGAAGAGAAAACCGAAAAAATCTATTTTCGGTCTATAACAAAATCAAAAAATTACCATAAATAATTTAAAAATAATTTTCATTTTTTCAAATTTAAAAAAATTTTGGAAGTAGAGATGCGAGTTTCCGAATTTTTTTAGCCCTGGGATGTCATAACCGCTGCGGTTTTGTAAAATTTGGGATAAATTTTGACAATCCATTTTTTGTGGGATGTACGTTTATATCAATTTGCTCGGCGTTTGCCGAGCTATTGTACAATCCTACTCGAATTCATTACGCAGCCCTGGTCACTCAAAGGCCGGGGCATACAATTACAAAATAGTAGAGTGAGACTCTTCTAATTTCTTCCAATCACAAGGAAGATCTTAGAAGAGCCTCACTCTGCTCGAACACATTACGCAGCCCTGGTCACTCAAAGGCCGGGGCATACAATTACAAAATAGTAGAGTGAGACTCTTCTAATTTCTTCCAATCACAAGGAAGATCTTAGAAGAGCCTCACTCTGCTCGAACACATTACGCAGCCCTGGTCACTCAAAGGCCGGGGCATACAATTACAAAATAGTAGAGTGAGACTCTTCTAATTTCTTCCAATCACAAGGAAGATCTTAGAAGAGCCTCACTCTGCTCGAACACATTACGCAGCTCCTGCTCAACAATGAGCAGGTCTTACCACTTTGAGAGGCTTTCGCTCGAGTTCTGATGCAGATCCCAACGCGAGCGAGAGTCTCTCAAGCAAGCTTCTAATTTGTAGCTAGAGTTTCACTCTTATGAACTGGCAGCCAATTTGAGAGACTTTCGCTCGAGATCTAATGAAAAATCAGAACTCGGCCAAAAATTGCCCAAACAGGCTTGTAATTCGTAGCTATAGTATTGATCGTATGGATGTGTTGCCAATATGAGAGACTTTCGCTCGATGTCTGATATTGCATCAGACATCGAGCGAAAGTCACTCAAAACAGCTTAGACATGTCTATTTTGACGGCATTAAATGATTTCATAGGAAATGTCTCAGTTGTTAATTAAGTTCACGTGAGCTTTTATGAATGAAAATAAGTAAAAAAAAAGAATTTTCTCAAAAAAAATTGTGTACGCATTGAAATTTTTATCTATAAATTTAGATATGTCATCAATAATATAATATAATTTTAAATTCGTGGAGTACACTTGGGATAATTGAATATGGGCTACCCCATCCCAACCTCTCAAACTTCCTCTGAATTTGGACAAGGTATCCCAATCCCAAAGACCTATCTGAATAAAATGAAATAAGTATATTATATATATTATTTATTTGCTAATAATGAGCATAAATCGCTAAAATTATGAAGAAATTAAAAATTAAAAATTAAAATTAGAAAAAAATGTTGATTTAATGAGAGAATATTGTATAAAAATAGAATTATTAGCTAAAATACGTATTAATTTTATGATATTTCAATCACATTAACGAAAATCGCCCATTTTTAATTCAAATGGGCGGGAAAAAAAATAAAATTCCAAAAAAATTGAATTGGGGAAACGATAGGGGACGGGATATGAGAAACCCCATATGTTTGGGAATTTTTCGCATCACTATTGGAAGTATCAGGAAGATTCTTTCTAAAATTCAATAAGCCATTTTCATATACTTTTAGTAGAGATATGATTTAACTATAAATTATCTCTCAAATGGTTAATTCAATTTAAATTTTTCTAAATTTGTTTGAAAAAATCTGAAAAAAAACAGAATTTAAAACATAATAGAAACTACTTTAATGGAAACAAACATATATGATCAAAAAATATCAATATCCGCACAATATTCTGCGTCAAAATCGTCATCAATGGATTCTTCAACTGTAGAAAACCCACTAAATATTGGTTCTTCAGGTGGTTTTAGTAACAGTTGTAAAATATTTTGATCAAAAGTTGGCGTCGGAATAGAAATCATATTTTCGGAAATAGGGAACAAAACACTTGTTGACATATTCTCAGGTTTGGCCACTAATTGCTGGCTTTGAACTCTATCTGGCATTTCAAATTTTGGAGGTTCAATTGGTGAATTATTATTAGATTTAAGGACAGAAACGCGTTTTCCTTTCTTGATTTGGCGCTTTATAAGAGCTCCATGGTTCTTTAAAAGAACATCTGTACGCTTTGGGAAAAACTCGGCTATTTTGGACCATTTTGTGCCGTATTGGTCCATTAACTTTTCTAATAACTCATCCTCTTCTTGTGTAAACTGTTCGTGGCTTACATTTGGAGATAAATAATTAATCCATCTCTCGCGTACTTGTCTGGCTGTTCTTCCGGGCAATTTATTGGCTATGAAGTTCCAATTTCTTTGTCCGTATTGTTCGACGAGTTCAGTAAGTTTTTGATCTTCATCTTTTGAAAAAGATTGGCGCTTTTGATTTACACGTTTAACTGGGAAGAGATCTTCAGATTCAGATACGTTCTGAATTTCTGGTTGCTCAATTGGTGAGAGAGAACCGTTATTGCAGAGATATGGCATTTATTAAAATGAAGTTCAAAAAATTTCTTAAATTTAATATTGTCAAAATTTTGATCAAAATTTTAAAAAGTGAGCTATTTTTTTGCCATAGTGACATGTTCAAAAAAATTAATATGTGTTTTTTAAAATGTACAATAGATAAATACTAGAATCCATTTGAAATAGATTTCAAATTTTGAATTCTTTCAATTTTGTAAAAAAACATCAGTTTCCAACAAATTTTATAGTTTACCATTCACTGAAAAATTATTTCATTTCTAATACTAAGCATAGTTTAAAAATTTCAAACGATAAAAAATGTCCCAAAAATTTTTTTCATTGCAAACCGACCGTTCATTTCTTCCGCACTTCTTTTTATTAAGCAAATAAGGATAACACTAACTCTTACTACTTTTTCTATAAAGTTTCTCAATACATTTCAATTTTTAAGCTAATATTTGAAAATTTCAAATCTCATTAACTAGAAAATTTGGTTGATTTCAAAAAATTTAAGATTCAAACAAATATTTCCATCTATAATTCCAATATAATAGAAAATAAGAAGATAGAGAGTTGACAATCACATTCACATTAGGATAGAGTATACATTCAACGGTATATTAGTAAAACAATGAAGTTTTATCGAAATTTCCATTGTAATAACATCAAATATTAATGGAATTGTATGGAAATATCTCAATTTTTCCGAATTTTTTCAAACTTGTCATGAAATAAAATAAAAATCCGAATGATTTAAAAGCATAAATTCAAATAAAAACTTTATTTATAAACATTAATCAGTATTAGTCTTCTTATGTATATCCATCACCTTCTGCATAATCATCAAGACCTTCTTTGCCTTGTCCTTAAGGTTGTCTTCACCTGCGAGGCATTTTTCGGTCACTTCAAACAACAATTTAGTATCATACAACAATCCGTGGACGTTTCTATAGAAACAAGAGCTAAGTCTTTCGAAATAGAACTCCATTGACATCGGGATAGCCAAATCCTTGAAAGCTGGCATCTGAGCGGCCTTCAGGAAAGCCTTATACGATTCATCAGATTTAATCGCTTCAATACTGGTCATTAACTGCAATTGCTTGGCCTTCGTGGTTTCAGGAGTATCAGGATAGCTAATTAACCTGTTGTCAATATATAAAACTTCCCATGGTGAAATTGTCACTTTTTCACATGTCACTTTTTCAGTGATTTCAATTCCATTATATGGACTTTCTCTGTTGACTTGTTCGATTGTAGCCTCTACAACTTGGAAATCGAACCAGTCGATATGCTTGAAGTAAGATATCGTTTGTCCAACAACTAAAGAAGCGATTAATTCAGTTGTTGCGTATCTATAACGAGATAATGGAACCAAAGTATTAGGATTAGGGTATTTTACAACAAGTTCTAGCTTGTACTCCTTGTTTGAAGGGAAAGAAAGGGTTACTTTCGCTGTATCTTTCTCTCCGGTTACTTCCATTGCAGTAATGAACGCGCGAGTCGACTCAGTGATCACAGAATCGCCATCGTAAGCTTCTCTGATGAACATTACTTCATCCATATGATGAGGAACGTAAATATTATCATCTACGGCTAAAATCTTTGCCCAAGCAGGCCATTTTTCGTTTTCTGGTAATGTCCTTGAGTAAACTGGCCCTTGGACCAAGTAAGAATTGTCTTTATCTTTTTCTAAATCGAAAATCCAATCTTCTGTATCGCTTTGGATTTCGACCTTGAGCTCCTGATTATCATCATCTGCTGTGATATCTGTAGTTGTCGCAGGTGGCGGTATTGGGTTTGGTCCGCAAGGATTGAATGGTAATTCTATACTCGATCTTATATGTTGAGGTGGTGCAGCGACAGCAGCAGGTGCATCAGTTACTGCTGCCGGTACTCTTTCTCCGGATACAATTCTCTGTACAATGTGTAATTCAGCGGCACAACTTTGAATTACGGGACCCTGAAGCATTTGGAGCTGCAAATCGAGGTTTCTGATATCTATGCAGTCCGGCTGCTTCTGTAGTAATATTCCGTTCCGGTCCATAAACTGCCTTGTCCCATCTTTCGATGGTTCAAGGGATTCGTAAATGTCCCTCTCAAAATTTTCTTTTGTGAGGCCGACCCCGTTTATTGTAAACGTTGTGACGCTTCCCAGGATATCGGTTGCGAAGATCCATTTGCCATCGTGGGACCAGCATGCATCAATAAAAGAGTAATCCGTGGGCAAAGAAGTCTGGCAAACGATTCTGCAAGTATATGCATTAATTACAGCGACTTCTCCGGTTCTGTTCGCTATAAATATGATGGATGGGATTGTTGGATGAGGAGAAATAGCACTACATTCTCTTGCGGCCGCGCAATCCATGATATCTCCGAGCATTTCACCTGTCATTAAATGATATATGTAAACGCCTGTTGTTCTTGCAATAATTAAGACATTTTCGTCACAGTTCAACGCTGTGCATGTAATTTTTGAGGCACGACGACCAACTGTACCGACATTCTTAAATGCGTGTTGTTTTTTCCATTGGAGGTTCTCAAGGAGCCATGAATTGCAACCACCATCTTCATTGCTGACTGTAATGAGGCGAGGACCAAGTTCTCCGTGATTTGAATATAAATGATTTGAAAAACCAACGAAATCGCAGACGGACGTGTGGTCTGGCGGTAGTATAACTTCGTTTAATGTCTTAAGTGGTATAATTGCGACGCAATTTGGCTCGCTACTGTAAACAATGAATTCTCCACCAGGAGAGAAAGAAATCCAGCGGACTGCACCCTTTGTACGTGATTTAAATACATGTGACGATGGTTTTCCTTGCACTGCATCTGCCGTTGTCCATAAATGAACAGTTCCATCTTCGCATCCAGCGGCAATCATTGATCCTACAGGGCTAAAACAGCAATAATGGATAACATCTGTTGTAAAGCCTCCCAAAACAGCGATGCATCTACCTGTTTTAAGAGACCAAATTCGCAAAGTTTTATCTTGAGAACTTGAAACGAGCATTGTTGATAATGGATTGATATTTATGTTTGTGATAACATTTTCGTGCCCTTTAAATACTTGAATGGGCCTTAGATCTGGCAAAGACCAGACTTTTATTAGTTTATCATCTGAACCAGTGCATAAAATTCTAGATGCAGGGTCTGTGCACATACAGTAGATAGCATCTAAGTGCATAAATGTGCGTGAATATGGTTTGATGTCGTGAATATTAATCGTTTCTATATTTTTTTGAAAAGGCATAATGCGTCTAAATATACTTGGGAAATCATCATCAGGTCTGAGTGACCGAATAAATGCGACAAATTGATCTTCTGCAAATGAGGAGTACCTAGTATTTAAAGCTTCTTCAATACTTGAACAGCCGACGGGTAAAAGACTGTTCTCTTTGCAGTATTCGCATATTTTCTGATATATATCTGGCATCTTTGTTCGTAAATGGTGACATAATAATATACAAAGTTCTCTCCTGAGGGATTTCTCCTCCATGGAGATATTGTAAGCTAGTTTACAAAATTTTTTTGCGCTCATAATTTATATCAATCTCAATGAAAATTTAAAAAGACTATGAGTCGCTTAATTAAATGCAAAAACTTTTATTCATGAATGATAGTTTTTTAGATTTTTTTAAAATTTCACTACGATATTATCACAATATCTAATAACCAAATAACTTAGATCGAATAGTCTCACATGGTTTTTAACAGATAATGATCCTATTGCAAAATGAAATTCCTCATCCTTCAAAACCGAAAATATCGACTTGATTTCACCTTCATTATTTTCTAAATATAGTACAATATTATATTTTATGGTCAAATCGAGAAAATAATTCTTAAAATTATTGTCACTTTTGCAAAACCCCGCCAAAATTATACTGGTGTTGAATTTTGAAATGAACGAGGCTGTAGTTTCATTATTCGATATCAGAACTCGAGAGAACAGCTCGAGGGTACATATTCCAACATCTGAAAACAATCTCAAACCAAAATTAAAAATCAAAAGAGTTGATTTCAAAAATCCGGACTTAATAAACACAAAATCCAGCACCACCGAAACTTCAGAGAATGTAGCACCAGTTCAAAAAGAGCCCCTTGGTATTCTGCACCCAAATATGTTTACAGGTCTGAAAATTCTCATAAGAATTCAAGACACAACAGTACGGTCTCAGGTTGCGGCATGCTTAAGTGCTATTGGAGCAAAAATATGTCCAGAGAACTTCCCTGCTGTAGATGCTGTCGTTTCAGATAGACCCATAAGATTAATTTCAACTCAACAAATGAATATTGGCATGAGCCGAGGTAATTTATTAGCAGCACAAATGGCTAGACACATGAGTTCAAGTCCTCAAGTTATACTTTTATCTCAAATTCCTTGGGCAAATGTTCAAAAGCCTCTAACACAAGCCTCAAAGATACAAGAGACTCAGCACATAGTAGAAACCCAAGAGGCTACTCCTTTTGTAGGAATTGTTGTGGCAGATGATAAATCTTGCTATAAACCATTATTTAAACAGATGAATAAGATGCCAGTTATCTTTGATAACTCAGTACCACGTGGATACTACTTTACACCATTTACACAGCCTCCAAAGGATCCATCAGTACTTCTTGCTAAATTTGCCAATTATTCAAAGCAAAAGGAAGAGTGCAATGCTGCGCAAATGGGTCCATCTGATAATGGATTCTGCGAACTCTGCGGATGTTCGTTTAAAAATGCACAGGCTCATCGCATGAGTCCAGAACATGTTAATAATATGCAGGTAGAGAAGAAATGGGCAGAATTTGATGCATTATCTGATTTATTTCTTGGCATAATGTAGAATGGTGCCGGAGAATAGTTTTTCAGATCTAAATAAAAAGCTGTTTTGTATTACCTGTTAATTGTTTTTTATAAATAATGTAATAAGAACTGTGCATATGGATATATTTGAGGTTAAAACGATAAAATGAGTTCGAGTCGAAGGATTTTACATCAAAATTATTTGATATGAATCAATAATTTGTGATTTTTTTTGCTTTAAATAAAGGGAAAATCTTTGATTCCAGCCGAGTCCAAAAATTTCACAAATGTTAGTTAACTAACACAAATAAACAACAATGTTTAATGATTTTTCTATTTACAAACAATATTTAATATAAAAATCTGTTTTCTAGAAGGGATTTCTTTGCGAGATTTTGCTTGCATCTGAATCTAACAAATTTTAATACCAGGTAATCTACGACGAGGACAATGAAGCCTGCAACGACAGGATTCTTTAGGAACATATCAATGATACAGAACAATAATGAATATGTGAAATATAATCTAACCTGTAACCCGTAAAATAGCATAAATCTGTAATGTTCACCACTTGTTTTGTCAAGGATTGAAGAGTCTGTGATTGTTGGTGCCATTCCAAATATTCTTCTTGCAACAGGAATTTCGTAATGCAACTCTAGCTTGAAATTAGTTGCTCCTGGAGTGAAAAATTGTTGAAGGAATTTATTGAGATCAGAATAAATTCCAATACATACTTGAGCGAGACTTGCCGCGGCCTGTTTGAATAAGGACCCTCCAACTTGTGCACTAACTGAGTTATAGATATCGAATATTCTTCTACTCAGTTCTGGCTCGAAATATGTTTCGAAACAATTCGATTTCATATCAATCATAATGAAAGATTGAGTCTGGGAATTTTGTTGTTCTGCAGGTTTAGTGTTCAATCTTTGAGATGCAGAAAGTTGCAATTCAATCATTGATTTTTCTGTATCTTTAGTCAATCCATGTATATAATGACCATGAACTGTTGAATCAGTGATCAAAACAGAAATATTTTGGCTCAAACAAATATTCGTAAATTTCTTAAATGGTGATGTGAAAATGAGCCAATATAGCTTGCAAAATAGTAACTCAAATACGAACAAAGCAATGAAAACAATAGCTAGCCATCCGACTTGTAATATCATGGCATATATTCCTGTGAAAACAAGGTCAGTATCAGGAATTGGAGAAGCAAACAACTCAAGTTTAATTGCGACTTGAAGAAGAACTACAATCATGATTGTGAATGGCATATTGTAGTATCTGACTGTTGATATCTTAAAGAATTCGTTAGCAACAAGTAATCTGTGCCAAACTTTTGATTCATCAACATTTTTGTCTTCTTGTGACCAATCAATGATGAAAAATTGATGGCCAGTTACAAGAAGCAATTTAATGATTGATGCGAGTGCTTTGAAAACGAAAGCTGTCGAAATAAAGGCAATCAAAAATCTGAACTCTTCTCCATAGGGAAGATAAACAGCTAAATCTGATTGTAACTTGAAGAAAAAGAAGTAATAAATTGAATATCCATAAACCATGACTACAAATATGTTTCCAATTTGATCTAAGAGATTTCCTAGTAAAGTTAAGATCAGATAAAGTCCAAATCCGCCATTTCCATGTTTTTTAATGGAAACAAATGCGGTATATGCAAATACAAATAATCCAAGAATGAAAATCATTGAGAAAACAATAGCTGCTACATCCCAAAATGATTTCATATCTTTAGAGTATACAACATTGAATTCATAGGCTGGTTGAGATGTTGTTTCTTTTAATTTTTCATATGAAGGAGTTGAAGCTTCTAATATGGAACGTGGGAACTGTTTGTACCTTACAATAATTTTAGGAGTTGTTATGTTATCAGCTTTTGTTGATGATGTTGTGAAGATTAAAGTGAAATTAACTAAATACTGAATAATATCATCAGTTGTAGAGTTATCCATAAGGAAGAAACGTCTTGCATAGTATAGATTCGATGTTCCGTTATTAATTAAGTTAGTTAGATTTCCACTTTCATCAGCAAAGCTCATATCTAACACAGGGATTGGTCTTAGTACAGGATATGATCCAACCATGTTGTCTTGAATGAATGGATCATAAAATTCGTTCGAAGTAAAGTTCATTTCTTCATATATATTAATAGCACAGCTTGAATAATAATTAGATCCGAATTTTCTCCAGATATTTTCGGTCTCTTGCTTGTGTCTGCATCTCTCAGTATCTAATTCAAGAACTTTAAAACCTAGAAACTCGCCATCAAATGAATAACGTGCAAACGTGATATTAATTATTCTGCCCGCACTAAACTTACTTAATATAATGTTTTCCTTAAATATTTCATTGTCATCACGGTTGATGTATGTGAGAAATAGATCATTCTTTGGCCAGAAGTTATAATCGTATTGTTTTGCTGTCATTATATCAGCAAAACTAGTGGCTAAAGTACATGCTTGAGATTTTAAACTGAAGTGATTCGCAGCACATACATTTGCTAAGAATTCTCTCTGCTGAGGTGCTTTACTTTGGTAATTTAATACTGTAATGCTTTCGACCAATTTATTATAAGTGTTGTTATTATAACTAGTTTGGAATGCCTTATTTTCAGTTTGGTTGACTAGATTGTAAAATCGAAAGTTTTTTGATGTATTAGTTGTTACATTTGCTTTTAATTCTGCAAACTCGGTTGAATTAACACATATTGTACCAATGAGTTCATTCGGTGACTCGCATTCTGGAACACAAGGATAAGTATAATTATCTTCTGTTCCACAATCAACACAATCGAAAATAAACCAGCTATATGTTTGATTCACACCACATGTGAAATTCGAAATCATTAGAGGTTGATTTTCAACGCTGCTGGTCAGTAAAAAAAGAGAGAAAAGCATATCAATAAAATTTAGACGTTTATAAATTTTTATTTCAAATGTCAAACTTTTGACATTGATGAGAATTTGAGATCAATTTCTGAGCATTGCAAGAGGCAAAAGAATTTGATTGTATATTTCATATCTATATACATTGGATTTCTATATAAATACCTTTTTATTCAATGAATTTCTTTAGGAACACTCATTCCCAAAACAAAATGAAAGAATGATAGGAATGAGTCTCGTAAATTCCAAATGCAATCACTCTAAAGATATTTGGTTGCATTTTGTCTTAATTACATAATATTTTCTTTAAGAACTAAACTTATTGAAGTTTTATCATTATCATATCAAATTGTAGAACAATATGAATAAATGGTTTTGTTCCATGCTGAGAAATATGCTTGATTGCAATAAAATTATCTTCAGTATATCATATTTCCAGCAAAATGTTAATTGCTTTGTTAGCTTTTAATTTGGTTTGGCTTTCCATTCTATGCCAGCATGTGGATTTTGTTTGTGATTGATTTCATATTCATTTCCACCAAAATATTTTTGATACCCCCTCATTTATATTGAATGTCTGCTCCTTCATCACGTGACCGAAAATCAAATCCCTCACGCGAAGAAGCTGCTTTAAGGAGCTATTTTCCGGCCATGAAGTTATTACCTGATAAACAATTCCATTCTGATGTTGCTTTTCGTCAAACTGGCGAACATTTTGCTGTGATTTCAGAAAACAACATGATTAGCCTCTTTGATGTTGCAACATGCAATTTAGTGAAAAGCATACCAAATCGTAAGTACCAATGCAATAAATTACTTTTTCATCCAGATTCTGTTCGTATCATCTTAAATTCTTTTAACGATAACGATCATAAAGCACGATTACTTAATGTTGAAACAGATGGATTCGATCTCTATTACACAGGGCCAAATGGACAGATAACTTCCATGGCTACAACAGATGCTTGTTTATTTACAGTTTCAGAAGACGAGCGTCTCCATGTATTCGATGTTAAGACAGCAGAAGTAATAACCAAGATAGATTGCCCTCGAGAATCACAAGTTGCTACTCATCCGAACGGAAAATGCATGGTTTTAGCAAATACAAGCGAGCTAAGCCTCTACGATATACGTAACATGGATCAATCAGTTTGCTCCATTCATTTCTCGCCTGGCTGTAAAGTTGCTCCTCATTTTGGAGAAATCGGAAATAATTTATTAATTACTGGCTCTAAATACGCAAAACTACATTCATTGCGTGATTTATCAGTAATACGAACATTTGCACAACTTGAAGATGAATTCTTCACAACAGGAGCTTGTTTTACAGCTGATGAAAAATATGCTTTGGTCGGATCGTCAGATAACAGTATTTTGGCATACGATGTTCCTCATTCTAGGAAGGACACACCATTATACGAGAAAACTGTCTTAACTGGCCACATTTCTCCGGTCAAAGGAATTGCTGTTTCAAATAGGTACTTTAATATGGTTTCTTTTGGAGAAGATTGCTTGTTTTGGTCTGTTGATATTGATTCATTTAACAGTTTAGGCTATAAAGAATAGATAATAAAATTGTTTTTAATTATATTAAATTTCCAATTCATTTTTAAAATACTCTTAAGGTAGGCTCCTATCAATATTATTTTCTTGTTGATTTCTATTATTTTCACTATAAATATGATCGGCATATACACAATCTTGATCGGCAATTCAAAAATTTACCATCATCAAAATCGTTTTTGATGCCCTTGGTAATTGTAAACCCAAGAGCGACTCCACCTCAGAAATAATTAAGCCAAGTAGGTTTGTTTCATAAATAAAGATCAGCTTTTTATTTTGAATTTCAGATTATTTTTTTCAAACTCTTATTTTATTGGCTTGTTTCGAATATTTTTCTGCTCACATGTAATTGTATCATTTTTACACGGTAAAAGTTAAATCAGTTGTTGAATTCAGAGTCGATTGACCAACTCAAAAGTTCAAAAATATGCAGCAACTTTATGATCTTTTTTTGACAGCGCCTCTCCCATATACATACGTGCGCATCCCACAACCAGACGAACCTGATAATGTTCCAAAGTTCCCAATTCGCTTTTATGTAAATAAAGTTATAACAAATTTAACACGAAGCGCCTTCAAACATGCAGGTTTCACACCAACAACATCTCCAAGACAATGGAATGCTTCTTGGGGGCGTCAATATCAAGAAAAAGAATATACAAAATGCCAAAATTGGCAAAAAATCAACCATTACGCAGGTGCATTTCTTATGGGACGCAAAGACAATCTCCATAAGAGGATGAAGGAGCTTTCATCACGTGGAGAAGACCTGAATGACTTTTATCCACGTTCGTATTTACTTCCAGAAGATCAAGAAGATCTAAACAAAGTCTGGAATACAAAGAAATTGTGGATTGTCAAACCATCAGCTTCATCACGAGGCCGTGGAATCCATCTTGTCAACTCCGAAGTCGATGAAATACCAACAACACCAGGTATCGTCCAAACATACATCGAACATCCACTTCTCATTACACAGCGCAAGTTTGATATGCGTTTATACGCTCTTGTTACTTCCTGCGATCCACTTCGAATTTACATGCATAAAGCAGGCCTTGCACGCTTTTGCACCCACAAATACAACTTGGATGGCGATTACAATGATACCCACATGCATCTTACCAACTTTTCTCTCAATAAAGATGATGAAAATTTCAATCGTTGCGATTCCGACGTAGAGAGTATCGAAGATAGCAAATGGTCATTACCGTTCTTCATGAACCACCTCAAAGAAAACGGCTACGACTGCAATTTAATCATGGAAAGACTCGAACACGTCACAATTTCATCAATTATTGCCGGAATGATGGCAATTCGAAAGCACCATCAGAAGCTTATTCCACATCGCCACACATCCTATGAAATGTACGGCATTGACATCATGTTTGATGAAAATCTTTGTCCTCATTTAATAGAAATCAACATTTCTCCGGCCATGAGTGGAAATGACTCCAAACTCGATACAGCCATTAAATATCCTCTCATGTTGGATCTCCTTAGAATGGCCAGGATCATTGATTGCGATCCATGCAAGAAATATCCATGTCCTGGCGTCGACATGATTGATGATGCATGGAGAGATTCGACATCCGATGACAGACAAGAGGAAGTACTCGTCCAGAAGAAGGATGGATGGAAAGAACCAACATTTGGAGATATAACAATGATCAGAGATTTCATTGAAGAACAGCCAAGACTTGGAGGATTCAGAAGAGTTTTTCCAAGAAGAAAAACAATGGCAAATTACGTTCCTTGCTTCGAGAAATTGTCTTACTTCGATACAATGTTCCAGGCGTGGATAGGAATGCCTTCAAAGGACAGATTTAGAGTTATCAGCGAAAATTTTGAGAGCTATAAGACACAAATGGAAGGAATTGTCCAAGATGCTGCAACATTTGAATAAAAAATTGTCTATTTATCTTTGTTTGTAAATATAAATATTATTTTTATGCAATTAAATATATTTCATAATTTATAAAAGAGTTTTAATATGGAAATAAATTTGATAATTATATTTTTGAAAGAATTCCTAACATTGGTAGTGAAACCATATATACTTCAGTATGAATCGTTTCGTTCAAGTATACCCACTACGCATTATTTAATATTATTATAAAATTTCTATTATCACATTATTTTTGTTTACCAGAGTTATAACTTATAGTTAATAAAACATGAGGTGTAAATTATAGAAAGAAAATTTTTTAAAAAGTTCAAACAAATAAAAAATAATAAAATATTATCAATAAAGAGAATACAACTCAAATCAGAAGAGAGATTACCACAATATAAGGCAAATTTAAACAGTTTGAGGCAGAAATATTTATCAATACACACATTTTCTGCCTTAATATGGTAATTTTATCAAAAATAGTTGATTTTGATAAAATACCACATGATTTTGATTTAAACTTACCAAGTACAGATTGCGTTTGAGTGATATTTTTCTTATTGATAAAAAAAGAGGAAACAATTTTCAAGATTTGAAATTAAGCATTAATCAATACCTGCTGAAATACCAATCCTGGGATATTTCCTCTACAAACAATGTTGAACGATAAAGGTGGATTTTGTGGGTTTAATGAATAATCTTAGAAAAGCCTGTTTTCTTTTGTAGTTTCTTTACTGTTTTGTTTGTATTGTGTGGATCCATTAGTTGACCTTTTGTTATTTGAGCCAATCATGGAATCTTTATCTTGTTGAGGTTTATTTTGTAAATTGTTTCCTGAACGTCCTTTTGGAACAAATGATTGGTATGCTTGATCTTGCTGGTATGCAATCTGTGAACCTGGCTGATAGCCTGCTTGAGAGCCATACGAATTTTGATTGGTGTAAGGATTGTAATAATATTGCTGCGCTTGTTTAGCGGAAACTTTTGGAGGCAAGCTGCTCTTATGTGCCATTTTCGGAGGTAGATCGTGAATTGATGAACGCCCACGACTATTAGAATGACTCATTTTTTCCAAAATAAAAAAAGTTTACACCGAAACATTTTATCTTCTCAAAAAATTGAAAACGAAAAATTTCTTGGAAGATTTTTTTGTCTTTGCCTGTATTTCAGGCTAATGCATTGTCATCAGAAAATTAATGAAAATAGCTCATGAACTAATAATTTATGTTACAAGTCACAAATATTTGGATTAAATCTTAACCATTGATGCTTTATTTCGGTGTCCAATTTCAAGATCAATCATTGAATTCAATAGATTTAACTTATATTAGTTATACTACAAGGTTATCACAATCATTTGCACTTGTTCCTACTTTAAATAGATAAAAAAGGGAACAACATGCAGCATATGATAATATGTAATACTTTAATGCGCAGATAAAGGTATTACAATAAAAATATTAAAGTTTGTCATTCGGAGATTAAAAAAATTATTAATATGCAACTTCTCTAATTTAAATTGGACATACAAGGCGAGTTGAATAATATGCCAGTGCTTCCCATGCTAATATAGAGAGTGAAATTAATCAATGGGGAACAAATCATCAAATTCCACTAGCACCAGGTGAAATCATAGCACAATGAAACATTTGACATAATTCCTGAATATTATTTGCGATTATGCCAACTTGGCTGACTAAATTTCAGGCAAATATCTATTTTCAAAAAATTAATTGATGAAATATATTCTATTTGAGGAGATGTTACTACTTTTTTAACAAACTGGAAAAATATTTTCATTGAAAAAAATTTAGAGTTATTTTGGTCAGAAACAGTTTCAATTTTAACTCTCAATTATCTTATTGATTTTTTCAAATATGCTGTAAATAATATGCTCTATAAAAATTATCCATTAATTTTTTTGAATAGAAATATGGATGTATACTCCTTGCATATCATACATCAATATTTATTCATAAAAAATCCTATAGTTTCATAGATATTTTAACTTTTCAGAGACACACAAAATTGGAATTATTTATTTAGTTAATTTATGTTATTAGCAGAAATACCTTTTTTATTTTATATTGTTAAGGGTGCACACGAGAGGATCATGTAAACTTCAGAATTTAGAACCTTATTTTTAAGCATTATCTTGGCTACCTATTTAGGCTCGAAAAGCAAAAAATATCAAAAAATACAACTTGAGTCCATTATGACCCTTTCATGGAGGTAGTTTTTCTCCGCTAGTATTTTCCCTTTGAATCTCTTTACAATTCGAAATCAAATTCAAAACTCAGTAGAAGAAAGGAAGAATCGACTTACTACGGTTGTAATACGAATAAATACATATATTTAATTATTTTTATTTACATAATAATTGTTTGAAGCTCATATTCCATCAAATTTTTAAATAAAAACATTAAAATGTTGAAAATGTTCATATATTTTAATAGGTTTTTGGCACTTTATTGAGGAATTACTACATACATAGTCGAACTGAACTTGATATTTTGAAATTTAAATTATTTATCAAAATTAAAATTTAACTTGAAATTTATAATTATTTAGTCATATTTTGCATAATTCTAAGTAGATTTTGTAAAAAATCAAGAAAGAATAATTTTAACGTGCTTTATTTTTTCTTTTTTATAATAATACATATTATTATATAATTAACATATTCATAATGTTTCACCCTTTCAAAAATATAATCCTCCTCTCAAATAAACGTACATACGGGTGGCCTCTTTTTTCAAAAAATTAAAATTTGAAATTTTGGGCTCAAATATTAGAGATTTTTTCAACCTTCAACGATATATGTTGTCTATATCAGACCTCCTTTCTTTTTGATACTTAACATTGTTCCTAAATCTTAGCCGTTAAGGCTGTTCTGAAAATATTTTTTTTTCGAAAAAATTCGAAAAAAATTCTTAAAATTCAAAAATCCCTTAATTCCTGAGGATTTTGGAAAAAAGTTTTTACATGAACATGTGTATATTATATGAAGTATATTGATAAGGTAAAAATCAAATTTTATTGCATATTCATCGAGAAAATAAACTAACGAATCCCTCAAAATTGAGAGGGTAATCCTCCTCCTCTCAAATAAACGTACATACGGGTGCACCCTTAATATTGAAAATTTTTCATTCAATTCATGGATGCTCCATATATCGATGTCGAGGCTGCTAGAATTGCATTAGAAAAACGCGGTTATATCCTCATCGATATCATTGGTTATGGAGGCTTTGCGAATGTTTTTAAAGTTTATTCTCAGCATTTTAAACAATATTTTGCCGCCAAAGTCTGCTATATAGGGAGCGATGCTGTTACCCAAAATCTTCAATCATTTATGGCGGAGGTTGGAGCACTTTCAAAAATTTACCATTCTTCGGTTATTAACATTTATTCATATTTTGATGATAACAGTTACCTCTTCATTATACTCGACTACTGTCCAAATGGATCTGTTCTTGATTACATTAAGACACATCCACATATTGAGACTTCCTTAATTTTCGATTGGTTGGTACAAACAACAGAAGGTCTTGTTGCTTGCCATAATATAGGAATATCACATAGAGATATTAAACCATCAAATTTGCTGATCGATAGTTATAACAGAATTAAAATCGGGGACTTTGGATTAGCTGTAATCGCCGAAAAGAGTCAAATGATTGCGCGCTTTGGTGGATCACCTATATTTTATTCCCCAGAAATGGTAATGAAGAAAAAGTTTGATCCATTTAAAGCTGATGTATGGGCATTAGGCATTACATTTTACAGGTTAATTTTCGGAAAAATTCCATATACAGCAAAGTCAAATGATGAACTTGTTGAACAAATTAAATGTGGTCGTATCATCATTCCTGCAACATGCGACGCTAAATTATCAGTCGTTCTTGAAATGATTCTGAAACCAAATCCCGATGAGCGCCCAACAGCAGCCGATGTGTTACAACTATTGAAATACATTAGACCCCAGAAAAAGGCTCAATTTCTTGTTCCTTTTGCTGTACGTAGATCTTCTAATAAATTCAAGTCCCAGACACTGGAAAGCAAGACATTTTCACACAAACTTCCTACTTTAAGTAGAAGAAGAAATAGTGCTTTTGTTGATGATAATTAATCGATTATCGTTATCATTTTTTATTAATTGGTTATGTTTTTATCTAAAGATTTTTCATGGATTGTTTAAAGTAGTCATTTTTCCTTTTTAAATCATTCGTACATTGTTTAAGTAATTATATCAATCTGATATTTCAATGAAAATTAGGGATCTTCTACTTCCTATACTAGAATTCATCTAGGAAGGGAGTATAAGCTAAGACTATTCAATTACTCGATCGCAAGGCTGCAAATGGGATGATAAATGTACAAAAATAAAGTACAGATTGTTAGTTTATGATGAATTCAATGCAGTAATTGATAGCACAGAATTATAAGCTGGACAGAAGGCCTTATTATCTTTGTAATCAAACAGTTTTGAGAACATGCCACTTTTACTCAATTATGGAAGGAGAAACAGAAGAAATGGGCGTGGAAAAGCCCATCTCATTATATCAGAGCTTTCCTAATTTCGACGAGAACTCTCTTGCTTGCCTTACAACATGGCCCAAATTATCTGAACAAGCAGGTACTTTTTATAATGACTTATTAGCTCCTGCATCAACAGATCCATTAGTTCCTTCACCATTGAACAAAGATCCTGCTATGCAGCTTGCTTCAGAATTGCGTTCCCTTTTGGCTCATATTATCATTTTGAAGTCATCGGGTTCATTAGAGGCATCGGGTTTTGAAAACCAATCAATATTCAGATTGATTTACAAATACAACGAACTTTGCCAGTCTTTCGCTGCCATTATCATTCAAAGATGGTGGCGCTCAAGACAAGCAAAGGGCAAAGCCCAACTTCGCGCCAAAATCGATCTTTTCAAGCTTGTTGTTGCTTCCCCATCAAATGCTTCAACTCTTGAAGAGAAAGATATCCGCCGTTCGATGATTGCAAGTATTCTTGAATCTGTACAGTAAATTTATATTTGTAATGTAACTACATAATTGTATTTAACAATGTTATTACATTTAAAATAAAAATGTTTATCTAATACTTATATACTGTTTTAAAACATAAAAAGTGCTAATATTTAAATTCTTTACGAAACAACATAACTAAAATGGTCTGTAACAATGAATAAATGATCCTAAAACAATTTAATTTCTCCCTGCTAAGCGAAGAGCTCTTTCTCTTAATCCGTTATTAATCTGTATAACATACATCAATTGTGATCTAATAGATTTGACCTTTGGATGCTTCTCAATTTGCGACTTCTTGAGTAAATTTAATATTTCGTTAGTTTCATTTTGTAACATATCAATTTCCTGAACAATTAAATCTAAATCTGAAGGTAATTGATCATTACTCTCTTCTTCTTCCTCAACTTCATTGTTTTCGAAGTGATCTTCTTCTTCTCCAGGAACATTTTGCTGATTTTCAACCACTTCTTGTTCTCCCATATTTTCTTCCTCTTCCTCTTCTTCATTATCTACTTCAATTTCTTTTGTAGCTGTTGCTTGTTGAATTGAATCAATTGCTGAACGAAAATCGCGATACAAATTACGTAATTCTTTCTGTCTATTCATAAAACTAATATCACTCTTTATATCTGTTGATAAAGATGCATCGTCCTGAATAACTCTGCGCATTTTTCACTCTTTTTATAAATAAACGTACAGCTATCAAAAGCGATAATATTAAAATCTGTTTTGCAGAAAACAAAAAACATTTGGGGGATATATGAATAAATAAATCAAATAATTTAATTTGATAAGAAATAATAATTAAAGCTTGTCAAGGTAGCGATCGAGTGGTGGAACTTCTTCAGAGAGACCTTTACGCTTGCGGACGCTTGTAATTGTGTCATGGAGACGGTTACCAGCATGGAATGGATCACCTTCGAGTGGTTCCCAGTGATCGAAGATCATCTGTGGGAAAGCCTGACCTGATGTTGCACCACGGAGATCTTTGTCGAAGCCGAATGACTCCATAACTGGAAGATAAGCCTTGATGTTCATGAGTGGTGTGCCTTCACGCTGCGTTTGATCGAAAGCGCGGCCACGGCGCTTGGCAAGGATTGAGTGGACACCACCACAAACTGTGATTGGAGCAGAGATTTCGCAAAGGTAAACTGGCTCAACGAGTGTTGGTTCTGCGGTGTATTCGGAAGCGTAAAAAACACGACGGCCCGTTGGAACCATTTGACCACCATTACGGTGGGCAGCATCTGCGTGAAGGAACACTTCAACAACATTGAAACGTACACCACGAAGTGGCTCTTCAGCAAGGACACCGAGCTTTGTAGCCCACTGGAATGCGGAAACGAAATGCTCCTTAATTTCCTGAAGATATTCAGCAGACTTTGTTGTATCGACAAGGAGGTTTGGACCATTTGAGTCTGGACCGAATGACCAGACACGACGTGCATCGTTCTGCTCCCAACCAAAATCATTCTGTAAGATCTTGGCACGTGTCTTGACATCCATACGTGGATTGACATCTCCAGCTTCGATGGCCTTGAGTAATTCATCGGAGAGTGGTTCAGCCTGGCACATGAGTCTGTTAAGCTTGTTTGCAGACTTTGACATGCAGACAGTGTTGGAAAGTTTTGTAACTGTTTCTCTGAATGAAACAACAGGAGGAGAACGAATGATTGGAATGCCTGCAAAGTCTTCTTCAAGATCCTTTAAGCAAATTTCAAGGTGAAGTTCGCCAGCACCAGCAATGATGTGCTCGCCTGTTTCTTCGTGTGTGACTTGGACGCAAGGATCTGCTTTAGCAAGACGATTTAAGCCATCAACAAGCTTCTGCAAATCTTGAGCTGCCTTTGGCTCAACAGCAACGCGAACAACTGGAGAAACAGAGAACTTCATAGCTTTGATTGGGCAAGCATCATCGTGAGTGGAAATTGTTCCAGATTTGACGAGATATTGATCAATGCCAACAAGACCAATTGTGTTTCCACATGGGCAATCCTGAAGATTTTCAACTTTTCCACCCATCATAAGAACTGTGCGCTGAATGTTAGTAACATGGATGTCATCTTTGCCTCCTGGAACATAGTTTGCACCCATAACGCGAACGCGTTGACCTGTTGCAACTGTTCCAGAGAAAACGCGACCAAAAGCATAGAAACGGCCTTTGTCACTTGCTGGAACCATCTTTGAAACATAGAGCATGAGTGGACCATTTGGATCGCAGTTACGAATGGCTTCTGCACATGGATCATCGAGTGGGCCTGTGTAGAGTATATCTGCACGATATGATTGAGCTTTAACTGGTGAAGGAAGATGAAGAACAATCATTTCGAGAAGAGCTTCGGACATTGGAATCCAGCGGCGATAAATTGCTGAAAGTAGATCACAGCCTTCTTTATGAATTTCATCATCATGGAGCTTAATGCCAAGCAATTTGAACATTTCTGTGTACTTCTCTTTTTCACCATTCATGATGGCGCGAGAAAGAGCAACAATTGGCTTGAGAATATACTGGCAGAATGAGCGTTCAAGAGTCTGGCCTTTGCTGTTTGTTGCATGGGAAATGAAGCATTTTGTGACTGGATCATAAAAGCGTTCACCCCAAAGCTGAGGAACAAGCTTATCAACTGGAACACCGAAGCGAGCTGAATAGATCTTTGCGAACTTTCTGACTGTGAAGCCAAATGAATGGAGGCCAGAACCAAATGCAACAGTTCCCTTAGCTGGAGAAACAATGATATCTCCCATTGGACCTTGCTCATCTGTATATGTTGCAATGATAACATTTACCATATCGATGGCTTTTGAATATTGGAGATACATATCTTCTGGTTCGGCGTTGAGCTCGAGGAGTGAGCGATCAATCTTATTGATAATAACAACTGGCTTGATGCGCTCAGAAAGTGCTTGACGAAGAACAGTTTCTGTCTGGACGCAAACACCTTCGATGCAGTCAACAACAACAAGGGCACCATCGGTGACACGAAGAGCAGCAGTAACTTCTGCGGAGAAGTCAATGTGACCTGGAGAGTCAATGAGATTAATGAGGAAACCATTACCTTCACTATCAGCTGGAATTTCTTCATTTGGCATCGTATAATAAAGAGATATACCAGTTGATTTGATTGTGATACATCTCTCTTGTTCATCTTCTCTTGTATCCATTGCTCGCATTTGACCAGCATTTTCCTGAGAGATAATTCCTGCACGGGCAATTAAAGAATCTGTAAGTGTTGATTTACCATGATCAACATGAGCAATGACAGAGAGGTTTCGAATGTTATGACGCTTGTTCATAACTTCTCGTATCTGGGCAACAGTAAAGTTAACCATCTATTAAAAATGAAGTAATAAATGAAAACATTTTCAATCCTCAGAAAATTAAGATTTGTGACTTCTCAAATTTTTTTCAGTAGTCACGGCTCCAAAATAAATTACTGTGAACATACAAATCATTCAAATTTTTCATTTTATATCTAATTATCCGCTAACACTTTTTATTTCAAAAGAAATTTTTTGACAGTCACGAGAAATAAACAATAAACAAATATGTATAAAATTACTTAGCTTATAAAGTAGAATGGAATGAAATCATATTGGTTTTAAGAAACAAAATGATATTTAATTTTGCAATTTTGCGAAATGGTGGAAAAAATTATATATGAAAACTAAGAATATATTATATAGTTTTAATATCATAATGCAAAACTACTGATATTTTAGGTCATTCTGTTATTACAATTAATTAAATGGTTAAAATAAATAGCAGAGCTGAAATTTCAGCCGAAATTAATCAATCATAGTTGTGATAACCATTTGCATTTAAATAAAACTACTTTGTGGGTGTTCTGAATTAATTTTTAATCATTAATATTAGAAACAATATTACTTTTATTATGATTTTAATTGTACCCGAAGATCATTAGCCTGGTAAAATGACTTATCCAGATACTCCAGAATGATGACAATTTACTCAATGCAATTAATGAATGAAAATCATAAATATTGAATGAGATTTTAAACATTTGCTGGTAAACTCTTATTGCTGCACTTTCCACTTTTTATGTCTATATTTTGTAGCAGGCATATGACAACCATATTACTTACTATTTATTGATTTATTATAACTTTTTTTTGACCAAAAATTATAACTTTTTACAAAAAATTGAGACTAACAGTTAGAGTGTTAAAAATTAAGATACATATATCGTGAAATCACTTAATTTCATAATGAAGAGCTATATTCACATCACCATCTTTTTCATTGATGTGTGATCCATGGAAATAAGAACTATAGGTGCTTCTTTACTTTAATGAGTTACTGCATAATGAAGAGCGATTTTTCCAATTTTACCTCCATATGAAAGAAAAAATTGCAAAGAGATGGAATCTCAAACATCGCTTGCTTGATGCAAAATTAATTTTACACTGATTTGTTCATGTGAAAACTGCAATTTTTATTTTGAAAAATTGACACTAAGAAATCAGAAATTTTCTTTCATGACCCATTATAGTGCGTTAATGCAGACATATAAGGATTACAATGATATTTTTACAGAGCTTTATAGACTTAAAACAGTTGATGAAGAAGAAATTGAACATTTTTACGAAATTATTAAAACAAATTTGATCAATACCAAGATTTTAACGCTTGAACAGATTATATTGAAAATATCTAATATATTTCCCTATAACAATCATTATTTCAGATCTTATTTTGCTATTTTCAAAAAATTATATGAAGAATTTCATCCGAAATTTATCAATGATTTACATTTACTTTTTAATTATCTAGTTTATAAAGAAATGGGTATCGTTCTTGACGAAAAGAGTAAAAAACACTTTAATTATTTTGAATCCAAAAATTATCAATTTGAAGTTCATGAAGAAAACACCATTTTCAGAACAATTATGGATGACAATATCAAATCATTTATATCATTCACAGAAAAAGAAAATTTTAATCCAGAAATCAAATATGGAAGCTTTTTCTTTCCAAACCCATATTTATTATATTCATTACTTGAAATATGCTGTTATTACGGAGCAGTAAACTGCTTCAAGTTTTTAAGAACAAAATATGATTCAAATATAACTAGTACATGTCTTGATTTTTCGTTTTTGGGAGGAAATCCAGATATCATGAATGAATGCCTGAAATTTTTTATTCCAAATCTATCAAGCATGATGTTTGCAATTATATCAAATAATATTGATTTTGTGACTTTTTTGATGAATGAATTCTTATTAAAGATTGATTTAGAAGAATGCATTAAATATAACAATCTCCAAGCATTTTTAGTTTATTTAGATCAAACAAATCAAATGAACAAGTGTTTTATTTATTCATCAGGTTTTAATATCCCATCGCTTTGTCAATATTTTCTTTCGAATGGTGTGGATATAAATACGAAAGACAATTTTGGAAAAACTGCTCTTCATATTGCAACAGTTTACAATAGCATCGAAGTAGTAGAATATCTAATTGAACAAGGAATAAATATTAATTCACAAGATGATGAAGGAGAAACTGCTCTTCATTATACTGTATCATATAATAGAAAGGAAATTGCAGAAATTCTTATTAAACATGGAATTGATGCTAATATAAAAGACATGAATGATTACAAAGCAATTGATTATTTAAATAAATATGACTGCAACGAAACATTAGATTTCTTATTTACAAACTTTGGTATTCATAAAAATGAAGTAATTCGTTCGGAAAACTATAATTTTAGTCCAGGAACTGCAGTTCTTTCTTTTTGTGATTGTGAAAACGCAAATGAACAAAATGATCTTAAAATTACTCAAGAAATAGAAAATGCAAACCAAAAAAGACACAATTCATCATGCAGAATCTAAAAAATTTCTAATTTAATTCAATTTTTAGAATTCTTCATCTGTAATGCAATATTTTTTTCTACAATTCATTCTTGATGTCGACAATGATAATTTTGTAACTTTTCCAGAAGACAATAAAACTTCCTTCACTTTTAATTCCTTCCAAAAACAACCAAATATGACTATTCTTACTTTTAATAAGAATAATATAAGAGAATATCATTTTCTCACAATAGAGCCCTCTTTGTAATATGTTTAACAATAGTTATTTCGATCATTTTTTTTGTAGAATAGTTTAAGATGGAAACGTTCTGGATTCGTAAACTTTTTCTGATTTTAAATTTTTTTCCCCATGTCTTTTGGAGATAGTTACAATAAACTGATAATCAAAAAGCGCAGGTCTCTCAATTTTGAGAAGTTTACATATTTTAATGGAGGCGTCGGAGCCTTCCTATGCGGTCATAAAGCTTTGAGTTAGCCTTCTTGGGCTGGAAATCCTTTCCCACACAGTCCACCCTCACTGATGTCCGCCCTAATCAGCAGATAAATGCTGAAATTTAAAATTGCGATCCAGCATATTCAGATCGAAAATGCCGACAATTGCAGAATTTGGCATTGTAAAAGAACCCTTATTAGATATATCTTATTTATTTGTTAATTTAGGAATAAAGGTTAAAATTGAATGTCTCAAAAAGCGCAGGTCTGATTTTGACACCAATTTGAGAGAAACTCATAGAATTAATTGTATGAGTTGACTCAAAAATATGATCGGACCTGCGCTTTTTGACGAGCAGTTTATAACAACTGCAAACCATATCTATCATTTGGAAATGGCCAAGTATTGATAAGAATCAAAAATTAAATATAAACTTAGAAATTTTATTTATAAAAAAACAACATAAATTTTTTTTTTGATTTTATAATTTCACATTTGTATATTTTTGAGGTAGAGGTGCCAAACTAGCACTTCCAAGTATTGCAGACGACCAATTTGCTTTCATTAAGTTCTTTGCTTCATTAGTAATTTGGTCTACATTCATGTTTAGAACTAATTCTCTTATTTTTTGTCGAATTTCGTTGTTAGAAATTCCGTAAAAGATACTTTGTCCGTATTCCTGAGGCGAAATCGGTGAATCCAGAATAGAAAAGTATCTTATTTGCATTCTCTTTATCATATCTATGTCACAATGCTCAGAACAATATGAAATACTCTTCATAAAACTTTCTAAAACTTGTTTAGGACATGTGTCTCTGTAACTAGAAATAGAAGTGATTCCTGAGTTGAAATCATGTTTTGCAGAAACTCCATATGATCCAAGTTCTTCTCTAACTTTACGTGTCAAAATTTCGGACGATAGAAGTAAACAAAAGAAAGATCTTTTGACACAGTTTTCTAAATCAGTGTATTTCGGACCTTTCGTGACAATCGACGTGAAATAAGTAGATGAATCTGTCTCTAATATTGTGTTGGTCACTTCACCCGTAAAAGTGACTGAATTTGGCACTTTTTTAGGTTGTACAGGGGAAATTTCCGAAATTAAAGAATTTAATTTCGGAATCAAAGAAGAACTGTGACTTTCCTGGCAATGTAATGATGCTGTAAATGTTCCTGACATAAAAACATTTTTGTGAAGGCTCTCAATATATTTTGAGAGGTTTACAAAATCCGTTATTTTGTCAAGTTTCTTGTAAAAAGAAATTCCATTCCACAGCTCATTTAATTTTGCTTCTTTTGATATTTCTTGTGCAGCAAACGACGAAGAAAAGAAATTTCCATTTTGGGAAATCCTGTTTTTGTAGTTTGTCTTCGTCATTTCCATCAATAACTCAATTCTACTGTTATTAAATATCCTGGGATTAGTTATAGTCTTCTTAAAAAGTGACAACATCTTATCAAAATCTTTGACCAAACATGAACTTGTCAAAGAAAAGTGACAATGTAATAAACCGGTTTTACAATCAGTATTTAAGGTTAATGAACTGTCAAAACCGCCAGTATATAAGTAAACTTCATCAGCGAACTGGTCCTCATCCAAATCATCAGCTCCGACATCAGTTAGAACTAAATCTAATAGTTTTAAGTCAGAAATGTTTTCTGTTTCTATTGGAATGTCACTTTTTATTGTAACGAAGGCAATTCCATTTGTTTGAGTGTTGAAATACGTAACTTTCTGGTTATTCACGTATTTTATTTCTTCTGCTTTGGTGGGGATGTCAGAAATTTGTAAATTTGGTAGTTTTTGTACGTTATTTACATTTTCTGACATATTTTTAAGTTTTTGGGTTTCTGAGATAATTTTATTTTTATCGTCATTGGTCATTTCATTTTTAAGATTGGTCAGTTCACTTTTGATCTTTTTATTATAGTTTTCCTGGAAATTAGGTACTCCTTTCATTGAGATCTCCAATCTGTGCGAATTTGTGATCAATTTCTGTTTTAATAATAATTCGAAGTATCTCGGTTGCAAAGCGAGCACAGATCTTATGCGCTCGATTTCCCATTTGTTGTCTATGATGTCTATGGGATTAACTCCGTGGATCCAGGAAGATATTACATTTTTCCAAATTTTGAGTCCTCTGTTAGAATCAGTAAGTTTATCTTGCATTTCTAGGTTATGTAAGACACTGTCGATTCTTTTTCGCTCAAAATTATCGGTAAAAACTTGATTCAAAATTGCCAAAACCGATTTCCCAATAAAAGACTTGTTTTTGTCGACTCCTTCAAGTGCTATTGAGAAATATGGCTGTTTCACAACCGACATGAAGCCGCTATGTATGAAATTTGTGCCAATTTCGTTCTTAATCAGTCCTTTAAAGAGAGGAGAAGAAGTTGAGTCCATGAGCAGCTCGGAAAGGAAATGTAGATCGAATATATCACTATAGTTTGATAAATCTCCAACCATCCATACGATTCCTGACAAAATTTTGTTTGGATCTCCAACAATTGGGCCTTCTACTTCCACTTGTCGGGGATTTAACCACTTGGGCTGCTCAATGGATGCGTCCTTTGGCTGTTCGTATTTGTTGCTGAACGATGAAATAACATAATTCACTTTTTTCATGACTTCTGATACAGGAATGCTTCCGTAATGGAAGAATATAGCATTTGATGGATGGTAGTATTTTTTGTGGTACTCTTTGACCGATTCTAATGTTAATCTTGAAATTTTTTGCGGATCACCGCCATAATTTAGTCCCAAAACGGAATCATCGTAAAGATTTTGTCTGATAAGATTGCTGAACCTATTGGCTGGTCGCGACTGTTCTCCTATCATCTCATTGTAAACAACTCCAGTATGACGAAGAGAAGAAGAAGAATTATTCGGTATTTCGAATTCGAGATGGTGACATTCTGACTTGAAGATTTCTTCTGTTAAACTGGGATGAAATGTAGAATCTAAGTAAATATCGAGTAAATTAAAATAATCTTTGCTATTTGTTGTAGAAAATGGAAAAGAAGTCCATTCTATGGAAGTGAATCCATTCATGAATGTTGCAAATGATCTCTTTCGCATTTCGTTGAAAATTGATCTAACTGGATATTTTTCTGATCCTTGTAACACTAAATGCTCCAAAATATGTGAGATTCCGGAATCATCGGTATTTGTAGTGCGAAAAGACGTTGAAAAGAAATTATGTTGATCTTTTGTTTTAATATATAAAAAAGGACAGTTATATGTCTTGTGTTTGTATAAATATGCTGTAAAATCATACTCAGGGAAGTGTTGCTCGTACTCTAAAACGAATCCATGTGTCTGTGAAGGCATATTTATCTCATGATATGCGTAAATTGAAGCGAGAGCCATAACAATCGGAACAAAATACACGGAAAACCTTGATATTGCAGGTAAAAGTTGACTTATTTCATTGAGCATCATCAAAGTTCAGCGTGATTTAAGGGAAAAAAATCCGGTGTTAAAAATTAGATTTCCAAATTGTATAGTTTACGATACCCTTCATGAAAAAATAAAAATATTATTTACCAGATTTCATTAAACAAATATACATCTCAAAGTGTATCTATCCATCATAGAAAAATTCTGGATCACAGATCTTTATTGAATGAATTTTAAACAATCTAAGATCTGAATGACTGCTCGTTGTTATGAAATACCACAAATTGCTTCAAAGTTGAATAATAGCTTAGGTATGAAGTTATTTTTTATGGATTATGAAATATTTTTTATTGGAATCCTTCATCACCATGAATAAAATGACAATTTTTTCTAAAGCATAGGGATAAAACCATATTTATCTATTTCATTGATATTTGCACCATGCGAAATAAGAAGTTCGACGGTTTCTTTGCTATTATATTTTGCTGCAATATGAAGAGCGGTATTTTCATCATTATTTTTTTCATTGATATTTGCACCATGTGAAAGGAAATATTCACAAACGGATGGATTGTTGAAAATCACCGATTTAATAATACATTCGTTAATATCATTTGTTTGATCGAAATAAACTAAAAAGGATTCAAGATTATTATACAATCAGCAATCAGATAAATCAATCTCTATTTTGAATTCATTCATCAAGAATGTAACAAAATCAATGTTGTGTGAAATAATTGCATATTTCATTCACTTTTCATTTGGTTTTTGATGTTTCAAACATTCACTCATGATCTCTGGATTTCCACCTAAAAATGAAAATTGTAGACATATTTCAGTTATTTCTGAGCTGAATTTCGTTCTTAATAACTTGAAACAATCAACTGCTCCATGGTAACAACATAATTCAAGTAATGAATATCCTTCTTTAGTATATGGATATAAACTACTTTCAAGTGTTTGATTTTTATCAAATCCGTCTCTTTCAGTGAATTGTATAAATGATTTTAGGTCATTATTCATAATTGCTCTGTAAACTGTATTTTCTGTATGAATATCCAGATTTTCTGAGAAAATTTTTTCGAAATCATCAGATTTGTCTAATTTAATTCCATATTCTTTATAAAACAGGAAGTATGATATAATTTTAACCTTGTTGGTCTCTGTAACACGATAATCATCAGATATAAGTTTGGCAAGAGATAAATATGAATTTGTATAGCGATTATTATATGTAATGATATTTAAAATGTCATCCATAATCCTTTTTGGTGGGTATTTCTTTGAATCAATCAATTCTGTTTTGATCAGTTTGTAAATTGAGTTGAAATCTTCTTCATTTTCGGTTTTAAGCTGATACAACGCATTATATATATCGATGTCGTATTTAAAGATACTTCGCACTTCATTGTATTTATTTGTGTTAACGTTTTGTTCCGACATTAAAAAATTTAAAAGTCATATATCAGCATTTTACCTGTTAAAATATCTTTAAAATTCATTTAAGGAAAAATTATATGTTAAACATGTGGGGAAAAAAATGAATACAAAGATTTCGGAAGTAATTTATATGAATTTTGATCTAGTTCATAGATATGAATTAACACAAAAACAATGTAGAAGTTGAAGACAAAAGGATATTCATTCAAAAACTTATATAATATTATCGATTTTTTTTAAGGCTCTCTGTGCCTAATTTACATGTATGCACATATGTTTAAACCTTTGGAATTTATAAAGTTATTTTAACAACAAGTTATAACGCGACGATATAAGTTATTTGGCCAGATTTGAAAAAATCAAAAGTGTCTTAGCGCCGATAGAATCGACTGATAAGTGCTCGCTTTTTTACAACTATTCAATTTTTGATTCTATTTAATCCAGAATTTGCAGTGCATACATATATCATTATCTTCAAGACCTCTTACTTCATTATCGAATGGAAGAAAAACTTACTCATGAGGCAATAAATAATACTCAAAGACAAAAATTCAATTAAAAGATTAAACCTCCTTCAGATAATATCGATGATACCAAAGTACAAGTCGTAACGTCTAATATACCAGACTAAATACCAGAAATTCTTCAATTTTCAGAACGAAAATTTTTACTAAAGAGTTCAAAAATCCGGCATCAATCCGATATTTTTTAACTGATCCATCACAGCTTTCATTCGATAGTTTATATATTTGCTAACCACTGTTTATTTCCAAAAATATTAAAAAAATCAGACAAACTTTTAAGTTTTTATCAATTTCTTTGTGCATAAATCTTTAACAACTGATAAATATTAATTTAATACACACAAAACTTTTGTTATCCATTTAATTGAAAAAAATAATTCAAAGATAATACTACATCTAATATCAATTGTTTAATACAAATACACAAGAGACACATAACAAATTTTAAACTCTTCGTAGGAAATTGAGTTTATCTATTAAATTATTTTCTCAAAATATTGGGAAAATATGTGATATAAGGTAAATTTTTAATAATTAATTAATACTTATTAGTTTTCTTGAAATTCTGTTGGTGCAGGAGTTCTGTGCGGGAGGGGAACAAAGTTATATGGAACTGCACCTACGGCTTGGGATTCGATATTGCAGTCATCAAATCTCCTGTTAAACCTCATGAAGCCTCCTTTACCAACTTCAGATTGATTTAATTCAGTAATTAATTTATCGCCTTCAGTTTTGAAAATTCCTGTTCCAGTAATGATTAAAGACTCCAATTCAACATCATTACTTCCACCATATATTGTTCCCCAATCAGCACCGAAATGGGGAATAACCCACCACCAACGCTGGAGTGGTATAACATTATCAGCATGATTCTTATTTAAATTCAAATCATTCTGTCCCCAACCAATGATTGTTACATCTAGCATTCCTATAATTTTATCCCAATCATTTCGGGTCTTACCATCTTCATCCCAGTAGCTAGAGTAAATACCACCCTCATAGCTAAATAACGATGGGTAGACAGTTATTGAAGAAGTGACAGCACCAACTTCCCAAAGATGTGATTTGATCCATCTCCAATTGTAAAGGAAATATATCGGACATCCTGTCTCTGGATCTCCTGGATTACAACTTCCTGTTAAAGCCCAATGATGCTTGCAATTTGTTAAACCTGGATAACATCTGTTGTTTTCACAATTTTCTCTTTTGAAGTCTGCTCGTGGTGCTTGCATGAAATTTGTTCTTTCTGAATCTGAATCTCCTGGTTTATCCCAACTCTTGTAGTCCGGAGGATGATATGTCCAAAATAGTTGGTAAGCATTAAGCGGCGTACGCTCAACACATGAGTCGCCAAGAATATCACAGTCAAGAACGTATTGAAGTGAAAAGTTGACGAACTGACCAGCCCATCGAGAAACAGAAATTGACATTGCAGATGTAACAGCTGGAGCCCATGAGCTGCATAACGTTGTAACGTCAAAAACTGGGAATTTAATTATATCTGTAGTTGGATAAATTGATTTGCCTTCATGATCTTTCTATTTTGGATATGAAGCATTAGTCAAGGTCGGAAAAGCTGCGACGTTTGATAGACCTGTAATGTAGTTTTTATCAACTGTGTCAAAGAAGTTTTCGTTGGCTCCAACTGGAACCGCCGAACCTTGATTACGTCGTGGAGGGCAAACCGGTGATAAGAAACGTTTCGCATTACCAATGGTCATCCCTGCAAACTTAGGATAGAGAGTTGCCTTAAAAGGTGAGTTAGAATTGCTGTTTATTGCATCAACCATCTCCTGAGTGATGAGAGGATCAGAATCCTTTAAAGATCCAGCTAAGTAAATATATACAAACATTTGTAAGATCGACCGATGTAAAACTTTTTCTGATATTTTTGAAAAGAAATGGTTGAAGTTCTTTAATAATGCAAACATGGTTTAATAACAATGCAAAATCTATATGATTTTCGGATTAGTTATTGCGCAAATATATATGTATATCAATTTACGCTTTAAAATACCTTTTTTACTTAATATAAAATTTAAAAACAATACGAAATTGCACGGATTTCAGATTGAATGAAACGTAACTGGCCAGTCAATCTTTTGCATTACTAATATTAGCTACATCACATAGAAATTAAAATAATTTTTATAAGATAAATGAGAAAAATTGTGTAATTTAGAATAAATATGGTTTGTTAAAACAAAACTTCTACATTTATATAAATTATTTTTGCTACTCAATAATTTTTCTGTAATGATCATTAAATGAGGCAACAAGTGTTGCTACTCTGCATATATTATCTATTTCTGCACCACATGATCTTTTCCTTATATTTGTCACCATGTAACAAAGAGCTCCTTCTTACAAAGATATTTTTTTTCTTTGTGTTTCAAAACTTCCAAAATATCTTCTTTGCTTTTTAGTAAACAAAACTTCAACAAGACAATGGAATCTTCCAGATCTCTTCTTTAAATGGATTATAATCTGGAAGGAATTATGTCCTTTGAGAGAACGTTTAATACGAAGAAACAGTCTTTTAATGATGAATTCCTCAAAAGAACCACACTTTTAGATATAAGATGTTTCTCATGAGCCGGGAACTATTAATCTGTGAAATCAATGTTTCTAGCATTGATTTCTGTAAATGGAAGCTCCAGAGTGTAAATATTTAAGTATTTGGTTACAAAGTACTAAACAGAAATTTTTTTATAAAAATATACAAAGAAAATAAAAAATTATTCAAAATGGAGCCATTGTAAGTCCAGATTTTGATCTATTTCCTCTTAGAATCGGTTTCAACTTATCCTTGTTGAAATACGAAGCGATCCAATATTTTAATATCGGAGCATCATCTTTAGAGAACCCAAAAGCCCTGAGATCATTCAAGAGTGAATCAGGTGTTAATGCTTTAACTCCTGCTACCTCAGCGAGCTTCATAACAAAACATGCCGCACAATCTTTTAATTTCATCAGCATATGGAGGATAAAAGCCGTTTCACTTACATTTGTGCTCTTGCCAAGGACTTTCCATACTATAGATGATGGCGGACAGCCATCCCCGGCGTAATAATCTGATTGTAAATCCAAAACGCTGGCAAGGTGCTTAGCGTCACCACAAATGTTTTCTGTAACAACTATCGAGTATTTAAGAGATTCTTCAGGCGTAATCGTTTTACATATTTTGTAATATTCCGGTCTGAAGAAAGGAACTAAGAAAATCAATCGTTCGGCGAGTGGTTTCGCAATGCTGATATCGTTGGATCTGATTATCAACGTTTGCCCGGATAATAATGTAAATCCAATGAAAAAGAAGACATTATTCTTCGAAAACTTGACAAGAGAATACGGACATGCTTGTAAATGCATTGATCGTAAGGCAAAAGCCGGAAAACCGCCGAAACCGCGAAAATTGCTAGATCCTCCAAAATCTATAGTAATTGGAGATTCCACGAAGCTTGATTCAGTATCTATATTGGCTAAAAATGAATTATATGGTAGAGAATCAACGAATTCTTCAAGTTTTGGTCGAATATCTTCTAAATGTATTAATTCTTCGATAGGTCTGAGCGCGTTATTAATAATAGTGAAGTATTCTAGGGGTCTTTCGATGTATTCTACGTCATCATATTTTTCTATCTTAAAAAGTTTCAAAATTCTTTGTAATTCTTCCATTTTTGAGTTGATTATTTGATTTTTGTTGTTCTCTTGCTCTTGGATTCGACTCAATGACCTTGCAAACTGTTTTAATTCTAATGGAAATTTTTCTACTGATGGAGACTGAATTATCTTGATTATTTCGATGATTTTATTATAGTATTTCGAGTGTAGCTTAGTGATTGTGTCAAAATTTAACATGACTATCGTAAAAATGATTGTTCTAGTAAATCCTCTTGCTTCTGCATCATAAAGTTGTGTATAAACAGCAATATATGATATCCCTTCATATGAAGAAACGACTATCGAAGGCTCTGTGTTAAAATCTGATGAACAAGAGTTTACTGGAGTATTTACGACATATAATTTGAATCCGTCGTTGTTATTCAAAACTAATGAACCATATTCCCATATGGTTTTCGGATAAGAGGCTTGCGAAAATTCAAATATTGCGGCATAAATTCCAGAAGTCGATTGTAATGTACATGTATCATCAGATGATAAAGTAGAAAACGCTTGAGCACGGGGTCCTGATGATGTGTCAGGGCCTGATTGCCTTCTAGGTGAATTTTCCATTCACCTTTAAAAATTTCTGATGATTTACACGAAATTTGTCAACTGTCAAAATGTCAAAAATATAACTTAATCATACTTAATGAGTCTGATTTCTATATATGGTGCATCACTTCTTCATATTAGTGATGCATCTTGCCATTAAACTTCTGTTAAATCCAATTATCAGTGACATTTGAAATTCTAATGAAGTCAACACTATTCAATTGATGAAACATATTAGGTGTGTACACAAACTACAATTATCGAAGTCTAAGATTCCACTCTGTTTGTTTGAAAAATATAAAAAAGTTCTATCAAGGATTGAAAATTATGGAGAAAACTATTATTTATCAGTCTAATAAAGTTATAGATTTTACAAACAAGATGAAGTTGCCAATAACAGTACATGAATAACCGAAACTTTCAACATAATGAATGAAATATACAATAAAAACAGGAAGATCAATACTATTTCAAAAATGTTGAGATATAGAAGCGAAGAATATGATTTCAAGTTTATACATAACATATAATGATAATCTTATTACAGGTGAATGCTAAAGCCACCTATAAATAAGTTCGGTTTTAAAAGATTATATAAAAAAGTGAAAATCGAACAATTGTATTTTTATAATAAACCAAGAAATTTTTCATCAATAATACCAATAATTGTCAATGATTTCAAATACATCGGGTGCATTTGCTTTTTGCAGGTTAATAAGTTACACTCAACAATTGCTTCCTTATTAAGAAAAGCAACCTCGAAAAGGTTATTTAGATATGACTGAGTTCGGTTTTGTATATCAACCCCACATTTAAGTTTGTAACAATTTGCAAATGCATTTGATTCAACTTCTGAAACACAAATTGGTAGATTGATATGTGTTAATGAAATGCAATTTGCGAATGCATAACGACCAATTGTTTGCACAGAATGATCTGGAATAAGAACATTTATGAGATTTCTGCATTCAAGAAATGCACCAGGAGATAAGATATGTACCGTCTCAGGAATATAAAAGTAGATGAGTTCAGATGCAGGAGGGAAGCAAACCAATGAGGTCTTGTTCTTATCAAATAGAACACCATTGATAACTAAAAAGAATTCACTATGAGAGCATTCGAATGCTTTCAATGATCTGCAGCCCTTGAAGACTGAAAATCCAAGACTTTGTAATGAACAGTTTTCAGGAATTATAAATCGTTCTAAACTTGAACAATCCCTGAATGCATATTCTGATATTGAAATTGTTTGATTTGGCACTCTAAATGTTGTGATGTTAGTATATTGAAATGCATTTGCTTTTATTTCTCTGATACAATCTGAAAGTATAATATGGCGTAATTTTGTTGCATAACTAAATGTTGAAGACCTTATAGTTTCAATCGGAGAGTTTCCTAAAAATGTTATGTTTTCAACACCAGAACTGCTAAAAACAGAACTTCCAAGAGTGGCTAATGATGGAGGGAGTTCAATTGATTTCAATGAAAGACAATTACTGAAGCAAGAATCGAATATTGCAGTAGTTTTATCACTTAACTTGATTGTTTTTAGCTTTTTACAAGAAGAAAAAACTCCGTTCAATAATATTGTGTTGCTTGACTCGAAAGTTACAATTTCTAATGATTGAGCTTTCTGAAATGCATAATTATCAATTTTCAATAAATTTATTTTAAAATGAATTTCGAGTGAATTGCATTCGAGGAAAGAGCTGGCTCCTATATAATTCAATGATTCTGGGAACACTGTATTATTGAATTTCAGACAATTTTCAAACGCTGAGCTACCTATTGATTCCAGAGAGTTTGGAAGATTAATATTCTGGAGATTAATACAGTCACGAAAGGCCGAGTTACCAATCCGAAGCAAATTGGAATCTGAAAGAAAATTTATTGTATTCAATTCCTGAATTCCACGGAAAGCGGCTTGTGATATTTCGATAACTGTATCTGGAATATCATATCTTTCATTTAAACTTAGACACAAAATAATTTTATCCATATTTGAATTATAAAGAATATTTTGATGATCAAACCAAAACTGGGAATCTGGAGGTAAAGTAAGATTTATATCATTTGGAAAGCATGATCCTCCAAAGTTTTTAACGCTCTTTGGAATTATTATACTCTTAAGGTTGACACATTGAAAAAATGCATATGGTCCAATTGTTGTTACTCCTTCTTGAATTGTTATTTGAGAGATATTAGAATAGGCAAAGCAATTGTTTGGAATAATTGTCAAATTTTTCCCAAGAATGACTGTATCAAGATATTTGCATCTTTGAAACGCACCAGATTGAATCATTGTAACAGAATCTGTAATTATACATGATTTTAAATGTGAATATGCGAAAGCAGATCCTTGTATTATATTTAAAACTGAATTAAATGTTATTTCTTCTATCAAAGAATAAGAAAATGCATCTCCAATAACTTCTACAGTGTCTGGAATCCTAAATGAAGTCAAATTATTATATGGAAATAAAATAAGAAAAGTTTTTTGCTTATTGTATAACACATTATCTTCTGCTAAATAATTCGTGTTATGGGAATCGCATTCTATAAATTCTATGGTTCTGCAACTTAAAAAAGCAGCGCGAGGAATACTTCTTAGATTCTTTGAGAGAAAAATTCGTTTTAATGGAGTCTCCATAAAAACATATGATGCTATTGTTTCAAGCTTGGAATTAGGACTGATAGTTATTGAACTTAATGAACCAGACTTAGCGAAACAATATTCTCCTAAACTTTTAACTTCATCTGGAATAATAATTGATTGCAATGAATAGCAATGAGAAAAAGCATTGTTTGATAGTTCTTTGAGATTTTTTGGAAGAATGACATCAGATAGCAAAATACAACCAGAAAATGCTCTGAGTTGTATTTGCGTAAGATTCTCACAGTTTGTAAAATTAATTGTTCGAAGTTTTCTACAACTTTCAAAAGCATACATACCAATGGTCTTAAGTTTGGAATGCTGTGGAAATGTGATAGACATAAGGGTTGATTGGCTCCCTTTGAAAGCACTATTTGATTCATCTCCATAAATAATTTCACATTCAACTTTAAGATGAACGTCAACGCAACTATCAGTTGCATATAGAACTCGATTATTCTCTTTATAAGTCTCCCCAACAACTATTTTTCAGATGACGCTATTTCATAAAAATAAAATAATCGGAACAATTAATACAATTATGATTGAAATATATTAACCAAAGCAATGTGTTCTAGATTTTTTAAAAATATGTGTTCAAAGTGACGATTATGTCAATATTTTGTAATCAAAAATTGACAAATTTTCAGAATGAAAAGAACGAAGTTTTACAAATGTCCCATGATAGAAATGAATGACAAGACAGAAAACTTGTCTTGTGATATGAAATTGTGAGATTCTCATAGAATATTTTAAATGCCAAAAGTTTACAAAATTCCCAACATTCACAAAAAATCAGCAACGGCAAGGACAGATTATGCGATTTTCATCGTATAGCCAATTTTAGCTATTTTAGATGTCTTTGCAATGACTAAGAGTGGAAATATACCAAATTTCAAAGTTTCATTATTCGATCATAAATATCGGCAGTTATTTCTATATGATCTCAAATCTCTTAGTGTTACTAGTGATAAATCCATCAAAATCCAAGGCATATTTTTCCCATTTGAACTAAAATTTTGACACTTTTTTTGAATGAATGATGTTTTTAGTGAGATTTCTCGATGTATAAAAATGGATATTCCTAAATTTATAGAATTAATAGACGAGTACATCCTACCAGAGAATATCAAATCACCAATTGACCATAAATCTTACTATCAGACGGCAGCTCCATATCCATCTTGTACTTATGTATGGGAAGACGATTCATTAGTAGCAATTTGCAGAGAATGTTCAGTTTCTCCAATGTCTGTAATATGTTTAGATTGCTTTGAACACTCAGATCATCACAATCATTTAACTTTTTTAGTTAGATCAGAATATGGATTCTGTGATTGCGGAAAAGCCAGCAATATGAAAGTGCAAGCATTCTGCACACATCATCACGATCCAAAAATTCCAACATCACAAATTCCGGAAAATGAAAAGGAAAAATTCAGACAAGTGATCGATCTAATCGTTTCAAACATACCATTTTACTGTAGTTGCGATACAAATTCTGCCGTTTCCCTATTAAAATGGATAAATGGTTGGATCAGGGCAAGTTACTTGCATATGAAGGTAGTAGCCGATGTATTTATAGAAAAATTCAATCTGACGAACTTCCTGCTTCGATCAGGAAAGATGGATTTGAGAATTATTGATGAATTTGTAACAACTTTAATTTTCTTACACAGTTGTGAGGATTTCAATCTATATTTACTGAAACAATGCATCTCCTTATTCCCCAATTGCGTTTCAATACTTCTAGAGCTTGCTTCTGTTATAAGTCACTCTCCAGATTTATTAACTACGACACCACCATTCCCACAGTTCCACAAGGTGACTCAAACGTTTCTTTTCTGCATAAAGAATGATTTGCTACAGAAAGTTATCCATACAATGGACTGGATTAATCCATTTCTAGATTCTATCAAATTAATCTTCGATAGAGGGCTAAACGACTACGACAAAAATAACTCATGCGCTAGAATTGCCATATCCATGCTTTTCAGCCTTACAGAACTCATGCAACATATTATAAAAAATTTAAATCAAGAAGAACTTATACAATTCATCAGAAAATACGTCGATGCTGTACTACCTCTAGAAGGCCAATTTGTCTTCGATTCATCCATTGGAGATTTCGTTCCTGGAACTGGAAGAATTGCATATGTCCAAATTACGGAATTAGAATTTACATCGTTCAATATAATTAATCTTAGGAAATGTGTCGTTCCAGATATAATCGAGATTTTTATTACGAAGTTTTTGAACAATCTTTCGTCAAATAACTACGAAACAATCGAAGACAAGATTGTTTACCACAGATTCTTCGATGATGAACATGTTAAAACAAGTTTGTCCCTTGGCTTGCACTCTTTTGCCCTTGATCAGTTATTATTACAAAATGATTTGAAAAAATCATTCGAAACACTTTCCAAAACCCATAACTACTCATACGATGACCTAGCCATATACTGGGCCCTCCTTCCTTTGAGGTTTATTGGGTTATCCCAGCTAAATTCCTTCAAATTAGTCACAATGGACCAAATATTGAGCCGCTACATCGATATCAACCAAAATTGGGCCAATATACACCTCAGATTCAAGCAATGCTTCATAATTGTGCAGACAATGCTTGGATTAGCGAGAGACAAAGACGCTTTCCTTAAAATGATATGTTATACGTGTGGTTTAGATGCAGATTACTGCACAGACTACGAAATAGGTATAATGGAATTCAATGTTTTGATGATAATTTGCGGATTAATTTTTGACAGGTATTTAGTGAAGAATGATGAACGAATGATCCGTAAATTGAGTTTTATTTCAAGAATGACCAGCGGACCTCAAAGTATCAATGAGTTATTGACTGGAATGCAAACTCCTGATTTTTTCCAGAAGGAAATAATAGAGGACGTATTAGAAGTCGCAAGGCAAATTGCAGGAACAGACAAGTTCGTTGTAAGAAACGCGTCAGAATGGAATGTTGTCGCTCCTTGGGTTCCAAATAATTTAATCCACGGAGCAGTGTTATCGAAACTTAGTAGCGGTACGAGATTTTTCCCGTTCCCGGAGTGGGAAGACCCAATACGTCCGGAAATTGATCTAAAACCTTGTCTGAATTCGAGAGTTTTATTTGCATTGATTTTCCAGATAATTTCGAACACGGTACACTTCTCAGGATACACAGATCCGGTAACTGCTAACGTTTGCTCAGGTTTACTAGTAAGAATGGGCGAATTATTCCCTGATCCTCCAAAAGAAATGCCAAAGGTATGTAGTCCGCCAAAAGCAAAGACACTGGAAGACTTGATCAAGGTATTACCAAACAATTTGTACGCTTTCGTAAGATTTCAAGTTGCATATCGAGGTAGCGAAGCAACATGCGTACTCCAGATGCTTGAATGCCTCGGAAAAGTATCAGAAAGGATTTTCCATGTCTTAGATCCCGATAGAGTTAAGACGCCTTGTTCACCACGCCAAGAAACAGAACAAAAAGTCTTAATTGCAAGCGCAAAAAAGCAAGCAATCGATTTTATCAGGAACACACCTTTGCCATTCGATTCCCATAAGGTCAAAAACGCAAATTACTCGAAATGTAACATTTGCGGTAAAAAAGACAATCTTTGGCTCCCAGTTTACGCTTACAAAAACGGTTTGCCAAAATTTATCGGTCTTGACGTTGACACAGTTTTATCATTATTTGCATGTCCTCATTGCGTACATATCAGTTGTGTTCCGAAAAATACATGTTATTTATGCAAAAATGATAATTTCAAGGCAAATTGCTTTGTTCCTATGAATCCAACCCCTGAAAACGCGCAGATATTCCTCTCTGCGCTCTTCCCGAACGAGCCAGCTGAGAAATGGCCCGCTTTAGGCATTAATACTTTGACATATGAAGTTCATGCGATCGAAATGAGGCACAGAATGAATCCATTTGCACTTGACAATGCAAATCAAAGGATTCTCCTTGAGAAAACCTTCCTTTGCATTCAAAGTTTCGATGACATTGACTCGAATTGCCTTGTTCATGACCCGGTCGCTTCTCTCTTCATGCTTTTGATGGATGATTACGACTTCTCAGTGTTTCTCGATATCATACGGACCTTGTCCATTGATCTTTCTCCAAAAGATTTGTATGTATTTTTGAGATGTTGCCGTATTATAGCTCGCTTCTTATATAATAAGGCAGCAAGAGACTGGGATGACGAAATGTCCGCCGAAAAGCTCAAAATCTTCTTTGGAATTGATAATGTCAAAGAAATTGTTTTGGAAAAGTTCAAATTCAAAGATTTGGACCAAAACTTGATGTACATGATACTCAAGAGCGGTGTTAAAGAGACTGATTTGTTCGGATCAACTTATTACGACTTGTTGACAGGAGATATAATTTTAGGAAGCCACGATCACCTTGAACCGATCAAACAACTTCGTCAACATGTTAAAGATAAGTGGAATAGCTCATTTTCTATCTTGGTTCCTTTGCAGGGCGGAAAACATGCAATAATCATAGATGGAAACGAGACAATCTACTATTTGATGCCGTTATACTACAATCCGTATAGAACTGAGATGGGAATCCTTGAATGTCCTTATGTTCTATCAAGAGATGTTAATGATTATCTTATCGATTGTATTTTATCAGGATATTGGCTCGTGCTGAGCAAATAATATGTATCATTATGTTAAATAAATATTTGTTTGTATTATTTTTTATTTGCTTCTAGTTACCCTTAATTTTTTTTACTTTTACAACTCAATATAAAGAAATTTTTTTTATATGGTATTATTATTGTCGTCTGGCGGTTTTAAACAACAATGCGAATTGAACTTTTAGCCAGATAAAGAGCTATTCCATATATCATGCGTGTTTGCACACTATATATATAGATGGAATTGATGTTCTTCCTTTATTTATGTACCAAAACATGCTTGTAAAATCTCTATATTAGACGACAATGATAACTTTGTCACTTTTCCGGACGACAATTTGAAATACAATAGAGTCATTATGTTTTATTATTCTTCTTACTCCAATTTGATACATGCACACTTATTTTTGAGATCACATGAAAACTAATAGTTTATCAATATACTGAAAGTTCCGCAAATATCGTTAAGGAGCTCATGCAATAGACCGTTGGTTCATTCTACGATTAAAATATTTTCAATTTTTATTCTAATGTCATTAGAACAAGAAAAGTGATTATGGTGTATAAATAGAAAGGATGCTATAGTTATATTTATAAATGGAATATTAACTCTGCTTCATTGACGGTATCGTATCAATTGTTTGCATTTTTCGATGAAAGACAATTCCTCTAACCAAATTGAATTTTATTTTTTCTTTTCCTAAACGGCATCTAATTTTAAATATATTTTATCTTAAAACTTAATTAAATGAGTATTGATAGACAATACCTATCCTACAGATACTTCAAGAGATTTGACACATCAAATCATTAATGGTATACAATTGTCCACAATTACACTTGTTTGACGTATTATGAGCCACAAAATATTAAAAGGCTTTCTTGGGATTCGCGTTTTATATATAAAAAACTACAAAAATTTATAAATCAATATGTGAATGTTTATTCGATTAATCGAAATTTAATTTCATTAGTTTAGGGGAAAAAAGTTTTAAAGGGAACTTTCCAGTATTTAAAGATGAATTACAATGCACCTATATTTATTATAACACTGAGCAAGCTCTTCTTTTGATACAAAATATCGAACTGTTTTTTGCTTATCTGATGTTTTGAGACTCATGTATCCATGACCATCGTTATATATTGCATTACGAATGTCGCCTTCAATTTCTTCATGGATAATCCTAATCTTTGATCTACCGCTCATGATATAATAAATATGGCGGTTTGATATTAGATTCAGAATATAACCGTAATTACAACATTTTTCTACTATAAATTTCAAATATTTAGCTATTTTCTATATTTATATATATAGATATAGACCTATATAGACAATATCCTTGTTATAAATTTATATCATTCGAACGATTAAAATTTCTGGTCATTATTAAAAGTAGCCATTTTTATGCACTTTTCACAAAAATTTTATATTGAATATTTCACAAAATTTGAGTGGCGAATTGAAAAAGCGAAAAAAATTAATCATTATTAAAAATTCTCTTCAGATAAATTACGATTCATGTGTTGCCAGTATTTAAAGAAATATCGGGATTTCATAGGAGCTTATGAGAATCTTTATCACATAAAAGCAGATCAATTTGTTGAAGAAATTTCCAACCTTGTAGAAACTGTTTTAATCTGCAAGTACAAAGTACCAATCCACTTGTTATTCATGAGTATATTCAACGCTATTAAGTACAATTATCGATCAATTGTTACATATGTCAATATGCTTAACATCATATTGAACAAACATTCATTCAAATATAAAGATCTATTACAATATAAAACTTTATATGTCTGTGGAGATTTGTGTTCTGATGAAATACATGAGTGTTTACAAGTTTCGAGAAAATCAAATACAATTAATCAAATCGAATTTGATACAAATACATTTCCGAAAGAAGATGAAATTCAGTATGTTTTAATGAATGATCAAGTTGACAAGTTCAGAGAATATGTTACACAACATCCATTAGAAAGTATTTCAATAAGAATCCCTTGTTTTGTAAGGATGGATCCTATTGAAGCATGTTGTTATTTTGGATCTGTCAACATTTTCTTTTTCATCATTTCAAATTATGAAATCAAAATATCGGATCAATGTTATCAATATTCATTCATTGGAGGAAATATTGACATCATTAATGAAATCACGAAAAACAACAAAATCGATGAAAAGTGTTTTAGCAATATTGTCGCATCCCATAATAATCAATGTCTCGATTATGTATTCGAAAGAGATCTTTTTGATCCAGAGTTTATTAATGGTGATTTAATTATCAAGTCACAAAACTTGAAAATCGTTTTCATGTTGCTCGAAAAACACAAAGATTTAATTATTCCATGGTGTGCAGCATTCCCACAGACCATCGATATTCTGATGAATGAGAATATTGATATTTCGAAAATATCATTAATAGGATGCACGGCTATTCATTATGCATCAGTCGGAAATTGTAAAGAAATTGCAGAATTTCTTATTTCACACGGTGTTGATATCAATGTAAAAAATGATTATAATGAGACGGCTCTTCATTATTCACCATATAAAGAAACAACTGAAGTTCTAATTTCACATGGTATTGATATCAATTGGAAGCAGAAACATGGATACACGGCTCTTCATTTAGCAGCCAATATCAATAGCGAAGAAGTAGTTGAACTTCTTCTATCACATGGTGCTGACGTCAATGCAAAAGATAAAGAGGGAGAAACACCTCTTCATCATGCAGCAAAAAATAATTGTAAAGAAACGGCTGAGTTCCTAATATCGCATGGTGCTGATGTCAATGCAAAAGATAAAAATAATAAAACGCCTCTTCATAAGACAACTACAAATAATTGTAAAGAAACAGCTGAAATTCTTATTTCACATGGTGTTGATGTCAATTCAAAAGATAAAGAAGAAAAAACGCCTCTTCATCATGCAGCAAAAAATAATTCTATTGAAACAGCCGAATATCTTATTTCACATGGTGCTGATGTCAATGCAAAGGATAAAGATGGTAATCCGCCTATTTATTGGGCAATCATGAAAACTAATAAAGATATTATACGACTTCTAATAGAACATGGTGCTGATATTAAGCTAAAGAATAAGCATGGAAGAAATATACTTCATTGGGCAACAGAAGTATGGGATCCGATATGCATTGTCCTACCTTGTGATCAACCTAATATAGGTACTTTTCGCCTTGCAAAAGATAAAAGCATTAAAGAAGTTTTAGAGATTCTCATATTATGTGGCATCGATATCAATTCAAAAGATAAATATGGTAATACTCCCCTTCATTTGGCAGCATATGGAAAACTTAAAATTACTGTTGAATTTTTAATAGCAAATGGTGCTAATGTTAATGCAAGAAATAATGTTGAAAAAACTCCTCTTCATCTTGCAACAAAAGGCAATGGTAAAAAAGTGGCAGAAATGCTTCTTTGCCATGGTGCAGATATTAATGCCAAAGATGCAAAAGGGAATACATCTCTTTGTCTTAATGCACATTCATTTCATCAAAAAATCACAAACATTCTAATATCTCATGGGGCAGACATCAATTCAAAAAATAATGATGGCTGGACTGCATTACATATTGCAATAAAGGAAGATCAAACAGAAATATCGAAAATTCTTATATCACATGGTGCAGATGTTAATGTGAAGGAAAATAAAGGAAATACTCCTCTTCATTTTGCTGCCAAACATTATAGACAATCTGTAATAGAACTTCTTTTATCAAATGGTGCTGATATTAATCCTAAGAATAAAGATGGAAAAACACCTCTTCATTATGCAGTTAAAACATGTTATAAAAAATAGTTAAACTTCTTATATCACATGGTGCAGATATCAATATAAAAGATAATAACGGAAAAACGCCTTTAAACTTAGCAACGGAAATTAGTCAAAAAGCACCCACCGAAATTTTTACATCATGCTTGGAATATTTTAATGCAAAAGATAAAGAAGGGAAAATTCTTCTTACGCCTGAAATGGAAAAGAATAATATTAAAATTATTCAGCTTCTTAAAATTCATGGATCATATATGAATTCGTAGCAAAATTATGAAAATATATTCCATAATAATAATGCCGTTATGATTATGGAAAAAAAATTAATTCTCTAGTAATAAACAAATACATTTATTTATATATCCTCAAGTTCAGCACCATCTTTATTGATTTCTGTTGGATCTGTGTAAGAATTGAGGACATCAATAATTTCTTGATTTCCTTTTTCTTTGGCAATATCTAAAGGAGTTTTGCCGTTTTTATCTTTAACATTCATATGAGGGTATTTTTCAAGACATGTTTGTAAAACTCCAAATGAATTATAAATACAACACATGTGTAAAACATTTTGATTTTCTTTGTTCAATGAATTGACATCTGCACCTTTAGAAAGAAGTAATTTGGCCATTGATGTATTTCCAACTTCTGCACAATACATCAATGATGTTATTCCTTTGTTGTCTTTAACATTTATATCTAATCCTTCTTCAATTAGCATCAATCCGACATCTTGTGAATCATGCTTAACAGCCAAATGCAATAACGATTTTCCTTCATCATCCTTCGTATTTCTATTGCCTCCTCGAGTCAAAAACAATAAACAAATTTTCTCGCGATTTTTAATCACAGCGTGTTGTAAACTAGTCAAATTATTTGAATCCTTTGTATTTGGATTTAAACCTTTCTGCAATAATAAACTTGCTACATCAACAGCTTCGTTTTTAACGGTTTTATGTAATGCTGTCATTCCCTTTGAATTAACAATTTTGACGTCAGCTTTGTATTCGAAAAGAACTTTGCAAACATCAAAAGAATTGTAACGAGCGCAAATGTGAAGAGGAGTGTTTTTGCCTTTGTTCAAAGAATTAACATTAATTTTCTTTTCCAATAAGCTGCGAACAATTTGATCACTGTTGTATTTGCATGCAATATGAATCGTTTGTTTGCCTTTTGAATTTTTGCCATGTAAATCTAATTTGCGTGACAAAAGTTTGAAACAATCAATTGAATCGAAACAAGCGCAATAATCAAGTAAAGATTCACCGCCCAAAAGCATGAAGTTCCTGAAATCAATGTCATGGGTTTTCCTTGCAATCTCTGCTTCGCTCAAATTACATACTGTAACAACACCATAATTGGCACCTTTTGAAACCAAAAGTGACAACATTTCAACATTTTGTTTCTTGCAGCAAATGTAGAGCGCTGTTGCTCCTGCGCTTGATTTGGCATCGGCACCGTTATCAAGGAGATAGTTGACAAATGGTAAAATGCCAAATGGAACACAATACAAAAGTGCAGAATTGAAATTCTTTGTTTCACATAATTTGTAGATGTAAAGAAGGAGATCGTGGTGTTCTGATATCTCTTCGAAACTGATCTTGAAAGGATTCCAAAACTTCATTTCATAGCCGTGATCGTGGTTAATAATTACGTTTTTAATCGGAAAGTCTTTGAGATTGGTCAATCCGATCGTTTCGATGATCTTATCGATGATGAAGCGATTCCCACCAAGAAATGCTAAGTTAAGATGGTCTTTTGTAATTGTCAATCCTTTTTCAACGCAAAAATCGAAGCAATTCTTGGCACCGAGTTGACAGACCCAATCAGAAATCGAATTAGAGTTGAATGGAATGAACCATGGTAGTCTGAGTTTATCTTCAAGATCATAATCAAATTTTTGAAGATAATTATAGTCAACGTGCTTCTTAAACTCTTCTACATCATCATACAGTATAGCATGCATAAGAGTGTCTGGTTTGAAGACTTCCATCAAGCGATTGAATTCGTCATCGTTTTGTATTTCGTGAGAGAACTTAGCTGTAACTTGATTGTATTGGTATTTAATGAATGCAGAGAATAGAGGTGAGAAATCGAAATTTTCGAACTTGTCGTACTTGAATTCGTCCATTAATTTCATAAACAAGTTCCAATAAACACGTGTGTACTTTCTATTGAACGAACATGCTTTGTCTATCATCTGAAAGAATGAAATACATGGTATTTGATACTTGCGTACAAGATAAATGATGGTTTTTGCTAATGTCGAAACGTCATCTTTATAAATTGGAGTGAAAATGTTTAGTCTGTAAATCTGTGTAACCACGGAGATGTAATCAGCAAATGTTTCGTGTAGTGTATTATACATATCCTTGTCAAAGCTTGAAGATGACATTTTGTTAATTATTTTTTTGTAAAGTATTCAATTATTTTATGAAGATAAATTTTGCATAACTCATTCATGGATGTGAAAAATATAGTTTATTAAAATGATTTTGTAAAGAGTGACAGTCAGAAAAAAAGCGGCCAATGTTTTTTACTAGCGCATATGATAAGAACATATATGTGTGAGCAGGATCAATCATGCTTATATTCGCCAAATATGTTTTATAATGAGAATTTGAATATCAATTGAAGAAACGTTTGATATATAAGGATATTTTATTCATTTGAAATAAATATCAAAGAAATAATGTTAATTAGAGACATAAAGCTATAAAAATTACAATAATTTTGCATTGTTAAAGAAAATAACTTTTCTATAGAAATAAATCCATTCCCAGAGCGTCCCGTTTTAGTGCTCCCATCCGGTTGGATAATTTCTTCATTCCCATTTTTATATATTACATTTTTCAAGATAGGGCTAGCAAAGCTACTGCCCCCTCCACCAGCTCCACGGTCGGCACCACCTCCACCCCAAAATATCCGCTTCCACCACCGCCAGATGATGCAAGGGCAGTTGAACAAGCTTTTCCACCTGTCAAAAAAGTGCCATTCTCCGCATTACAGCTTGAGTAATTACTACCGCCGGGATATCTTCCTCCAATACCTGGAGACGATATAGTAGCACCGGTTCCAAACCAATTATTTAAACCATAACCATTTCCGGCAATTTTACCTCCGTAACCACCATTATAACTTAATTTTGCACCACCTCCAGAACCTGATACTATTATAACATCACTAACATTATTATCAAATGTTATAAATGTTGCACCGCCTCCTGTGCAGGAGTTTTCATTCCTTTCACCAATCGAATTTCCACCTCCTTGAAAAAAAATCTTTGTAATTGGAGATGTACTGCATTCACCTTGTTGACCTACATAAACGTTAAGTTTTGTATGATAATGCAATTTAATAATTCCTTCTGTATATGCGCCAAGGCCAGATGTTTTGTCAGAAAGTACGCCACCTTGAGAGCCCCATACTTTTAGTGCATATATTCCTGGTGATAATGTGACGTTTTGAACTTTTCCTGTATAATCAAATCTAAGAAGTGATGAAATTTGTCAAAAATCATAAAATTTCAGAATCTGTTTTGTCAATTTTTTGAATGTAAATTTTGCAATTTTTGAAAGGTTCTTTGTGGATCATAACAAATAAATGCTTTATTGACTTTCATTTGTGGAAAAAAGACTTTCTTGCTGAATATTGGGAATAATTGGTGTGCAGCACCGATGAAAAGTGCAAATAAATTAAAAAGTGACAAAAACGAGATTTTAAATGAGCACTATAAATCGACCCGTAACTGCATTAATTTACCCACGCGGTACATGTAAAGCTCAGACTTTTTATTTTCGTGGTGATGATATACATAAAGAACCGGAATTTTTAGATAACAAATTTCGTTCTGCAAAAATTCAGTACGATCGAGCAAAAACAGAGTTAGATGAAGAAAAGCAGCAATATGAGAAGGTTCAAGCAGAATTAGCCAAGAGAGAAGGATACACAGTGACGTTAGCCTCTGCTTTAGGTGATGAGTCCAATCAAACAGAAGAAAACGCTAAATTAAGAACTCAAATTACAAAACTACAAGATGAAATCGAAAAATTTGATAATGCTATTTCTGAAGCAAAAGATCAGCAGCATCCAGGCTTATTAGCGCAATTACAAAAAGAAAGAACATTTTACAACGCTGAGATAGAAGATTTACGTATCAGTATCTTCACTGGAATTGATAATATTCGTAATGATAAGGAGCAAATTGCAAAAATTGTTACATCAAAGGAATATACCGATGCGAGTATGGTTAAAAGTGATAGAATGGCATTTCAGAAGTTCTACAGTCAACTCAGAACAAAAATGGATAAACAATTTGCAGAATTCAGTGCCAAACAAGCCGAATCTGCAAAGCAAAGGCAAATTCGCGTTAAACTACCTCCATCAATTGATCCACTTTGTACCCAGCGCAATAATGCAATCTTAGAAAAAGAAGAGGTTATTCGAAACAAAGAATTTGCTGAATTACGCAAGAAACTTACAGCTCAAGTCTTATTAGACCAACTTGAGACAATGAATCAAACAATTATAGCATTGGGTGGCGAACCAGTTGATATCGAAGAAATTCGTGAGAAATATGGAGCTCAGCCACAACAGCAGCAAGAAGAAGAGGCTAAGGAACAACAATCTACAAAACAGCGTCAAATTAGATCTCCTACCAGGACTTCTGCACGAAATTGGAAAGATATTCCGAAGCCAAGGTCTAGAACTGCATATTCGACAACAAGGAAATAGATTAATATTGTTTATGAGTCTTATTATTGAAAATGTATGTTATTAAATCTCTATTTTTTATAAATTTAAATTTTTTTATTCATAAAAGAAGCCATCTTTGACATATCCCATAACTCCAAGCAAACTGGATGATGCTAAGTTGCTTATCCTGTCCATCTCACTCTGTGGGAATCTGATAAATTGGTCTGGTAAGCAATTGAATGCTTTGATGCATAAATCATCGCTTAATCTGACTTGTTTCTTATCAGATAAGGTGCATGTGATGGAATACTTCAGTTCTCCATTCTTCTTCACAAGGCAAATGTTGTTGACTTCAATGATCTTTGAATTTTTGTCAAAACTAGTGAAATTTTGATTTTTGGCACTTTTTTGAATATTGTCACTTTTTGGTAAATTTTGTGACGATTGAATTTCTTCATTTCTTTGGCTTGCTTCAATTGTAGCTTCAATCTCTTGGATCTCATCGCTTTGGAGGTCATCATTTGAAAGGAAGTCCATTTCTTCGTCATTTTCGTTTAATTTCGACAATTTCAACTGAGGCTTCGATTTTTTAGGTTTTTCTGATTGGATTTCAACTGTATCTGGTTCCTTTGTAGTTGATTTCGACCTTGTTGTCTTCTTTCTTGTAGTTTTCTTTTCAGATTTTGTAACTTTTCTCTTTTTCTTCGATTCGTTAGGAACTTCGGTAATTGGGAGATCATTTTCGTAAATAACGACTGCATCGTTCTTGTATATGTGTAATTTCTCTCTTTTTGAGATAATCTGATTCGATTTTCCTCCCAAGACCTTTGTATTATCTTTATTTAGGAGAAATACACCATAGAATGCTTCAGTGCCTTTATGAACGCATATTTTGAGTCCTGGTATAGATAATACGTCGAGATCTAACTGATTAACATCCAAAAGTCCAATAAAATCGCATCCTTTAGCATGAAGGAGTAGTTTAAGTAGTCCATTTTCGTTCATCTCGAAATTTACCCTCTGAGCGTATGTAATACTGATATCTACTATCTCATTTACTTGGAAAATTATGTTTTCTTCCATTGTAAATTTTGGTTTTTGGTAAATTTCATCGCTGAGGACTTCTTTTGAAGTATCTTCTATATCAGTATCAAGGAACGCATTAAGTATTTCTTTTGAATCTTCACCTATATTGCGTTGAAGCCATTCTGGATTCAGTTTAGCACCATATTCAATTAATGTATCCATAAAATAAATTTTGAAAAGTGACATCACATCAATATTTTATAAACTAAATATAAATACATATTCATGAGCTTATATACAAATTATTTTCTGTATTGAAATTCTTGGAAAATGACTTTTTTTTATAATAATAATAATAAATTTTATTCTTGATTAGTAATATTTCTGATTTAAGGGGTTAATTCAGCTATAGTTGTTCTCAAACTATTAATTTTTGCGCCTTTTTTAATTAAAATTTTTAATATTTCTGGTTTCTTCTGAAATGCGGTCATTTCTCCAGCAGTAGCATTCTCTCTGTTGGGAGTCAATTGAATTCATCTCTGTTCAAATATTCAATTGAAATTGACAAGCATCCCTCAAACGATAAATTAGAATGATTCTTGAGGAATTGAGCGCATTCAATGTTTCCTCCTGCAAGTGCAAACTGGATTGGTTGTCGACCTTCGTCATCTTCTTGTAATAAATCGGCACCAAGATTGTTCAGGTATTCTAAGCATTTGATCGATCCAAAGAATGATGCAAGTGAAACATATGGAGCAGAGAATCCTAAGATAGGAGGTGCAAGAAGAATTGATGGATTTATTTTTGTATCTGCTTCAGATTTAGAATTAACAATGGATTTGAGTGATGTAACATCATCTGTCTTCAAAGAATCGATGATACTCTTAAGTGGGAAATCATATGGGACTATCCATAGATTTGACCGAATCTTAGTAAGATAATCGAAGAAATCCTTAATTATCGATAGGATCACTTTGTATAACATGATGATAATCCTGAATTTGAGTGTAAATTGTTTCAAGTTCATTTGGATTAAAGATAAGGAAAATATTTCATTATTTGACTGTGATATATGAATTATTAATTTTTTTCTACCTAAATTTGTAAAAGAATGCAAGATGAATTTATTGAATTATCAATTATGTTTTACTTTATTGACCTCAAAATATTTCAATGTGGTTCATGCTCCTGGAAAATCTTCATAATTATGCGATGACACATGTGATTTAAGAAGTTGAATAATTTTATTATTTCTCTTTTCCATTTCAGGTGTAAGAAGAATTTTCCCTTCTTTATCTTTTGCACTACAATATTGTGGATATGATGAAACATCTTCTGTTGTTGATTTTTGACTAATTTCCGTTGCTAAATCTAGAGCTGTTTTGCCTTTATTATCTTTTATATTGATATCTGCACCATTTGATAAAAGAAGATCTATTACAGATTGTCTATAATATTTGGCAGCAAAGTGAAGAGGAGTATTTCCCTTACTTTCCTTTGCATTAACATCTGCACCATGCAATATAAGAATTTTCGATGTTTCTGCTTTATTATTCCTTATTGCAATATGCAATGCCGTCAAACCTTTATCACTTTTTGCATTTACATCTGCGCCATGTGATATAATAAGACTTGTAATTTCTTCGCAAGAGGCATATGCAGCAATTAAAAGAGCTGTAAAACCGCTATTATCTTTTGCATTGACATCAGCACCATGGGAAAGAAGAATCTCAACAATTTCTTTATAATCAAATTGTATTGCAAAATAAAGAGGTGTTTTTCCGATATCATTTTTTGCATTAACATCGGCATCATACGATATAAGAAGTTCGATGATGTTTTTAAGATTTCTAATTGCTGCCAAATGAAGAGGAGTATTTCCATCGTAATCTTTTGAGTTGATATCTACTCCATGTAATATGAGGAGTTTTGCAATATCTTTAATATTTTCCATTGCTTCAAGCTTAAGAGCTTCTAAATCAATATCATCTATCGGATTGATATTTGTCCCATGTGATCTAATCCATTCTTCAATTTCTTTTTTGTCTATATCTGCAACTAAATGAAGCATACTTTTCATACAAAAACACTTAATATTTTTATCTGCACCATGTGATATGAGAAGTTTGGTAATTTCTTTATTGATTTTTATGATAGACCAATAGATAGGGGTATATTCATTTTTATCTATTGAATTGACATCAGCACCATATGATATTAGGAGCTCTACCATTCCTTTACAATTATTTTTTGTCGCATAATGAAGAGGTGTTTCTCCCTCTTTATCTTTTGCATTGACATTAGCACCATGCGATAAAAGGAGTTCAACTACTTCTTCACTATTGATATTGACTGCTAAATGAAGAGCTGTGTATCCATGTTTCTGCTTCCAATTGATATCAATACCATGTGAAATTAGAACTTCTGTTGTTTCTTTATATGGTGAATAATGAAGAGCCGTCTCATTATAATCATTTTTTACATTGATATCAACACCGTGTGAAATAAGAAATTCTGCAATTTCTTTACAATTTCCGACTGCTGAATAATGAATAGCTGTGCATCCTGCTAATGATATTTTAGAAATATCAATATTCTCATTCATCAGAACATCGATGGTCTGTGGGAATGCTGCACACCATGGAATAATTAAATCTTTGTGTTTTTCGAGCAACATGAAAACGATTTTCAAGTTTTGTGACTTGATAATTAAATCACCATTAATAAACTCTGGATCAAAAAGATCTCTTTCGAATACATAATCGAGACATTGATTGTTATGGGATGCGACAATATTGCTAAAACATTTTTCATCGATTTTGTTGTTTTTCGTGATTTCATTAATAATGTCAATATTTCCTCCAATGAATGAATATTGATAACATTGATCGGATATTTTGATTTCATAATTTGAAATGATGAAAAAGAAAATGTTGACAGATCCAAAATAACAACATGCTTCAATAGGATCCATCCTTACAAAACAAGGGATTCTTATTGAAATACTTTCCAATGGATGTTGTGTAACATATTCTCTGAACTTGTCAACTTGATCATTCATTAAAACATATTGAATTTCACCTTCTTTCGGAAATGTATTTGTATCAAATTCAATTTGATTAATTGTATCCAGTTTTTCCGATGCATGCAATCGTTTATGTACTTCATCAGAAAGTAAATCACCATATTCGTATAATGTTTTATATCGTAATAAATCTTTATATTTGAATGAATGTTTGTTCAATATGATGTTAAGAATATTGACATATGTAACAATTGATCGATAATTGTACTTAATCGCGTTGAATATACTCATGAATAACAAGTGGATTGGTCCTTTGTACTTGCAGATTAAAACAGTTTCTACAAGGTTGGAAATTTCTTCAACAGATTGATCTGCTTTTATGTGATAAAGATTCTCATAAGCTCCTATGAAATCGTTAAAATTCTTTAAATACTGATAGCCCATTGTGAATGCTTCTATATTAAAGGAATTTTAAATGAAAATAAATTTTGATCGTTCAACTTGAAAAAATATATATATAAGTTATTTATATGCATATATGTAAATTGAGAATATATATATGCAGTAAAATCCTCAATTTTTGAATTTTATCAAAAAAAATGTTGTAATTTGAAAATATACATTTGTCATGAGCAAAAAAATATGTTTAATTTATTGAAGAGTTTGTAAACTAAACTAGGGGCCCTTTAAAACCAAGCATTGAAATTGAGTAGTCTAATTGAAAAAGTGTATATAAAATCATTGATTTATGAGCGGCCGTTATCATAGGGAATATGTGCATGTTGAGCATACAGACAAAATATGTAATAAAATACTTGTCAATGGCATTGGATACATGGGACCCAATATGTATGAAAATAACCCTGATAATGTTTGGTATAGCATAACAAAAGAGGAGTTAGCTAAGTTTAAAAAGAAGAACCAGAAAAAAGATTAGAAATGAATTTCCTGATTTATGACCAGATTCCAAATATGAAGCTCATTTTTTGCAAGCCTAAATTTATTCATTAAAAATTTATGTAATTGAGATTTTAGATAATATTTGGTAGTTACTTATTTATTTTTGATATAGTTTCAATGTGCTTCCAAATAAAATACGATTTAATCAAATTACAACATCTTTTTTCGATATATTGCAAATTATGAACTCCCTGCTGCATGTATATATATATGTATATATATATATATATGTATATATATATATATATGTATATATATATATATGTATATATATATATATATGTATATATATATATGTATATATAAAGTTACAGTTTCTGATTTATATCAGAATTGTTGAAAAAAGTATATGAAGATTAAAAATAAGTTGAATTTTTAATATGTTTCCTAAGATTATATATCTTGCATCGATGATGCCAATAGAGATACAAGAAAAAAAAACTAAAAGACTTTGATAGTGATAATACAAACAATATTATTTTAGAATAATACAAACAAAGATTTAATTTAAACATGTAAAGATCTTTCTTCAAATTGAGAAAGAGTTTCTTCTGCTGTGATTGCTCGAATCGCTGATTGCTTCAGTTTCTTAGCACAATCGACAGAAGATATTGTGCTATTGATTTGCGATGCAGAGATAATAGAAATGAGTTTATCCAATGAGCATTTTTCAATATCATATTTGGAAGTTATACCTGCACTAAACAAAGACCGTGCAATTGACTGAGAGCAACCTAATGACATAAGAGGAATAACATCATTTTTGGCACCATGTTGAATTCGATTTCTTGCAACTGCTAAAATTGCTGAGATTTCTCTGAAACCAGAGGCTTCACAGAATTTAACAACTTGTGTTGCGTAGACAACAAACGAATCTCTGAGATTTTCTGCACTGCATGTATAAACATCAAATGTCTGCATCAAAGAATTCATTAAGTATTTCTTTTGAATCTTCTCCCTATATTACGCTGAAACCATTCTGAATTCAGTTTAGCATCATATTCAATTAATGTATCCATAAAATAAATTTTGAAAAGTGACATCACATCAATATTTTATAAACGATATATAAGCACATATTCATGAGCTTATATACAAATTATTTTTCCTTATTGAAATGAATGTACCTTGTATAATTTATTAGGACTCAGATATCAAAATCTTCCTATATTCAGATGTCTGTCTAGAACTATAAACGATAAACTTAATATTTTACTCTCTAATAATATCCAGCTTACTTGTATGTAATAAACATCATGGAAATTTTTGGAAAAAGGCTAATAAAAATAAATTTTATTCCTGATTAATAATATTTCTGATTTTAGGGGCTAATTCAACTGTAGTTGTTCTCAAACTATTAATGTTGGCACCCTTTTCAACTAAAATTTTTAATATTTCTGGTTTCTTCTGAAATGCGGCCAATTCTGCAGCAGTAACATTATCTTTATTAGTCACTTCGAGATTAATGTTTCTTGCTGATAATATAGCATTAACAATATTAGTTTCTCCATATGTAACTGCATTGTGAATCGCATAATTTCCTTCTATATCTTTTGTATTAGGATTAACTCTTTCATCTGCAGCAATTGCTTCTGCTGCTTCTGCAGATCCATAAATGGCTGCAATTTGAAGAGGAGAATGTTGATAGGCGTCCAAAATATTAATATTCGTTCTTTGGTCAGCAATAAGTATCTTAACAGCTTCTACTTGGTTATCCATTGCAGCATAGTGTAAAGGAGTGGCATTATGTCGATCAAAAGCGTTAACATTTATTTGATTTGACTCCAATAACACTTTTAGAGCATCAATACAACCATCTTTAGAAGCACAATGTAACGCGGTATCATCGTCAAGGTCAGTAACGTTGATATCTGTTCCATTCAAATTTAATAAAATCTTCAGAACGTCGATAGAATCATAAGAAGCAGCAATATGCAATGGAGTCCAGTCATAGTCATCTTTAGTCATATGAGGAACAGAATATTCAATAAGTGTGTTGGTGAAATAAATTGAATTTACTTTTGCTGCTGCATGATAAGGACAATCAATGCTGTTTTCAAGTCCATATGTTAGATCACTGATATTCTGGATAAGCCAATTGAAGCCATCTCTGTTCAAATATTCAATTGAAATTGACAAGCATCCCTCAAACGATAAATTAGAATGATTCTTGAGGAATTGAGCACATTCAATGTTTCCTCCTGCAAGTGCAAACTGGATTGGTTGTCGACCTTCGTCATCTTCTTGTAATAAATCGGCACCAAGATTGTTCAGATATTCTAAGCATTTGATCGATCCAAAGAATGATGCAAGTGAAACATATGGAGCAGAGAATCCTAAGATAGGAGGTGCAAGAAGAATTGATGGATTTATTTTTGTATCTGCTTCAGATTTAGAATTAACAATGGATTTGAGTGACACAACATCATCTGTCTTCAAAGAATCGATGATACTCTTAAGTGGGAAATCATATGGGACTATCCATCGATTTGACCGAATCTTAGTAAGATAATCGAAGAAATCTTCGAATATTGGTGTATTTTCATCTTGGAAAAGGCCACTCTGTATAACATGATGACGATCCTGGATTTGAGTGTAAATAGTTTCAAGTTCATTTGGATTTTCTTTGGATAATTCAGAAGATCCTTCGGTAATGCAGAGGATAATTTGGTTGAAAACATCATTAGAGAGCTTGTGTGAGTTATTAAGAATCTCGTTTAAAATTGAAAAAACATCATCACTCAAAAGGAAAGAAGAGCGAAGTAAATGTATTAAGAATACTGAAACTATTTCATTGTTTGATTGTGATACGTGTTTTATTAATTGTTTTTTGAAAAATTCTTTGTTATCGGAATTTGTAAAAGAATGTAATTGTTTAATAAGTGTAGAATAGAATTCTAATGATAAATATCTTGCAGGTAGAATGTTAAAAACTGCCTTAACGAATGTGTAAATTTGATTATTAGGATCTGCACTGATTAATTCATCTATTTCTTGAGCAGATGATGTAATATTTGTTTGTTTTACATTTTCAAGCAATGAATGGAATCGCTCAACTGAGGAACTCATCAAATGTGATGCAAACACTTATCTTGACAAAAATTTGAAAATATTTTCAAAATTTGAATTAGACACAAGTGTCTATTTCAAAAATATATTTCTTACTTATCTCCATATGTAAATTTTGTATATTTCTTGACACGAAAAATTTGAAATCAATACGTACAAATATACAAAATTATGTGAATTTTTAAAATTACCACATTTAAAAACTCATTGTGCAAATTAGGAGTTTTTTTTATGCAATACTTCAATCTACATGTTTACACATTTAACCAAACCGGAAATCCACCCTTAAAAATGAGTTGATGATGCTTTGACAGACATTTATTGAATATGGAGGGCATCAGAAATCGATTAATTAAGAAAAAAAAATATAATATAAAGAGCATAAAGGGGTTCTCATGAATCATTATCAATGAACTCAATTAATAAGTCAATTCAATGGAATTCTCCTCGAAGTTTAATTGATTGATATTATATTTGTCATAATTATGTGAAAGATTGTTAAATGACCCTTATGATTTGAGAAGTTCTATTATTTTATAAATTTTCTTTTCTTCAAATCCTAGAGGTATATTATTTCTCCCTTTTATAAGTTTCGCTTCCTCGTATTCTTCTACTGATTGAAAATAACGAATACTCAGTTGTTGACTAATTTCGATTGCTAAATTTAGAGGTGTTTCTCCGTTTATATCTTTTGCATTGATATTTGCACCATGTGATATTAGAAAGCTGACTTGTTTTTTATTTTTACTTTCAACTGCATAATGAAGAGGAGTTTTTCCATCTTTATTCTGAGAATTGATATCAGCACCATGTGATAAAAGAAGTTTCATTACTGACCAACCATAATTTTTGGTTGCAAAATGAAGAGGGGTATTTCCTTCACTTTCCTTTGCATCAACATCTGCACCATGTGATATAAGAATTTTCGAAATTTCCGTTTTATCATTTCTTGCTGCAGTATGCAATGCAGTCATACCTTCATCATTTTTTGAATTGATATCTGCACCATGTGATATAAGAATTTTCGAAATTTCCGTTTTATCATTTCTTGCTGCAGTATGCAATGCAGTCATACCTTCATCATTTTTTGAATTGATATCTGCACCATGTGATATAAGAATTTTCGAAATTTCCGTTTTATCATTTCTTGCTGCAGTATGCAATGCAGTCATACCTTCATCATTTTTTGAATTGATATCTGCACCATGTGATATAAGAATTTTCGAAATTTCCGTTTTATCATTTCTTGCTGCAGTATGCAATGCAGTCATACCTTCATCATTTTTTGAATTGATATCTGCACCATGTGATATAAGAATTTTCGAAATTTCCGTTTTATCATTTCTTGCTGCAGTATGCAATGCAGTCATACCTTCATCATTTTTTGAATTGATATCTGCACCATGTGATATAAGAATTTTCGAAATTTCCGTTTTATCATTTCTTGCTGCAGTATGCAATGCAGTCATACCTTCATCATTTTTTGAATTGATATCTGCACCATGTGATATAAGAATTTTCGAAATTTCCGTTTTATCATTTCTTGCTGCAGTATGCAATGCAGTCATACCTTCATCATTTTTTGAATTGATATCTGCACCATGTGATATAAGAATTTTCGAAATTTCCGTTTTATCATTTCTTGCTGCAGCATGCAATGCGGTCATGCCTTCATAATTTTTGGAATTAACATCTGCTCCATGTGAAATAAGAATATTTGTAATTTCTTCACATGATGCATATGCAGCAATTAAAAGAGATGTATCACCGTTATTATCTTTTGCATTGACATCTGCACCATGAGAAAGAAGAATCTCTGTAACTTCTTTAGTATCGTTATTTTTTATATAATGAAGAGGTATTCTACCATATTTATTTTTTGCGTTGACATCGGCACCATTGGATAGAAGAATCTCTACTATTTCTTTACAATTATATTCTGTTGCATATTGAAGAGGAGTTTCTTCATTCTCATTCTTTGCATTAACGTCAGCATCATATGATATAAGAAGTTCGATGATATTTTTAAGATTTCTAATTGCTGCCAAATGAAGAGGAGTATTTCCATATTTATTTTTTGAATTGATATCTACTCCATGCAATATGAGGAGTTTTGTAATGTCTTTAATATTTTCCATTGCTTCAAGTTTAAGAGCTTCTAAATTAACATCACCTTTTGTATTGATATTTGTCCAATGAGATCTAATCCATTCTTCAATTTCTTTGTTGTCTACATCTGCAACGAAATGAAGCATACTTTTCATTCTAAGACACTTAATATTTTTATCTGCACCATGTGATATGAGAAGTTCGGTAATTTCTTTATTGATTTTAATGATTGACCAATAGATAGGTGTATATTCATAATTATCTTTTGCATTGACATCAGCACCATATGATATTAGGAGTTCTGCCATTCCTTTACAATTATTTTTTGTCGCATAATGAAGGGGTGTTTCTTCTTTTTTATTTTTTGCATTGACATTAGCTCCATGCGATAAAAGGAGTTCAACTACTTCTTCACTATTGATGTTGACTGCTAAATGAAGAGCTGTGTATCCATGTTTCTGCTTCCAGTTGATATCAACACCATGTGAAATAAGAAATTCTGCAATTTCTTTACAATTTCCGACTGCTGAATAATGAATAGCTGTGCATCCTGCTAATGATATTTTAGAAATATCAATATTCTCATTCATCAGAACATCGATGGTCTGTGGGAATGCTGCACACCATGGAATAATTAAATCTTTGTGTTTTTCGAGCAACATGAAAACGATTTTCAAGTTTTGTGATTTGATAATTAAATCACCATTAATAAACTCTGGATCAAAAAGATCTCTTTCGAATACATAATCGAGACATTGATTATTGTGGGATGCGACAATATTGTTAAAACATTTTTCGTCGATTTTGTTGTTTTTCTTGATTTCATTAATGATGTCAATATTTCCTCCAATGAATGAATATTGATAACATTGATCGGATATTTTGATTTCATAATTTGAAATGATGAAAAAGAAAATGTTGACAGATCCAAAATAACAACATGCTTCAATAGGATCCATCCTTACAAAACAAGGGATTCTTATTGAAATACTTTCCAATGGATGTTGTGTAACATATTCTCTGAACTTGTCAACTTGATCATTCATTAAAACATATTGAATTTCGCCTTCTTTCGGAAATGTATTTGTATCAAATTCAATTTGATTAATTGTATCTAGCTTTTCTGATGCATGCAAATGCTCATGTATTTCATCAGAAAGTAAATCACCTTGTTCATATAATGTTTTATATCGTAATAAATCTTTATATTTGAATGAATGTTTGTTCAATATGATGTTAAGAATATTGACATATGTAACAATTGATCGATAATTGTACTTAATCGCGTTGAATATACTCATGAATAACAAGTGGATTGGTACTTTGTACTTGCAGATTAAAACAGTTTCTACAAGGTTGGAAATTTCTTCAACAGATTGATCTGCTTTTATGTGATAAAGATTCTCATAAGTTCCTATGAAATCGTTAAATTTCTTTAAATACTGGCCACACATGAATCGAAATTTATCCGAAATGAATTTTAAAAATAATAAAAATAAAATTTAAAAATTTTTTTAAAAAAAATCATTGTTTGATCTTTTAAATAGAGTATATCTATAAGCACTTAATTTTAAAAATTTAAAACAAAATGATGTTGTAAGATTGAATGATATTTTCCTCGAAATTTTGAAAGATAACAAGTAATTCAAATCCTTATATATAAATGATGATGAGCTTTTGAAAAAAAAATAATTGAATTATATCAATTTTTGAGAAGACTCCTTTTTTACGGTTTCATTCTGAAACTGACATATTAAAAATTTTAATGAGTGGTCTTTATCATAGGGAATATGTATATGTTGGGTATACAGTCAAAGTATATGGGAAACAAAAATAAGTTGATTTTTTAAATTCGTTTCCTAAGAGATTGTCAATCAAAATGTTGCCTGTAACAAAGTATAAAAAGATTATATATCTTGCATCGATGATGTCAATAGAGAATACAAGAAAAAAACTAAAAGACTTTGATAGTGATAATACAAACAATATTATTTTAGAATAATACAAACAAAGATTTAATTTAAACATGTAAAGATCTTTCTTCAAATTGAGAAAGAGTTTCTTCTGCTGTGATTGCTCGAATCGCTGATTGCTTCAGTTTCTTAGCACAATCGACAGAAGATACTGTGCTATTGATTTGTGATGCAGAGATAATAGAAATGAGTTTATCCAATGAGCATTTTTCAATATCATATTTGGAAGTTATACCTGCACTAAACAAAGACCGTGCAATTGACTGAGAGCAACCTAATGACATAAGAGGAATAACATCATTTTTGGCACCATGTTGAATTCGATTTCTTGCAACTGCTAAAATTGCTGAGATTTCTCTGAAACCAGAGGCTTCACAGAATTTAACAACTTGCGTTGCGTAGACAACAGATGAATCCCTGAGATTTTCTACAGCTCCTTTATCAACTCCGTGTGTTTTTGATATAGAATCTACAGAATTTTCTTCTGAAAACGATACCAAAATAGCAGCAGCAAAAATTTTTCCAAGAATTTCATCATTTTGATCATTCATTTTTGGAAGACCTTTATCGCAATCAGAAGCTCTGATTTTAATGATGTCGCTTGCTGAATTAAGAATTGCGTTAGCAGCTTCGCAGTGCCTTTTCATAATAACAGACCAAATGTCTTCATTATAATTTGGTATTCTGAGGAATGAAATATTAGGATAACAGCAAAGGTACATAGTAAATGCTTCATCAGACATCATAAAGTTTCTCATATTTTTCCTTAGAATTGCATTTAAATGAATAGCATTATTAATATTAAGGTTGCTTAGAGCAACAGCTCTTCCGAATTTTGATACTTTGGGAGAGATGCACATTCCATTGCTCTTTAGAGAGTCTAGAGCAGCTTGGATTTCTTGAGAAACTTCGTTGCCTTCAATAATATAAGAATAAAGAACGCTCTTCAAATTCCCAATTGATTGCTTCGTAAAGAAAGCATGCATGTGCAAAATTGTTTTGGCAAGTTCGTTCTGGTTTTCAATTAATTTCAATTTGATAGGAGGAATCTCGTTCCTCATAAGCCTTAAGATTTGGGTTTCATCGCTATTAAATCGTTCAACTACCACAACTGTTCCTGATGATCTTTCGTTTCTTCCTGCTCTTCCGCACATTTGCATAAATTTACTTGGTGATATCTGTAAGTTACTCTTGAATGCTGATAAAATTACAACGACTGATATGTTTTGGAAGTCAACACCTGCAGAAAGCGTCGATGTGGCAACAATTATTTTGATGATTCCATTTCGAAATGCATCTTCGATTAATGATCTTTCTTCTTGAGTCAAGCCAGCATGATGGAATGCAATTCCATTCATAACACAAGAAAATGACTCATCTAATTTTTCCAATAATTTCTTTCGTTCGGTTTGAATGTTTTCATCTTCCTTATTTATATTACCGAGCATTTGTGCCAATGATAATGCTATTTCTTCGCTTTCTTTCCTTGTTTGAGCAAAAATCAAGACATTTTTCGAATTCATCTTCATAAATGGCGCAATGATTGATGATATATAGAACTTATCATCTTTCTTTAGAGTTCTGAAAGCTGGGCATATATACCCTTTCCTAACGGGGCACAATTCTCCGTTTGGTCTACAAATATAAAATTGCTGCCTTGAAGGCGATTCATTTATTTCAGCTTTGAATGAGAATCCACCAAGCCATATTGAAAGCTTAACGGCATCATCTGGTGTTAAAGTTGCTGTTAATCCTATGATTCTCGGGTGGCTTGGTAGTAGCATAGATAATACTATTAATGATTCTAAGTTTGCACCTCTATCGTTATCATCTAGCATATGAAATTCATCTATGACAATTAAATCAAGATCAAATTTTCCGGATGCGGAAGAATTAATAAGAGAGTGAGCTCTTTCGTATGTGCAAACGCCTATAGATCTTTGTGTCAATGGTCCTGCACCTATGTCATGATAATATGCCCTTACTGTGACTGATGGAAATCTAAGAGTAAATAAATTGTATTTTTCAGTTGCAAGTGCAACAAATGGTACGCAATACAGAATCTTAGCTGATGGATTACGTTCTAATGCTTGTGCAAATGCAACTTCTGCTATTAATGTTTTTCCGCCAGCTGTTGGAGCAAGGACTATTGCATTCTTTTGCAGTTGCCATTCAGCTTTTAGTAACAATGATCGTTGCCATGGTCGTAATGTTGAAAATGCTGGTGGTGGAGTACCACTTAGATATGAATTTTGTAAAAATTTGGGAATTCCGCACTCATCCATTTCGGATATAGTGGATGAAAGAACTTGGCTCTCATCAGAAATAGATTGAGGTTCGGAGAGTGAATGGTATTCGAGAACCTCCCCCATCCCAAAAATGCCGCCAAAATTTGAGAGGGAAAAATTTTTGTCAGGTATTCTAAAAAGATAAAATCTTTCACTAATTCAATGTTTCGAATAAGGATTTCGTTTGGTAAGATAACGCCTGGGACCTCCAAAATCCAAAATATGAGCTTCCACAATTTTGTACCCTATTTTTTACAAATTTCAGAATTTTATGTATATTTTCGATTTGAAGCAATCTTTGTTTGATAATATGAATAAAACTACAATGTTTTTCATCAAAACTTTTAATTATCTCTCTTAGATCCTCAAAATAATAAAATCTAAAATATATTTTTCATGAATGTAAAGGCAATAAGTTTGTTTTGGAGTTTTGAATCCCTTTTACAGCCTGGTTTACTCCCTTCAATTATGCTGGTTACTGATTATTTATCCTAAATTATCAACCACAAAAATCGTCAAAAGTGTGATCTGAAAGAAAATCGAATTTTAGTAGTCATATGGCGTGTTATCTGTCAAATTCCTCAAAATTTCAATACGTTTGTAAAATTTTTTTTCAAAATTCGTTTGAAATGTCTCAGGGAAAAATATCAGGAGATCCCTCAGAACATTCTCACGAATCATCAGAGACTAACTTGGTTAACATGTCTCATGCACAGATTGTTAATAGTTTGCCAGGAAAAACGTGGATAGAGAAATTAAGAATAGCATACGAAGATGTTACAGGAAGTATTGAAAATGATATATCTCTGGACAAATGGAATAAGTCAAATCTGAAGTATTTAATCGAAGACTCAATACTTTCCGATGATCAAATGATAGAATATTTTCAACAGATAGATGCGAACACAGATTACAACATATCATGGTCAGAACTCGTTGCTTATATCATGATGCACCAAAAGAACTTGACAAGTGGAAATATTGACAAAAAACTAAATTTATCCTTTTTTGCACCAGATGAGGTTACAATACAAAAGAATAAGCGTTCTGCTAGATGTTTACGTGCACGCTACATTCATGCCCTCGAACAAATCATTACTCTTACGGAAACAACTTTAACATTTTGGAGTTTAGAGTGTATTCCTATCAGAACGTTTACAGATAAAGACAAGTTTGTAGACTTTTGTTGCTTAGACTCTATTTTCAAGCTTGCAATTGCAAAACAAAACAGACAAATTATTTTTTACGATTTAAGGAACCATTCGAAGTTAAACTACTTCATTTCAGCTACATTAGATTCTAATGCTGTCCAGCACTATAATTCTGATGAAACAAGAGCAGCAATTGCTAATTGCCGAAGAAGAAGAATTCCTTTGTTTAACACTCCAACAGCAATGGAATCTCTACCGGAATACCCAATCTTATTCATTGGTGACCAAGAAGGACGCGTAGAAGTCTTCCATGTTCATGGTTCAAGAGCTGGAAAATCTGAATGGACTTCAACGCGTATCAAACACGCAAAAATACATAATCAAGCTGTTTCTCAGATCTTGTATATCCCTCAGCTTGATGTTTTTGCCTCAAGTTCCATTGACGGAACTCTTGCAATTTGGCATTTCTCTTTAAAGACAAATGACTTGAACATTGAGCAAGTCTTTAAAGAGCCAAATCATCTTCCAATCATAAGTTTCTGTTATGAGCACAGAACTCGCGATTATATCTACAATACTCCATCTCATTGCTTCGGAATCTGGAGAACAGGCACTTTACATTCACAGACTGTTGAAACAAGTACTCAAGTTGTCTCAACAATGACGATTGCTACTCTTTCTCCTGAATCTTCTTTTTTAGTCACAATTACTAAGAACAATTTCTTTTCCATTTACAGGATTCCAAACATGGAACCCTGTGGAAACTGGTTCATGGGCCTCCAGCACGAATTATGTCCTCCTACCGCTGCTCTTTGTACAGGTGATTATTTATATTTGGTCGGAGCTTTTGTTTCATCTTGGAAGGTCGAGAATGGCAGTGGAGAAGGATTGCGAGCTTGCACGAATCCCATTGTTAATGTTCACGTTAACAGCTTGTTCAAGAAAGTTCTTACCTGCGATAACAGAGCAACAATTGCAAGTTGGGATTTACTCAGCGGATTGAAAGAGTTTTCATACACTTTAGAAGAGAAAGATGCGATTGTTTCATGTTTTGCATTGGATACTTCGCAAAGGAGAGCCGCTGTAGGATATTCCAATGGACTTGTTCACATTGTCACCGCCAATTCTGGTTCAATTTTGTTTTCAATCGAGCCAGCACAATTAGAAGGTAGTTGTCATGCATTGTTATTCGCACAGATCTTTGGGAACAAGAAACTTCTTTGTTCTAATGGGAACAGAAGTGTTGTTCTCTTCTCAGACATACAAGGAAACAGAATGGCCTTCCACAGGAATTTTGTTGGTCACACAGAAAACATCATTTCAATGGCTGTTCTCAAAGAAAGAGTAATTGTCACAATTGGTTCAGAGAAAGAGATGTTTTTGTGGAGTGTTACTCAGCAGAATCCATTAGTTAAATACTCTTTACCAGGAGATCCAACGATTGTTGTTGATATTCCTACTTCTTCAGATACTTTCTTGGCCGGAGATACTTCTGGATCAATTCACATTTTGCGCTTGGATTATCCAACTCCTATTAAGTCTATTGATGTATTTGGAATGTCGATTAGCAGTGCAATCACATCTCTCTATATCAGTAAGACTACTCCATACATCTTCATCGCAAACATGCACGGATACATGAAGATAATGAGCATTGAACCTGACGGTTCTTACACAGACCATAAAATGTTCAGACCACATCCAATGGGCATCATTAACTGCTCTTTAAGCGAACAAGACAAAGTTATGGTAACAGCTGGTTTAGACCAAGAAGTGAAAATGTGGAATATCGAGCAGTTGCAGTGTATTGGTACAATTGGTTTCATGAAGAAATGGAAACTCAATGATCCGAAAACTTGGTCTGGATCATCAGTTCCTGAAGATCCTGTTCATTTCCAAAAACCTGATGAAAGTGTTGAAGAAGAAGAATTCCCCGAGGAAGAAGAGAAAATCAAAAGGCCACCACCAATAAACATTGACGCTTTGCCTTTGCCTGAATTCACTTATGAAGGAACAAGAAATATGTTGGACACAAGTGAAGAACAAAACGAAGATGGAAAGAAATTGATCGAAAAAGTTGTTCTTTCTATGAAAGAACCTCCAAAATCAGCAAGGGTTATCAAGCCTGTTGTTCCAAAGATGACATTTGCAGACTTGATTGAAAGCAGACACATGGAGAATACAATCACATTCATGCAGACTTGCAGAGAAATCAAACCGACTTATGCAAAATACGGAATTAAGAAGGTTTGATTTACATATTTTTATATATTAGTTTGTTGTTTAATTAAATTTATGTTGTTTTTTATTGTTTCGAACAAAAAATATTATTATTTAAAGAGTTGAATTGGTATTGGAAAGCTTGAACGAAATAGAATATATCTGAACTAATATGTTTCTCTATTGCAATTATCTAATGGTTAAATTCTAATTCAGAATTTTTTCATACGCAATTCTTTTGCGTAATTATTAATTATATGGCATTATCTTGTTCATAAAATAATATATTATCATAGTTATGGTCGGTCAATTAGCTTAGTTCCCGCAATTTCTGCAATTTTATAATTATCCGAACGTTGTTTTTGTAAAGTCAAATTGACAAAAATAACCGAAAAAAATTCTTTGGAAAATATCGGCAGAATTTCTAAATATGAAATAATGTGCAAGATACTGTTATCAATTACGACGAACAAACAATAATTGAAATAATTGTCAACACTTTTTTTTCTTTATTGAGCGGCCGACCACTGAAGGACGATAAAAATCTCACTTCAGAATGGCTACTAAAGCTCCATCAACCAGAAAGCAACTAGTTAAGTTCAGCAAGACCCTTACAATGGGTATTGTTGGTATGCCAAACGTCGGTAAGTCACTCCTTTTCAACCTTCTCTCCAAGCGTGACCTTGCCGCCACACAAAATTATCCTTTCTGCACAATTCAACCAAACATTGCTCGTGTCGAAGTTCCAGATGAGCGTTTCACAGAACTTTGCAAGCTCTTCCATCCAAAGAACGAAGTTCCAGCTACATTATCTATCACAGATATTGCAGGTCTCGTTCGTGGTGCTTGCAAGGGTGAAGGTCTTGGTAACGAATTCCTTTCCAACATCAGAGCCGTCAACGGTATTTATCAGGTCGTTCGTATCTTCGATGATCCAGATGTTACACACGTAGAAGGCAACGTTGATCCAATCCGTGATCTTGAAATTATTGGTGAAGAACTTCGTCAGAAGGATCTTCAGTGGCAGCGCAACACCTACGAAGATCTCAAGAAGAAGATGGTTTGCGAACCACGTAAGTACAAGGACGAATTCGAGCTTGCAGGCAAGGTCCTCGAATACCTCGAGAACACACCAGCTCCAATCCGCTCCGGCACATGGAATGAAGTTGAGACAGCTTATATCGAATCTCTTAACCTCCTTACAGCCAAGCCAACAATCTACCTTCTCAACCTCGACAAGAAGTCATTCCAGACAAAGCGCAACAAATGGCTCCCACTCGTTGCCAAGTGGGTCAAAGAACACACAGATGAGCCAGTCATCCCATTCTGCGCTTGCTACGAACACGAACTCGAAGAGATGGGCGAGGAAGCTGCTAAGGCTGAACAAGAAAAGACAGGCGCCCACTCGATGATTCCACGTATCATCCGTAATGGTTTCCACGACCTTGGCCTCATCAACTTCTTCACATGCGGCCCAGATGAGGTTCGTGGCTGGACAGTTAGAGATGGTGCTACAGCTCCAATCGCTGGTGGTGTCATCCACACAGATTTCTGCGAAAAATTCATCCGCGCTGATGTTTACTCATACGAAGATATTAAGGAACTCGGCTCAGAAAACGCTGTCAAGGCTGCAGGCAAGTATCGTACAGAAGGCAAGAACTACATCGTCAAGGATGGCGATATCATGTTCTTCAAGCACGGAGCTGGCTCTGGTGGTGCTAACAAGAAGCATTAAATATCATAAAAGCATCTTTTTCTCTTAAATGTCGATTAAAAAATTTTCTTAACGAATTTCTTAACTTAAGATATATATAACATATCTTTAGGGGTACTTTAACTACTTTTTCTCTGTTTATAATGAAGGTCTAACTAAAATGTTGTTTTCTTAGATATTTATTCAACAAATTGCTTTGAAAATTTATTTGTATACAATGCGGATTGGCTATTTTAATTGTAAAAAGCATCTATGAGGCGACATCTTTATTTGACAAAATGTTTCAAAAAATAAAATTGGAGAATTGCCAGAAAATTGGAACTGCGCCCTTAAGACTTATATAGTTTTTGATGTTGATATTGCACACTATTGGCTAGTTTATATTATGGTATAGTTCGTAGCACATACTTCCATCCACACCGATTTTAGCATTGAAAAGATTTAGATATCTGAAATAGTTTAACATATGTATTTGTGTTATGGTTTTGATCAATTGATCATATAAACTGTTGATAAAAAGTACAAATATTCTTAAATTTCCTATTTAAATCAAGTATTTTTGTGCATCAGTAATCACAGTAATTATGGCTAGGCCTTCTATGCCCATACGCAGTGAATGGGATCTACCAAGCAAATAAAAATAATGTTCAAAAAAATAAGATTATACAAATTGTCACTTTTCATAAGAAAATAAAAACATTTTTCTTGATTGGTAAAATTGGGGCTGGAAACTTGAATATATTCAAAATATCAGATTTCTTCAGACCTACACTTTTGAATGAAAATTCCACAGGTGGATGAAATTCTTTAGGTAACTATCGTATTAAGAAAATATTAAATCGAATCCCTCATCGAAAATTGAATGAAGAAATAACCGCTTACACACTTTGTGATACTGCCAATCATAATATAAATCAATTTTTCAGAGAATTATTTTAAATCTTTCCTCAAAAATTGAATATATAATTGATCTTTTTCAATTCAAAATAAATTTTTTGAAAGAAGGATCAAAATTTTTTATATTCGAATTTCATGAGTTCTTCCAGTACAATAGCTTCTTCAACAAAAATCAAATTTATCGATCCAGGAAACGCACTAACTACATTTGTATCTATTGATATACTTATTGCCATTGTTTTCGTTTTAGCAGGTCTAATTTTTTTTGTTTTAGGGATTTACTACTATTGCAAGACAAAACATCATAGAAGAGAGCAACAACTTGGAGATCAGCCATTAGGTTTATTAGCTCGATCACCACATGTTCACGCGCATTTCAAACATATCACAATTCAACGAAGTAATCCTAATAAAATCAAACTTATCAATACAACTCGAGAATCTAACATCATTGAAACAAAACCAACACCTGCACCAGAATTAGAAAAATCACCGTCAATGGATAGTACTCAATCATTAAATCCTGTAGCAAGACCGAGACCAAGAAATAGACCTCCTCCTATTCCAACCACCCCTGTAGAAGTTGATGCTGACGGAATTCTATCAGATGGTGAACTTGAGTAATTTTCGCAATATCATTATCGAAATATTCAACAAGCATTCGTATTGACTTAATATCATGCATTTTGACATTTTACAAAAAAACAGAAATTTTTTGTATTTTCTTTCAAAGGAAAATCTATAGTTTGATTCATTGGAAGGAGTCCAATGAAGCTTTTGAATTACAGCTGCAATGATCACTATTGAAAATTGTTTGCAAATCTACCGGAGAATTTGCAATTCATCTTTAATATCTTAGATATGATTCAAATAGGTCCGCTGATATTAATAGGTGAGATTTATCTTCTATTTGTTGTTCCAAAACCACGAATATTTAGTAAATTCTTTTTTTATACCAACAGAATGTATATTTGATATAAATGGTGTATGTCCTATTGATATAATTGATCAATATAAGAGAGCAACTATAGAGCATAGAATGAATTTCATCAAGATTTTATCCAAAAGGGAAGATAAGAGGTTTATCAATGCAAAAATATGCTGAGGCGGTATTTGATTTATTGATTGAAGTAAAAAAAAAATAAATTTTATAAAAAGTTCTAAAAATCTTTATTCTTATGGCTTAAGGTAATCTGTAATAACTTCTGTGAATTCATCACATCTGTTCTGTAAAATCTGTAAAGCCTCTTTAACAAGTACATATGCTGGTCTAACGCCGACACTTTCGACGGTGAATTCGTAGTGGTTGGCCTCTTTACCAAGAGAAACGTAGTGTGCGAGGGATGGATTTCTAATGCATTCGCGGCACGTTGTACATTTTCTTGGAGATCTAACAACAAGTTTGCTATCTTCGATATCGAATACTCCCATTGGGCATTTACTGATAAGCTTCTGTTGCTTCTTCTCTGAAGAATTAATTTCATCCTTTACCTGGATTGAAGGAACAAGACGGTAGAATGCTGTGCAAACTGGCTGGAACTTAGCATGATCAGATCCAATGCCTTTGATCGCCCGGCAGTAGAGATGAATTGTTTGTCCTGGTAAAATTTTTGTAATTGGAATATCTGCATGAAGAGGAGCAACGTTACCGAATTTCTCGCGTTGTCCTTCATATGGCATCCAAACCAAATGACTAGATAAGATTTCTCCTGGATTCTCGATAGATCCATCAATGTATGTTGGTGGAAGATTCTCCTCCATAGATGCATCGACATTAGAGAGATCTGGTGTTGGGCCGCGACCACCGATAACGTGAAGTCCAAATAATAAAACTTCGTTTGGATCGGAAGATTTGTCTTCGATCTTTTGCTTTGGATAATCGAGCAATGATGGATCTGCGTTGATTGGAATTAAGCCTAAACGATGACATAAAACTTCATCTGGCATAACACCAGTATTATCAAGCATGCCAACAAGTTCAATAGCGATGGATGGTACTGATGCAAGAAGAGTACGACGAAGTGCATTTGCGTGTGAAGCTGGTGCGTTTGTAAGATCAAAAACAAGTCTATCTTCACCAGTTTCAGCGAGTTGTTCGTATGAAATTATTTCTATTTTTGATTGTGGAACAGGATCGTGAATTTCGGATGCTCCTGGGATTTGTTGGCAGTATTTTTCTTGTACAGAGAATCCAGTTTTCATTCTTAGGGTCCAAGCGTCACTTTTTTGAAAATTTTTGTCTTTTTTTTATACTCAAGTTATTTACACTCAGTTGAGACACTAGAAATTAGAATCATCGTCGTTTTTTGACTTCTCTATTTGAAATTTTGAAGATTTTGCAGATTTTAAATCCATTTCCACCTTATTGTAAGAGATTATTCCCGAGATATTGTGGATCAGTATAGCATCAAAATTGTTCGATGTTACTCATTCTTTTCATCATTCTATTTTTCACCATTGAAAAACTCAGCATTTTAAGCTAAATATATGATACACTATTGTTGTACTTCTTTGTGATATCTCAATTTTTAGAGCTTTCATCGTAAAATGTGAATTTAAAATATTTTCATTATAAAGAATAATAATCTGATTTCTCATTACCACTACATTGCACTAATCTTATGCCTATAATAATTCTTTACAATTCTGATCTTTCTTAGAATTTCATAAACAATACGCGTAATTTAAGAATTTCAAATGAAAAATGTATGTATTTACCTAAATAAAAATTAAAACCAGCATTTATTCATCCTCAAGTGTCTTGAGTTGTTCCTCAACAAGTTGAACAAGATATGGAGTTCTGTCGTATGTGCAAAGATTTAACCTCTTGCCAAGTTCACGGCGATCTACTTCTATTTCTGGATGTTGACTTTCGAATTTAAGTACTGCTGGTGCGAATTTGAATCCTGCTGATTGAAGGAATTCGAGAACTAATTGATATTGAAGTTCCTTATCACCATCAATTGGGATACTTGGGAATGCCTGAAGCTCTGGCTGTGAGTCATCAAGGATATGTCTAGCAGCGATTTTTGCCATTTCTTGGGCATCGGCGAGAACTTTCTCCTTGATGCCTTTTTCTTCGACGAGTTTCTGAAGTTCTTCGATAACTTCTTTCTGTGTATCACTAACTACGCCTTCAAGCCAGGTACTCATATTTTTTTGAATGCCGTTTAGATTCGTTACCTGACCAAATAAAAGCTATCGTCAATACTAAATGAATCAAAATTCTTTAACCATGCCTAAACTTATGATAGGAAGGATGCCGGAGAGTTTTACTCCATCTGATTGTACACTCACATTGGAACATGAACAAATACTTACAGAATTACAAAAAAGTAAAAATTATAGAACTTATTGTTGCAATATCTGCGGGAAAACAGATCATAATTCAGATAAATGTCCTAATTCTAGATTTATTAATATTAAAGAATTTGTCGATAACACTCAAAATGAATTGGAAAAGGATTGTAATTTTCTAAGAAATCAGTATTGCAAAAATTTCAGCAGGGATCAATACGGTTTATGCAAAAGTGAAGCTCTTAAAGATCCTACTTGGGATAATTCCTGTTTTTGCTCAAATTGTTCAGAGCAAAATCATAGATGGCATGAATGCCTGTATCCCCCTTTTGGTGAAATAATTTCAACAATGAATAGTGATTTTAATCTTAGTGTCTACAGAAATAAATTTAAGAAACCTATGAATTCTGCAAATCCACAATAACCAATTTTTGTACTGTACCAACTGTTTTTATTCTTACTTCATTTTATTTTACTTTTGATGATTTCTCTCGATAATATTTTTTATTTCTACCTGTCGATGGAATCATGTTTAATTATTCATGAAATTAATGTTCTTCAAAAATGGTGTTAATGAATTAACTATATATTCATATGATAACAAGAATATCAAATTTTCATCAGTAAAAACTGTCAACATATATAATTGGATTAGCACACATTCAAGCCTGCTTACGTGTAACCTTGACCATACTATATAATTGCATTGTTATTAATTTTTTGAAATATTTTCCTGAATAGACTAATTGTATTAGTCTTATTTGGGTTTAATCTATCTTCATGTAGTAAACATCAACTTTTTCCTATACATATATTTTTCTTTTTCGAAAAAAATAAGAAATGTTTTTAAAATGCACCCTTTTTCATCGATTTAACCTTGCACAACCAATTTGCATTAGTTCATCATTATATATTTTGATTAAAATGGCAAGAATATTTAGAGCTGTCAAAATAATAGAGGAAAAGGTGACAAAATTCTGCCAATTAAAAAAATTCACATGAATCATTCTCAACTTATTGAACTTCTCAACGATGAAACAACAATATTTTTCTATGACCACCTACAGAAGTTTCCAGCTGATAGTATAGAACATAAACTCTTAGATGTTTTTACATTTGGAGTTTGGAATGATTATTTGGATTTAGAGAAAGATTTACCAGCAGATTTGAAGCTCAAGCCAAATAGTAGAGCAGCTCAAAAGCTTAAATGCTTAACAATTACATCATTCTTCTTAAACAATATTAAAGGACGATATGAAACATTAAAAGAAGTCATCGGCGCTAAAGATGAGGAAGAAGTCGAGAACATAGCAATTATGGCACAAGGATTTGGCCTTGTTCGTATTCAAATCGATCAGAATGCTTCAGAAATTGATTGCTTACGTGTTTCATCAAGATGCATCCGCAATACACCAGAAGATCTTGATAAAGTAATCGGTAACATAAGAGATATGAAGCTCAGAATCAAGGAAGTAACAAATTAAATTATTTTCCATTAAAAAATTGATAAGCTTTTACTAAAACGTCTCGCATTGTTAGAAACTTATGAACATAAGTTCAGATTTTTCTCCTCTTTTTTTCTTTTTAAATTTGAAATTTAAATTATCATATTGATTTAAAATTTACTTCTGATTTGATTTTTTCATCTCCGTTAAGTTATTGATTTCGACATTTCGTACGACTTTCTCATGAATAATTATTGTTGAGAATTAATTATTGCTTTGGATAAAAATGATAAAAGTTTCTGGATATCTATCAACAGTAATAATGATTCATTGCATATTTAATAACATTTGATCGGATTCCAGTAATTTTTCCATATCATTTTGGAAAAAAATTGCATGAGTTGCAGTCAATTTCGATGTGTGATATTATTATTAGTTTTTGAGAAAATTCCATTCAAAGTAATCTGATTTTTGTCAAGTTTACACAACCCACGGCAAATTGACAAAATCTGGCAAAATGCTCGCATTGTTTTTCTTATCTTTGCGCATTAAAAAGCCAATAGGTGAAGTTCACCACATTCCATTTCTGAAAGAGGAAGAGATAAGGACTTTTTTGCTTGAGCATGATAAGTCAATTCTCATTTTTACAGATGGTCAATTTAAATACGACTTTGCTAACTTTGCTATTCATAAATTCAAAGACAGAATTGCATTTGCAGCCGTATCCATTGAAGATGGTCAGAAATACAACGCCCAAGGACCATTATCAATCTTTGCTTTTTATAAATCAAATATTGTTAAATTACCAGCTGCTCCATTTTCAGCTATTGATTTCACTAACTGGTGTGATAATGCTTTTGCAAAATCTTCGATTCAAATTGTTCATCCAGAAGAATTACGTGTAATATTCTCATCAACGATCACATGCTGCTTCGGTGTCGATATTAATGCAAGACCAGAAAAGCTCCGTGATGATATTACATTTTATAACGTTCCACACCAATTTTTCTATTATTTCGCTATGAATATTTCAAAAGGCTATTACATTTACAGATCAGCCGATCGCCAATTAGTTAAAATGGGAAAGGATCCAAACAAATTCATTGCAACAAAAGTAACCGATTTACACTCTTCTAACCTCGTTAAGAAGCCATACTATGGAGGATTCTTTATGAACAGAGGTAATGTCACGGCCTGCCAGATCGAATCCGATCTTCTTAACACTATTGCCAATAAATATAATGAAGAGTTCTATTTTGGCCCACTTGCTGGAAAATTGGCACATACAATTGCTCTCCAATATAATTTGATCAATTTCCCGCTTCCATTCTTTGCCGTTTTTGATTCTAAAGGTCGTTGGATATTAGATGGCGAAAAAGCCCATAATATCGAAGCCCTTACCGAGTTAATTGAACAAATCAAGAACAAGAAGATCAATTACACCCAAATGAATGACGATTCCTCGAAACTCAGCAAAAATATTAAAACATTATCATTCAGCAACGTAATGGACACAATAAATAATGATGGCAAGGACTCTGTATTATATATTACAGCAAACTGCGGTCCAAGATGCATTCTCTATAACGAATTGATGAAATCAACCGCAAAAATCTTTAAAGACACAACTGTTAACTTCTACATGCTCAATGCTTCAAGTAACGAGATCCCTCAGCCACTCGATCCAAACATGAGACTCCCAACTTTCTTTGAATGGCCGGCCAACAAAAAAGCTTGGGGTCCACTCGAATACGACGGGGGTGGCGATATCAAGGATTTCGCAAGATTCATCCAAGTAAGGAGTTGCGGACCTTTCGAAGAACCAAAGTTCAATGCAACGAAAATTAACTTGAAAGCAAGAACAAGAGCTTATAAAATAAACTTTAAACACAGTCCACAAGCAGTCAACGCTACTGTTGCTGATAATACAACAGATTTTACAAAAGAATTATAAATAAAATTTTGTTATGTGTAAAATTACGAAAAATATATTTGATATCATCTATTAAAGCACGAGTAAAGTCAATCATCTTATTATCTAAACATTATTTTCTTTTATAAAAATTAATAAAATTTATTTTAATATTCATTGGACAAATCTAATATTCTCTTGATTGTCTTTTAGAGATTTTAATGTTTGCACTTTCCTAAACTCTTGATTTGTCATAATGATGATAATCTCAAATAGATTAGATATTTTTATATGATTGGATAATGTTATGTATGTTAGAATGGAATTGAAAATTAAGTAAAGTGATTATTTTGTGAGAAAATCTAAACAAACATAAATTTTTAGTAATCAAATTCGTGATTTATATGATTTATATACAAAATCAGATAAGAAACATAATATATAAAGGAATTAATAACGAAATTCATTATTCTGCCTCTTCTTTATTGAAGAAACTCAAGGCAATTGAAATTCTCTCTGCAATTTCATCAGATGCTTCTGCTTGCATTTCCCCTAGCTTATCATATACTCCGTTTTCTCTTAAATCATCAATATAAGTATCTTTGAATTCATCATCTCTCAGTTTCTCAAGCATTATAATTAGAATTACAATATATCGATTTGTAATATCAGATTCACCATCTTGGTCATCTAAAAATTCGGAGTAATCGATCAAAAAGTTAAGAAAATATTGAGGTTCGACTTCTTCTGCAAAATTACGGACATATATAGATACAAATTGGATTATCATACACTTAACAATATGGCTGCCCTCAAAATTCATTATGTCAAAAAGAGGAATTGAAGAAATTAAGAAATTTCTGAATTCCATGTTATTTGACATATTATTAATAGCCAGACAATGCAATTCTAGTATATATAAATATATTCCTTCGCAATCTTTGTCAAAGTCTTCTGTAAAGAAATAATTAAATTTCTGTAAATGAGCGCATTGGTAATATCTTTTTGCTATTTCGCCATTGGTTATTTTGATCAGCGTGGAAACAAGAATGAAATAATCAAGCAAACATCTGATTCCACAATCTGGGGAACCATCTGACGTTTTCCGGCCAAATATGTATCTATGAACATCATCAAATATATTGTTTCTTCTAAAATCAGCTTCATCGTCTGAATAATTGATTAAATACATTGATAAAGCGCTTAATATCATTGACATTGCAACCGGGGTCAATTTTTTGCTTCTAATAAACATACTAAGATCTCTGAACATCAATCTTCGAATTGGCATTGGATTACAATGTTTAATAATAAATTCGTAAATTCTCGAGCCGCATTCGATTTCTCGAGAGCTAAACTGTAAACTTCTCATGGATGCATCTTTAATTTCAACGACGTTTAAGTTATTTTCGTTATCAGGTACATTAGAAATAAATGAAAAAATTATTTTGGAACAATAGTAATAAATATCAGCTATTGGAGTATTTATGCATTCATTGATTGCGATTTCAAATACCCAAATGAATTTTTCTTGACTACCTGGGTTGCAAATTAATAAATTATAACAGAGTCGAAATGCTTCAAGTATTTCTTGATATCCAGCTAAAACATTAACAGATTTTTCAAGTTCAACGTAAAATTCATCTATATTTAAAATTGATGAAACAACTTTCGAGTTATATGAAAGTGCAGTATTAATATCGGAGATAATTGAGTGTATTTGAGCGATTTGCCCTTTATCATTTAATGATTGAAGGTCTGTAACGTATTTTAATAAAATATCTGTGTCTTTCTCTGTAATTGGATTACCAGATTCATTATAAGCCCTGTTTTTATCAAAAATTGTGCTTATTTCTGTTGTTTGATTATCACTGATGGAGGTCTTATAGTCTTCTGTCGTCATTCCACCATTTTTTGAACATAATTTTCCATGTCGAAAAAAAGGATTGTTATCCAATGCTCTGAACCTGAGATATTTGATTTTGATGAGTAATCTATATTGACTAAATGTATTTGGACTAATATCCCAACGATAATGAAATTTTATGCACGAAATTTGCATCAATTTATTAGCAAAATACAAATGAACAAATTTGATTCACACATCTATACATATCAGAAGTGTGATGTATTAACGCTTTAACAATCTATTAAACATATGTTAACAAATAAATTTCCAAATAATTCCTTCATATATTACAGACATGAAAATCTAGAATGTGGATATACTGAAAACTTGTTAATTCATTATTGTGTGCTTATAAATAATTAATTAAATAGAATATGTAAAGATATATACAAAATATTTTCTCAACATTTGAATATAATTTACTAATTTTGAGTGTTTCATGATATAATTTATCTGCATAAAACAATCCATATGTTGAGTATTCTCAAATAAGCCTTTTTATATATAATACAATTCAAATTATCATCAAATAAACTGAATTAGGAACAATATTTAAAATAAAATGAATTATATAGTCCCACTGAATGTGTTTGTAATAATGCCTTTGTTATACTAAGATTTGTGAAATTCCAAAAAAAATTTAAAAAATCAAAAATGAAATGAAATAATATAAATTTTATAGCAAAAAAGGGAAATTAAAATATTTTTCGAAATATAAAAGTGTTTTATAAATACCAATTAAACAAATGTATTTGCAATGAAGCTAAAAACAAAGGTTCATATCAAGATATAAAATTAAGATATATAATCATATTGATTTTGGAATAGTAATAGAAAAAATATATTAAGCAAGGATGAAATGAAACAAGTTTATTTCAGATTTCAAATTTCGCAAACAAAGTTGAAAATTGTAGCTAGTTATAGAGGATAGGCTTCAAAGGTATATAAGAACACCGAATTTCAAACATGGGTGTGTTCTGGTAATTCATGAAATATGTGCATATTGGAGAATTCTATCTCAAAATTAGCTGAATATATCCATTTCAGGGTCTTATGAAATCGTTTTGCTTTTTAATACATATGTCAAATAGTTTAGATGAAGTATTGAAAGAAAAGATGCCTAATCAAAGAAATGAGTATAATAATGAATACAAATTTCGCATGAAAACTGTGTACAATATAGAGAAACATATTGTACAAGTTGTATTTAGTTTTAGATCTTCTGCAAGTAAGGTCTAAGATGAAATTCACATCCTATGTGCATAATTTTTGACATTTACAAAATTATATGACACTTTACATTTTCATTTCATATTCCAAAATACGTCCATATAAATTGTCTACCTTACCAAACATGAAATCTTATGATTAAAATTTCAGAGAAAAAAGTCAATGCTTTTTTGTTGCACGCCGATAGAGTGACAGAAATAAAAATGACCAAGTTCACCTGCATGAAACAGTTCGAAATCGAAAACCTCGAAGTTCCAGGAGCTCAGGTTATCAAATCACCAGTTTATGGTGATATTCGTGGTAATCTTTACGAATCATTCCATATTCTTAAGGTAGATTACACAACATCTATCGATGAGATCAATGGAATCTATCCAGGCAAAAATACACTTTACGGCCCAGTCGCCCATAAGGGTGAGGAACTCCTTTACCTCATTCGTGGCAAGCTTTTGGTCTATCTTGTTGATTTCAACGATCACTCCAAGCGCGCCCGCATTGAGGTTGTTCCAGGCATGATCATCCGCATTCCATGCATGTGCATCCATGCATTCTATAGCCTCGATGAAACAACAATCTTCGATTTAGTCAAAACAACATCACACGTCGAAGAGTCACACTTCAAGCCAGAGGAACTTGGTCTTGAATTCCCAGGCCCAGTTGTTCTTGCTCCACATGTTGATAACAAGCCACTTTACGTTGATTACGCAATCATGGGCGCTAATGGCATGATTGGATCCGCCTTTGTTCGCGAAATTGAAGCTCGTGGACAAACATGGGTCCAGCTTCGCTCTCGCTTGAACCAACAGGAAGGTTTAGAGAACGAATTACGCCGTATCATGCCAAAGGTATCCGTAATCATTGCCGCTGGTGTTGGAACACGTCCAAATACCAAGTGGTGCGAGGATCACCATATCGAAACCATCGATGCCAACGTTACAGCCCAATTAGCTGCAGTTCGCATCTGCAAGAAGCTCGGCTTACACTGCACAATCATCGGAACCTCTGGATTTTACCATTCCGAGTCCGAAACATCCAAGGGATTCGTTGAATCCGATGAACCAAATCATGGCTGCAATTATTACTACCAGATGAGAGTTCTCGAGGAGAAGCTTCTCAAGGATACAGGTCTTGAGAACCATTGCTTGAATCTCAGAGCTCTCTTCCCATTCGATCACAAGTTGACAACATCATCTCTCGTTGGAAAGCTCCTCCGCTTCAAAGTTATCAACAGTATCAAGACATCTGTTACAGTACTTCCAGATCTCGTTCCATTGGCCCTTGAAATGATGGAAAAGAAGATCAATGGCCCAATTAACTGGAACTGCCGCGGAACACTCTCAAATGGCGATATCCTCCGTATCTACAAGGATGTTGTTGATCCATCATTCACTTTCAACGAGCAGATCCTCTCTCATGAGCAATCAAAGGCTAATGGCAACTCCGCTGCCAACCTTGAGCCAAAGAGACTCATAGAAATATTCGGTGACCGCGTCCCAGAAGTCCATGATGCTGTCAAGCATGTCATGGAGCTCATCAAGGCCGAAAAGCAGTAAAAAAGAATTTTTTCTTTAACTTACAAAGAAACAAAGTTTTACTTTTTAGTAATATCTGATAAATTATCAAATTTTACCTAAATTATTTTATCTTCATATTTAAATTTTTTATTCACTGACCAAAAACAATAAACATATTTATACTTTTTCATATACATATAGATTTTATGTTATATATGAGATTAATCAATTTTTAGATTTTTATTTTAATGAAAAATCTAATTTTGAACTGAGTGAACACAGGTGTAACCTAACCCAATAAAAATAACAAATATTTCCATTCAATTGACCTTATTGTTTTAACAAAAATAGTTTTCATATCAAGAATTTATAACAGACAGTAAGATTGACAAATCTATTAAGCAAACAAGGGCATATTAAAAAAGTTAATGAATTCCAACATATTAAATTTTAAAACAAAAACAAATTAGTCGAGACGACTCTTAATATTAATAAGATTAGATAGAGTAGAAGTAAGTCTATCAAAGTCTGTGTTCTTAAGGTTAGCGAGCTGTTCATTGAGCATCATAATTGTCTTCTGCCTTTCGATTGTCTTATTAACATTCTCTGTTTCTTGTTCAATTCTTTCCAGTTCTTTCTTCTGATTTTCAATTCTTTCGATTAATAAGCTTTTCTCTTCTTCCGCAAATTGTCTTCTTGATGTCAATTCAGCTTTGAGACTTGTAGCTTTTAACAACGCATTTTCAACATTTTCCCGTTCAATCTTTGTCTGTTCAAGATCTTGTTGATACTTTTCAAGTACATTTGGCATTTCTGCAAGTTTTGCTTTTAGTTTTTCCAGTGTTGATTTTGTGATTTTTTGTTTAGCTTTTGCGACTGTTAATAAAACATCTGACATATCTTTTTCTGCTTCAATTATTGTAAGATCTCCACGAGAAACACCATCACCTTTCTTTGGTCCATCAACATGAGGTGCTTCTGGGAAATACTTTGCAAGATCCTTTAATTCTGCCTTGCATTTATCGAGTTCTTCTTGTGTAAGTTTGTTTCCAGCATTGATTTTTTCTGCTGTTTCTTTGAGATAATCATTTGATCTCTTCGCGTCTTCAAGAATGATTTTAAGCTTTTCCATCTTGTGTTTTGCCATAACCCAGTCATGATCAATTACTGGAGGTGGTTGTTCGAACATTTGACCTGATTCTTCTAATGCTGTTTGAGTTCTTCTTTGAGCACGAAGTTCTCTATCTTTTGCTTCCTTAAGTTGCTTTGCCAATGTTGTATTTATATGATTTACCATCTTTTCTTGAAGTGCAGCCATCTGTGAGTTCAATTCTGATGTGTCAATTTCTGTTTGAATATCTGAAACATTTTTAAGGAGAGGGTAAACAGGAGTTTCATCGTACTTGACAAGATCTGGTGTATCAAGTTCTGATGAAAGGACTTTTACCCTTTCTTGCATTGAAATAACGGATTGATCTCTTTCTTTTGCAGAATTTTGAAAAGATCTCACTGCATTGAGAATACCTTCGTAAATTGATCTTGCGCGATTGTATTTTTCGACTGTTGGAAGTAATTTGGCATCACATTTATTTTTAACAATATCGAAAGCACTTTGTAAATGATTTAATTCTAATTGAGCTGCACTTATATCTGTTTCATCGTTTCTTGCTAATTGTTCACGAACTTTATTGAGTTCTTCTTCTTTTGATTCAATTTGTTGTTGAAGATTTAAAACTCTTTGGCGTTCTTCATTATTCCTAAATGAACCAGGACCTAATTTAACCTTTTTGATTACTGAAGATGACTTCTTGTTTGTTTTAACCTGTCGAGGTTCGAAATCCATTTTCAATAGACGTTTAAAAATTTACTAAAAATTTAAAAGTGACAGATTTTAGATCTACGTATTGGAGAAATTTGAAATGATGGTAATATAAGGATTTACATGCTTTTGAATTTCCTTGTGGATATAATTTACAAGTTAAAACAACATTGAAACTAAAAATTTCCAATTTTTGAACTTGTGTGTTATGAATGAAATCATTTTTAGTTGAAAAATCCACTTCGATTACTTCATTCTAGTATAGAACTTAATGTTTAATTGTTAAAATGCTTTTGATTTCATTTTTTTACATTATCAAGTGAAAAAAGTTAATTTGCTTTTCGTTTAATTTAGCATCCATTCAATCTGAAACGAAATGTATGTTTTAGATAATTAAACTTAAAATTACAAATTTTATTAAAAATATTTTGTTACAAAAACAAAAACAGTATTAAATAGTAAAACTATGCGAAAAATGTTCGGGTAAATTTGAAAGAAATTAATAAAAATTTCAAAATAATTCTAAAAAATATTTGAAAATTAAGAAATTTTGAATAATTTTCATGAAATAGTAGTACAATTAGAATTTGATATCAAACTGAGGTGGATTGTAAGTATTATATCTAATAGAATCAGCAATAACAGCAGATGGTAAAGGTTGTTCTTTCATTGCAGGATGAATTGCAGGAATAAAGACATCATTTGTACATAAAAGGAAAACGGAGTGTTCTTCGCCTCCGAAAGCCTCAATTACGCACTTTTTATCGTCAAATATTGCTAATGTTGGCTTTGCTTGGTTGGAAAACTGTCCATTACCTAGTTGGCCACGTGTTCCACAACCCCATGTGTAACATTTTCCAGAAATTGTTACACAACCGTAATGAGCTCCTCCTGCAAAGATTTTTATAGGTATATCTGGTATTCCAACGATCTGAATGAGTTTATCTTGTACTATTTGGTATATTCTTCCGTCATTTTTAAGTATCATTGCTTTAGTTCTTGATGCAGCAACTGATATTACATTTGGAAACTGACATTTGACTTGTCCTGCAACGTAATGGTAGCAGACTAATTTGTCGCTTAAAATAAATATTCCAAATGGAGCAAGCTCTACAAAAGCTGGAATCTCTGTATTTGGAAGCGTAATTTTCATTTGTTTTGCGTTATTGCCCCAAACAAGGACTTTATTGTCATCTGATATAGCTGCTGTTTGATCAAACTTTGCGAAAACGGATTTTATTTTTGATGTTGAATTTGGTGGCAATTGAAGTTGTGCATTTGATCCAAAACTCTGTAAAACGTTAGATTTTGTCAATATGACAGTGTGCTTTGAACCTAAAGCAACGTCCTTAAAATCAAGTGGAATTTGGTAAGAAGTCGGGGAACGTAGTAGATTTGATTGAACTTTTGGAATCTGCTGATCAAGGTTTGATCCCCAGAAGGCACAATTTTCTGTTGAACATAAAACACAAGAATGCCAGCCTCCAACACGAATATCATCAATAGAAGGGACGACAAATTCATGAGGAATTGATATATCACTTGTGTGAGTAGATTGACCAAACTGACTGGATCCACATGCTGCTACAGAAAGAGAATTTTTCATTTTTTTTTGATATAAAAATTAAAAATTATTGTCACTTTTTTATCTAAAATCTTCTCAAGAAAGAAAAAAAAATTATGAATGATGGTGATATTAAAAAGCTTATTAGTGTATTAGAGAAAGGCGAAAAGATATCAGAAGAAGATGCTGTTGTTCTTCTTACAATGATTATGCAAGAATTATATAGTGAATCAAATGTTTTATTATTAGATTCGCCTATCGTTATAGTAGGCGATATTCACGGCCAATTAGATGATATGCTATACATGTTTGAAGTTGCTGGTGATAATCCTGAGCAAAAATACCTGTTCATGGGAGATTTTGTAGATAGAGGGTATCATTCATTAAATACATTTTTACTTCTCGTTGCCAGAAAGTTATTATATAAAGGAAAGTACTTCTTGCTTCGTGGTAATCATGAATCACGTCAAGTTTCTCAAATGTATGGTTTTTATAATGAATGCTTGATGCTTTACGGTAATGCAGGAATATGGACTCTTTGCAATGATGTATTCGACCTATTGCCAATGGCTGCAATTATTGATAACGAAATATTTAGTGTTCATGGTGGGTTATCACCTGAACTTCCACTTATAGAACAAATAAATTCAATGAATAGACAGAACGAACTCGGATCTACAGGTCCTCTTGGAGATCTTTGTTGGAGTGATCCAGATACGATACAATTCTGGAGACAAAATCAGCGCGGTGCTGGGTATATATTCGGCGAAGACCAGACGAAAGAATTTTTACATACAAATGGACTTAGTTTAATTACAAGGTCTCATCAATTAGTTATGGAAGGCTGTAAATGGTATTTTGACAACCAACTCATTGCTATTTGGTCAGCTCCTAACTACGGTTATAGATCAGGAAACATAGCCTCTGTAATGAAATATGGCTTTGATCCTGCCGAAATGAGGAAGCTCATCTTCTTCGATCCAGCAAAGAACAGAATCGCCCCTACTGAAGAAAATAAGGTATCCAACTATTTTGCTTGATTTTTGACTTTTTTAGTTTGAAATAAAAATTGTATGTTACTTCTAGAGTTGAAATTAGAAATAAATCATTTTTAAATTATAATGTCTGAAGTCTGACACGGAATTGCACATAAAGAGTCCATTTCCTTATTTCAAATTTTGAATTGAGTTGTCACATAAGTGAAGGGAAACAAATAGATTCTTTTATACAACATTTTACTACAATGAACCAGAAAGTCTCTACATCAAATCATATGGCGAAGGAAAAAGGAATATTTGTATCTTGGTCGCCATACGATTGTTGACTTCGGATTCAAAAAGCCTGAAAACTCTTAGATCTTCTCTAGAAACTTTATCATTTTTATCACAATCCGCACTGTTTTTAGATATTTAATAGCTTCAAGATGATTTTCTCTTACTGCAATAATTATTGGAGATATTCCATTATCATTTTTTTCTCTTTTTGTTTTAAAGCGTATATCACAACCAATACTTTTCAAATATTTAACTAATTCAAGTTTACTCGCTTGCAAGGATTACATTAAGTTCACTAGTTTTGTTTCAATAATTCTTGTCAATTACATTTTCGATTAAATTTTTTACAATTTCGATATCTCCTTTTGCGGCCTCTAAAAGTAAAGCATTATTTCTCTGATCATGATTCGGAATCAGAGTTCAAATCATAAAGATATTGTCTCAGTTTCGTGTATTCGGAATCAAGCTTATCATTTTCAAATAATTCATCTTCCTCAAATTCTCCTGAATCTACTAAGATTGTTGCACATTTGACTGCGAATTCATTTTGAGGATCCTCTTTTAAGCCGGTCAATAGTTTATGAAATGCTTGCAGAATCCTAAATGCTAAATTAGGATTAACTGTTCTAAAAACTGAAACTGCGATTTCAAGTACGGTATCATTTGAAAATAGTAGCTGTGAATATGAGATTGGCAAATGTCTTATAGTTCGACCAAAAAATTCTACAAAACATATTTTTGAATCATTTGGCAAAGATTGGTTAACGCATGAAAGAAAATATTGAAGGATTTGCTTTTCAATAAGTTGTATTGCAACATCATCAGAAAATGTCATCAAAAATCCTACAATTTCAATAAGAATATCATAATCAATATTTTTGAATAAAAGATATTCCAAAGCTTCAACAACACCATATTTTATTAGATGTTTTCTTTGATTTTTATCAGAAATTGCAACAAAGAATCGAATAATATTTGCAATTGAATTTAAAATTTCTTCATTTTCTGTCCATTGAGCATAAAATAAAAGTGATCTTATAAAATTCTTTTCAGTTTTAATAATATCAAAGCTACTTTTGAATTTTTTGATACATAATTTTGAAAGACAATTATAAACACTGATTCTGACTTCAAGAATATGATAATTTTGAAATAACATACAATCTGATATAAATTGTGATATATGAGTACTATTCTCCAAAAACTGATTTTGGCAAATTGCAGAATAACAATGGAAGACTGATATTATTAATTTATCAATAGAATTATCATCGTCAGCTGACTCCATAAGTGATATGGCATTATCATTGAATGTTCCAGTTCGATTTTGAATTTCTTGAACAAACGCGGGCTCACCGTTAATAAGGGTAACCTGATCTATAGTAAATTGTTTGTATGTTTTTTCTTCAACTTTCATTGATTTTTTGAATTTGATATATTCTTTTGCTGCATTTAATATATGGCAATCATTCTTTGGTGAATATTGTACCCTTATTGTAAAGGCATAACGGATAATATCGAGATATATATCATTATTCAGAATTTTAATTGAATAGTTATATCCTGAAGCTGCAATATCAATACACAAATGCAATATATATGGATTGAGTGATTCCTTAATTATCTGAAAAATAATTTCAATAAATTCTGAATCCAAAATTCGAAGAGCAAAATCAATTTTTGACGAACAAAGATGATACATTATCTCCAATGCTTTTGCCATTAATGATTCAGGATAATTTAAAATGCCCTTTGATATTTCTAAGTTAATTCCTTCTGAAAATAGCATTTCACACGCAATATTCCCATAATTTTCAATCGCACTCAGGCAGTTATCATAGATTAGTTGTATTCTATTAAATTCAGATGTTGAATTTAATTGAATAATTCCGTTCACTATAATTTCGCATATATCTTTTGGTATTTCAGTTTCATCTGATGTGGTACTTAAATGTTTTAAAGTACTCTCTTGACTTGAACCATCTTTGTATTCATCATCCATCAAAAAAAGTCACTTTAACAAGAAATGAATTTTACTACTAATATTATCATATGGCATCAGAATGAAAATTGGCCTAAATTTCGATGGCAGATGGTTATACGGATATCCCATGATATAGGGCAATTTTAAATTCATAATTTATAATCTCATGAATTTCCAGTACTTTTTGCACCTTCTAAAAAGAATCAATAAAGCTACCAAAACAACTGTTTTTCAACACTTTTTTTGATTAAATATTGTAATATGTAGATCATTAAAGCTGTTAATGACCTTCAATAGCTCAGCATCAGAAAAACAAGGTTTTACAGCATCATGACTCTACATACTACTATATGATAAGAGCTGATAAACAAAATCAAAACGGTTTGAAAATTCAAAAATTTTGATTGAATAATTGAATGGAAAATTTTGAAATTGACCTCTCTCTAAATTTTGTTTTTTTCCCCTCATATCTTAGTATTTATGTAATAATACATATATAAATATATATTACATAAGGTAACTAGGACAGTTATTGGCCCAAATTAATGCAAAATTTCAGAAATTTCAAAATCAAAGTTAAAAACATGATTAATTGAACGAGGAACGTTAGAATGGACGCATAAGAATATGGAATCCTTTGGTAAAAATGCTGGAATATTAATTGTTTTATTGACTTGTGAATTTGAAAAAAATTCCTTAGATTCTAGTTAATACTATAAATAGATACATGGACAAAATTTTGTCTCCACTCACATCACAAATAAAGAATTTTTTTCAATCTCAAATTTTTGGGAATGAGAATTTACCAAAAAAATTTAACTTTTGAGATACTATAGAAAAGAAGTTCTCAATTTATTTTCTACGTTATCCAAAATGCACTATAAATTAATAGCTTATTTATTTTATCAACTTTTAGGAACGAAAAATTTCCAACAGCAATTTTCTCACAAAATTACTATTCAATAAAAAATTCGTTATTAACTTGGTAAAATCAAATTTCACAATGGCTGAACTTATAGCAAAATTCCGAAACAATGCAGAACGTATTAAATCACGAGGTGACAAAGTTAGTTATATGACAACATTCCAGAAATTATTGGATGATGCAAGCAAATATAAAATTGATCTATATCATTCTGAAATTGACAACATTATAGATCCAATTATAAAAGATGTTACATGCAGAGTACTGGTAAAGGCACTTTCAATTGCAGCAAATGCTTTTGGTTTTATTGATCACATGTCCAGAGATATCCAACGGAACAAAGATCTTCTTTCTCTTTCATTAAAGGTCCACTATAAAGACTATTATGAAATAATGACAAATATGAGGACATCTAAAAAGAAAATTGCCTCAGAAAATCTTTTGACTCGAGATCAAATGATTGAAGAATGCAAGCAGAACTTCAAGTTATTTGAAAGTTTAATAGAAAATGATCAATTTGAACCGTTTGTTTTCCTTTCCCAATTAAATGGATCAGAAACCAGAATTATATATACTAGAAAGAATAGTTGCAGACTTGTTATTGTTTTCTATCAAAAGGGAACCAATATTGTACCATTATGTTATTACGTAGTTGAAGGCGGTGCAGGAGCTCTAGTAGACTGCGAAAAACCAGAGGTCGTCCCTAGGAATAGTGTCAAACATGTGTTCCCTCAGATTAATGATATTAATTTGAATGATTGGTTTTCACTCAAGTGCAATTTAGATAATTTCATTATTGGGTAAAAGGAAAATTCATATATTACCTTTTTCTCCAGGACTTTAGCACTATTTTTAATATATGTAATAAATATTGTTATTTTTTTGATATATCAAATCTATAAATTCTTTTTAGAAGGATGGAACATTCTTGCCCTATAATTCTTCATAAAATTTTTAAATTGTTTGGAACAATTAATCCAAAAAAGGAGAATTTCATTATTTTGACTAGATAACCAAGACATTCAAATAATTTGGATGACGATTCCCGAAGGAATATCCATATTTCACACGTATTCTTTTAGATTTGTCACTTTTTTATTCTGAATTTTGAAATCAAAAAACCACGTTAAAGAAAAAAGGAAAAGGCATAATGTTTGTGCATCATGCCATTGCCTCATTGATAATGAAGTTTATTCGAAATGTTTAAAGTGCAAAAACTACTGTCAATGTCTTCATTGCTTGTCAAAAGGTAAGCAAACATATCCACATTTAAAAGAACACCCATTTATTCTAATAGCTGCCAATGAGAGAGTACTTTATGATAAAGATTGGACTGTTTTAGATGAAATTAATCTTTTATTATCATTACAACAGCATGGCATTGATGATTGGGATTCAGCTTCGAAATTTGTACAAACAAAAACTCCAGAACAGTGCTTTAAACACTTCCAAAGTATATATATACACTCAACAATTCAACCACTTCCAGAACCATTAGATTCATCAAATATGCCACCGCAATTAGATTTTTTCACAATTGGAGATGATGAAATATCAGATCCTTCACTTTCTTCACCTAAAAATTTAAAAGCTCATCGAAAAAACGTTTGTTCAACATATGGAGAGTGGTCAGGATATATGCCAAAGAGACATGATTTTGATTCAGAGTTTAATCGAAGTGCAGAAAGCGATATTCATGATTTATTTTTCGATAATACGTTTGATACAGAAAATACTTTTGAAGAAAAGCTCAATTTACTCAGAAAATATTCTGATTCCGTTGAACTTCGTGAAAAGTCTCATCAATTTGTTGAAAACGAAAATTTGATAAATGAACACCTCGGAAAGAAAGTAGAGAAGTATCATCCGAAAGATGACATTGATAAGCTTCTGTTCCCATTTATGAAGTACGTCAGCTTTGAAAAACTAAAAGAAATTAAAAAAAGATTATTAACAGATCAAGAATCAATTAAAAACGCCGAACTTATAGAAGAATTGATCAACGAAGGTGCCTCATCAAATTTAACAGTCAACTGCATTCAAATAATGAGACAAGTCCAAAATAAGCCAGAATTAACTCAATTGAATGTTCATAAGAAAATATCAATGCTTTTAGAGACACTTGAGAGTAAAGCCGAACTACCAAAAGCATATTTGTCCACTCAAGAAATCCAATTTTGCGAAAATACGTGTCTTGACCCTCAGAAATATATAGAACTTAAGGATCAATTAATGTTAGAGTATATTAAAGAAGGTAATCCATTTTCTCGAGAAGATTTGAAGAAGTTTGCTCCAGATAAATTTGATTTGATTATTAATTTAGCCAATTTCTTAGAAGAGCAAGGATTCATCAAATGCACTTCTGATTAACTTAAATTATAATAAAATATTTGTCTGTATATTATTTATTTAAGGATACCCTTACGTGTCAGATTTTTTGCGCATACGAAGAAGTCATGCTAGACATGAACTATAAACCTGAAATTTTAGCAACATATTTAAAACTTTTTAAACTACAATACACTTTAATATTCAAGAACAAAAATATTCTTTTTAGAAATTACATAATTATTTTATGTGAAATCTATATAAAAACATATTTTGCGAGCGTAACTTTTTTCTTTATAAGCATATTATATGACTGATAAACTGTGAAGGCACATAATTGTTAATTCATAGAGTTGATATGTTTCCAAAATTGAGAGGAAATTTGAAAATTGAATACCCTTTCAATTCAATTTTCAAAAGATATCAACTCCTTCAATAATTGAAGGACGATTTTGATCATTTGCTCTTAAAACAAGTATGCCATGGAGAAAAAAGTTACGCTCGCAAATCTGAAATATAACTATCATATAAAAAAATTAAATTTCTAATTTTTTACTCTATAGATATTATTGGCCACTTGTGTAATGCATAAAAGTTTATGTCATATGCATACATTTGGAAGTATGGGAGACGAGGGAAATTACTTCTATGAGGCACTAGGATTTTTAAAAATTTCTCTATCGGACTCACTATTCAATTTCTCGAAAATTAAAAAAATCAATAATAGCTAAAATGTATTATGCATAACAAATTTTAATGTTACACGGTATTTTTTTGAACTTCATGACATGAATTTTCTTTATATTATTTTTTTTTGGATTTTGAGGAGAGAGGGTCAAAGTTGCTATTTGTCACTTTTCCACAAGAATATAATGGGGGAAAAAGTTATCATATAGTTGATCTCATTCACTGAGGTGAGAGATGCATGTAGTGTAATGGGATAAACAGTGTGATTGCTGCTCTAAGTCCTAGGTTCGAGACACATTGGCTTCATTTTTCTCTTTTTTATTGACGTAAACTATTCAATTTTTGTGTTCTCCATTCAAATTTCAGAATTTTTTTTGCAGATTTCACGCTACATTCGAAGTTACCTTTTGTAACAACCACCACTGCCTACGAAAGACGAAAGTGTGTCACGATTTCACCCGGAAATCCGATGGTTGTTTAAGAGTATGCACTTTTGTCACCTACTCGGATTTTGAGAAAGGGACAAACTATCCAGTGTCACTTTTCAAAGGAATAAAAAAATAATAAAGATGAAATAATAACATGAAATCTTATATAAATATAATTTTATCTAAATAGATAAATGAATTAAGCAGTTTACAGTTATATATATTTAATGAGAGACAATATCTAGTTCTATGGTAGAAATGACTCTTAGACTCAAATAAGTAACACAGATAGAAAGTACTCAGTATAACAATTATATATGTACACTCAAAGTTAGTCGCTGCTAAAATCTTAACCTTGCATTTCGGGAAAATCTGACAAATGGCTCTTAGACTCAAATAAGTAACACAGATAGAAAGTACTCAGTATAACAATTATATATGTACACTCAAAGTTAGTCGCTGCTAAAATCTTAACCTTGCATTTCGGGAAAATCTGACAAATGGCTCTTAGACTTGTTTTGATAATTAATTCTTCAATTATAATAAGGATGTCAATTCGGAAAATTGTTTTCATTTTAGGAGAATATAATTTTCCTTTTGGAAAATTTAAAAAGTGAGACGCGCAGGATTCGAACTTTTTAAAAGTTGATTTAAATATATTCTAGTGTGGATTCTAAGGATAATATCATATTTAAAATAAGAATATACTAGTTTAGGTGGTATAATTTTTTTTCGATAAATTTGAGAGTATGTACGTTTAGGACATCAAAAGTGTCAATTCGCTCAGCGAAAGCTGAGCTAGCTTCGTTCTCGAAAAAATAGGGAAGGAGTGAAAGAGAGTGATACAGATGTTGACACATTCATACCATTTCAACAAATTTTGATCAAATTGAAATTCAATGAAATTCAATTCACTTCATATCCTTCAGTCAGTACATTAACATCCTTCTACATCACAATGATAACTCGTACATCAATAGTTCTACAACTGACTCAGAAAAAACAAGATTTTTACTTCCAGCTTACAGCTTTTAAAAAGTTTTGATGATAAAATCACTCTACTCTTGTTTATCGATATGTTGTGATAGTAGGTAAACGTATTCTTATCGATATTAATAAAAATATTTTTACGAAAATCTGAACCAATTACAGAGTTATTCATAAAGTTTATGATAACTGTAATTACTTCATCTTTGTTTAATATTTGAATAAACAATTTAATTTAATTTGCATAATTTTTTTTAGTTGAAAGACAGGAAACTTAGTTGAGTTTGTATTATTTTTATCGTTCAATTCATTGTATCAGTAAGTGATCCAGATATTTAAGATATTTACAAAAAATTTATTAATTTGATTAACAAATTTTAATCAAAATAGCAAAAATCTATTTGATAGCTGTAAGCAAACAATAATTTTTATTTCAAGCAAAATCAATTATTTTCATCTAAACGTATAAAATTGTCAATTTTATGAGAATAAATTTAAAATTAAGGGTTTCGTTTTGCTAAAATTGTCACTTTTATAGCATATTTGTTTTTGGATGTTTTGCGAAACCAAAAAAAAACTATGATATACAATGTGTGTGTAAAGAAAAGACTTTATTTACTAGTTAAAAAATCATTTGGTATTGATCAAGTTATTTTTTCTGTATAAGATATTATATGGATAATTGGATAGAAAATACAATTATATAATCTTGTACCTGGTTTAATTAAGCTAATTGTCATCAGAAACTTGTAATTTTTATGAATTTCAGATTTTCTTTTCATTACTGCTTTTCTTAATAGGTCAAGTTCTTATTTACGTTATAAAGTATGATATTTACAAATATCAAGTTATCGTGTTTTTTGAGAAATTATGAGAAACAAACAAAAATGAAAAGATAGGAATAGCAATGAATAGTGATGTGGGTAATAAAATGTAAGAGATATGAATGCAAAGCAATCAGTATTTAGGACATTGACCATAGATTTCGAAAAAAAAATGCTGCATATTGAGCGAAAACTATGATTATATTATAAGGCTGTCATTTAAAGCATATAGAACTATTCCCTTTTCATTTTAATCGAATAAGATAGTAAAGATTTTTGAATTAGCTAGAAACTGATGAGATGTTTTCACAAATCAGATTTTTAATCTCTATAATGCATAATTCACTCAATATCTCAATTTTGATATTGCGAGATATTTTTGCTATCGGTTTCGCAATTTTGACACAATAGCAAGAGGGTTCTATAAGCATTATTATCAACGTCGAATCTGAATATCATATCAAAAAAAAAAAAAAAAAAAAAAAAAAAAAAAAAAAAAAGGTAGTGGGGCTTCCAGGCACTTCGTGCCCTCTAGCCCTGAAGATGTTTAGTATAAATGAAGTTTTTATTCGGAAAATTGTTAGTCTTCTTGGTCGAAAACATTATATAATGTTTCACTTTTCACAAATTATATATGTTTTCATGTTTTGTCAAGACTTCTTCGTAAATGTTTTGTCAAGACTTCTTCGTAAATGTTTTGTCAAGACTTCTTCGTAAATGTTTTGTCAAGACTTCTTCGTAAATGTTTTGTCAAGACTTCTTCGTAAATGTTTTGTCAAGACTTCTTCTTCGTAAATGTTTTGTCAAGACTTCTTCGTAAATGTTTTGTCAAGACTTCTTCGTAAATGTTTTGTCAAGACTTCTTCTTCGTAAATGTTTTGTCAAGACTTCTTCGTAAATGTTTTGTCAAGACTTCTTCGTAATGAGTGTAAATGACCAAAAATAATGTTTAGGTGAAAGAGTGAGATGTCACCTGTTTTCTCACCTCATTTCTCACCCGTTGAATTTTCATGAAATTTACACCAAAAATAATGTTTAGGTGAAGAGGTGAGATGTCACCTGTTTTCTCACCTCATTTCTCACCTCTTGAATTTTCATGAAATTTACACAGAATTCAATAAAAATAATGTTTAGGTGAAGAGGTGAGATTTCACCTGTTTTTTCACCTAATTTTTCACCCTCTTGAATTTTCATGAAATTTACACCAAAAATATACTACTAGGGTCATTTACGAAGAAATCTCAACACAAGTCTTTACGATGAAATCTTGACAAAGTCTTTACGAAGAAATCTCAACAAAGTCTTTACGAAGAAATCTCAACAAAACATAGACAAGAAAGTTCATGAGAAATTAGATAAGAAGTCTTAACAAAGTCTTTACGAAGAAATTCATGAAAATTCAAGAGGTGAGAAATGAGGTGAAAAAAGAGGTGAAATCTCACCTCTTCACCTAAAATATATTTTTGGGTCATTTACGAAGAAATCTCAACAAAGTCTTTACGAAGAAATCTTGACAAAGTCTTTACGAAGAAATCTCAACAAAGTCTTTACGAAGAAATCTCAACAAAACATAGACAAGAAAGTTCATGAGAAATTAGATGAAGAAGTCTTAACAAAGTCTTTACGAAGAAATTCATGAAAATTCAAGAGGTGAGAAATGAGGTGAAAAAAGAGGTGAAATCTCACCTCTTCACCTAAAATATATTTTTTGGGTCATTTACGAAGAAATCTCAACAAAGTCTTTACGAAAGAAATCTCAACAAAGTCTTTACGAAGAAGTCACATAAAGTCTTTACGAAGAAGTCACAATAAACATCTGTCAAAAACCGCTTTTTAACTTCACTTAAAATGCCACGTAAGCTACGTAAGAATATACGTAAGAGGAAGGGAGCATTGAAACATCCAATAGTAAAACTGACACCACAACAACAGTTGCAACAACAAATTATGAATGACCCCACTATGTTGCAACAAATGTCAAGCAACCCTATGCTTTTAAACCGAGTTGTTGGTGCACAGAGTGGAGGTTTAAGAGCGGCACTTTTAGCGAAAATGGCAGGCTATGGTGGAGCTGCAGACGGAACAGCCTATAACCCTCAAAGTCAAATGAATTTGA